TGTCACTTATGGCAATTTCCAATCCACAGCGGAAGGAAGTTATGGGGCTCATAAAACAAATGTGTTCTCAGCTAGAAGTGGCCCAGGAATCAACTTGGTAGGTATCAGTCTGCCCTTTGTAACGTAACTACGGAATTTAGCCATTTCCATGGCTGGCCTGATTTGTCTTTTGTACTATTAGGTTGGCCTTCGTACCTCTTCTATCTGTTCCCTATGGTAACGCAAATAAATGGGTTGGGACCGAATTTCTGCAAATGCATTGGCTACCTATGCTATTATTCCGCTTGGAATCTTGACATGAAAATGAAGTCAAAATTTATATTGTTCCCGTCTATAGACGACGGAAAATAATCACTTTAACGAGGCAAACCATTCAATCAAACAGTTAAAATTAATCTCGGCGATAAAGGGAATTTTGTTCTCTTTTTATTTTTCATTTCTTTTTGTAGCACCAACTTGAAGACTCTTGGGTTTACAGTTTTAATGTGTACACGGTTGTTGGAAACTTGTCTTCAAGAACTAACCATTTGGGATAACCTGGATTGCATTTGCCAAGTGATAAGGCTGCTACTTGCAAGCATCTGCAGACGGAGACGAGAAGTTGATGAGAGTGTGGATCAGGAGAGAAGGGATAAAAACGAGAACGACGCCATCAAGGCGCTAATAGCGAGCCTCAGAGAAAGGTTTAGAATTGATCTTTCTCCCTATATGTCCTATGCTTACCGACGCGATGCTCTAGCAAATGAACTCATGGTATGTTAAAACTTAAGGAATTGCAATATGAGAAAAAAAAAACATCAATAAAACACCGAAAAATGTTAAATTTCGCTCCATCCGTAGGAACAATGGCGTTTTTATGTCAAATATGGAGGGGACTTACATCGGGGGACGGGTTTTGTGTGCCATAATAGTTTTTTAATTATGAAAAAGTTCTGATTTTGTTAAAAGTTCCATTTTGATGTCGCAAAACATAGGTAATCTTATGCCCTAGATTGTTTTAAAACGAGTTAAGAGAACTCTGCAGCCGGTTTTGATATGCAATCGAAGTGCGATTGACTTGGAATATGTTGAATATTCTTTTCAGTAGTTCTTATAACTTCTTGAATGCTGAAAAAATAAAGTGTCGAACGTTCGTCATTAAGTAATAAGAAGTATAGGCAACTTTTGCTGAAGATGAAATAATGGCAATATCAACTGGCAAGGAGGACACCTTGGACTAGATTATAATGATCATCAGTAACAGAGATTGATTGAGAAGCAAAGCGCCACTGAGTAGCTTGCGAGGAAATTTTTGTCAGGTTAATTTTAACTTAGATAGTTTGGTTTTATAAACTGAGTTAATTATGTAAATTAGCCATCGTAGAGAGTTGCTAAGCTGACGTTTCGAGCGTTAGCCCTTCATCATTCGCTTTCACAAAAGGCTGACGCTCGAAACGTCAGCTTAGGAACTCTTGACAGTGGCTAATTTATACTATCAACTCAACTATCAACTCAATAAAACCAAATTATCTTGTTATCCTCCGTCACCTAAATTTTTGGTATTTAAGTTTTCTGCACCACCCCTCCCCTATCTCTCTCTCTCTCTCTCCCCCTCTCTCTCTCTTTCTCTCTCCCTTCCCATAAATGGAATTATTTTGCAGGGAAAAATAGGAAGTGGTCGTAGAGTAATAAATTTACTTTACGTTTGGACTCGATTGTTTTAGTAATGCAAGGAAAACCAATGCGTTCGATTTTTTTATTTTATCCAGGTATGGAGTGAGTTACTTTTGGTTACAGATGAAAATCAAGGCTTCACCGCTTATCGGGAATTCTTGATTGAGGAATTGTCCATTCGAGCTAGACAGGTAAGTAAGAAACTCACGTGGTGCTTAAAAGTGACCTTTACGTTGGATTGAGCGCATTCAAAAGGACCCGAACCGCATTTTACGTCATAAAACTTTAGACTTGTTTCATGTAAAGAGTAAGTGAATATATTTTGTTATAAATTTCTTTAAAGAATTGCTTTATCTTTAATACTTCGTGGAATGCTTTCTCGTTTTTTAGTTGAAGGAAAATTACCTCGTTGAAATCTTTTGTGAAGTGAATATGAGTACTTTTGAAAAAGGTGTTGGAGAGGTGTTCACCAACCTTGCAGTTGATGCCGTGGAAAGGATTATTGACGTGAGTTGTTAGTAACAGTTTTACATGTGATGGTACATCGCGGAGGCGAGTAATACTGCGGTGTGTCAAGTTCTGAACCTTTTTCCTCTCATGGGAAATTCAGATTTCGTCTTTTCGACCCTGTTGTCCTCAGTAATAACATTTTCACTGGGATAAAAGATATCTAGGTATGTTTATCCTGTAGAGATTAGCTTTTTTGATGGCCAGGTGGTGGCATAGTTTTTTTGGGTAATCGGTAACTGCAAAAGTAGCGAAGAAAAAAATCAAGTCACCAACTAACCTAGACACTATCAATTAAACAAATAGACAAAGTGACGCTTCCGAAAGCGTGGGCATGCTTTTAGTTAAAGCCAGAAAATTGTGAATTGTAACATTTAACTGATAAACCTGGGTGGGAGAATACTTTTTCTGATTATATTAGACTTACTTTTTTATACTCAACTTTCTTTTTATTTTTCATCATGAATTAGAGTTAAGACATGGTTTGATGGTCTATAGATTTAATCAAAGAACCAAGAAGTTACAATTCATAGACCCAACGTTTCGACACTCCTGTCTAGTGCCTTCATCAGGGGTGATCTAAATGCTACAACAAGAGGTCTTTTTATACGCCAGGAAGTAAGCCGCCATCATCACGATTTAAAGGAGCGTGGGCGGAGTTGATATGCCAACTACTAACACTCCTGATGAGAGGGAACCAGCGACTGGATTTGCTGTTATTCCCTACATTCAGGGTGTTACGGAACCCATCAAGAGAATTTTGAATAGCCACACCGTTAAAGTTGCACAAAAACCTTTTCAGACCTTAGGGCATATTTTTGCCAAACCTAAGGATCCTGTCACGAAAGAACAACGAACCGACGCTATTTATTCTATTCTGTGATAACGAGTATGTCGGACAGACCAAACGTCAGTTTGGTACACGTTTGAAAGAGCATCAAAAAGCGTTCTTCTTTTGCAAAAAAGAAAATTCAGCCTTATCAGAGCATACATGCCTAACCAACCATAAAATTGGGTGGGATAAGTCTACAATTATGACCACTAGTTGGCTTTAGCACCAGGGCCTTTGTTTAAAAGCCTGGCATATCAACTCCGCCCACGCTCCTTTAAATCATGATGATGGCGGCTTACTTATTTTAGTTGGAGTTAGGTTGGCTAATTTTGCAACGGTGATTAATGGTTCTCTGTTTTTTTTGTTATTTAGTCTGCAAATTTAGGGGTGGACGAGGGAGTATTTAACGTGATGAGAAATAATTGTAATCAACCTGATACACACTCCAAAGCAGGAAAATATGGCGAGCTTTTGTCGATGTTGCTCACAAAGAACTGGCCAAAGGAAGGACAACAGACACACACGTCTTCTTTAGATCCTCAGACTGTTAAATTTCTTCTGACCTGGAAACCTATGACTAAATATCTCAAATTCTTTGGTAAGCTCAGATCATATCTGTCCAATGTATAACTCAGCTGTATTTAGACCTTGCCCAAAGTCGCACGTTAAACCTAAACCACACTGAGCCAATGAGCCATTGAGCCAATGAGCCAATGAGCCAATGAGCTAGTTGTAACCAATGAGCGGGAAAGCGCGAGTAACTGAGGGGTCATTATTTTTAGTTTGCCTTTGATTGGTTGAGACGATGGTGCGAGTTTTCTTGACCAGTCACTTAGCTTTGGAAGCAAAACCAGTTCACTATCATATTACATTAGACGCTAAATTCAAAATTAATGTGTGTTTTTTTGCATAACTCGCTGTATGCTTGTACCATTGAAGGATGAACTCAAATGGCAAACGTTTCCGTAGGTTCTAGAGTGATAGCTTTATTATAAGACAGGAAAGCATATATAGGAAAAAAATCAATATCTAGGAAATGTGAAGCTCTCAAACAGAGGAAAATACTTCAATTTCAGTTTCTAATACCTCGTGATGTGTACACTGTAATTGATTATTTCACTTTACAGGAGATGAGTCTGGAAGAGGTGGCATACTTTCGCCTACAGGCCAGGAAAAGTTGTTTCAGGCTAAGTTGTTACTGGACGCTCTTGTAAGAATTATGTCAGATGGCTCAGTAACAGTCGAAGTTTTACTTCTTGTCCAGGAGCATAAAGCAACGTTTTTAGAACTTTTGAAGACAACATCCGGTGTAGAAGAGAATGATGCTGAGCTTAGCTTGGTCCAGCGAATTGAAGAAATTGAGGAATTTCACACAGTACGGGAAAAAGTTGAAAGATTTATTGCATTGTGTGATGTGGTCCCACCTGGTGAGCTCCGAAAGGGAATTCGTTTTTTCAATCCTTTAACAGCCAGTCATGTGTTGCTCCTATAACTACGTCCAAAATTCTTATACTGTACTAAATGCCTTTTCATTGCCCAAAAATTTTGCATTTGCACCAATTTAAATCTCCTTTCGGACACTTGTGCATCTTATCAGAAAGTGAAGATTTATGCTCATGTGATAAATTTGCTTTTAGTTTGCATATGTTTGGCGGCAAGGAACGGTGTTTATTGTGAATATCATTTCAATCACTTTCTCGTTCTTGCGTCAGTAAGGGTGAGTTTATCAGTTAAAAGAAGGACAACCTGCTCATCGTTGTGGCTTTTCATTCCCTTGTTTAGTTACGTGAGGCGATTCGGATTATCCTCAAGTTCGGTCGCCATTTGATTGGTCTCCGTGTCGGAAAGAAATAATTAGAAATAAATTAACAAACACTTATTTAGATCTATAGACTTAGATCTTGCCCAGCTTAGAATGAGCTTCATTTTAGGATTCCTTTACACATACAATGCACCTTGGAAATGAGAAAGAATAGAAGAACTGAGGAAGTGATCATTTTCTCCACAGTCGACTTGGGCAACCTTAGGAGTAGAGTGCATCTGGATGCTACATCATACCAGATTCGTGATTTGTGCAAACACTTAGACGACAACAAAATCGAGATCACGTTATTCCAATTAACCCCACCTGAAAAGGAGGTTCTCCCGATCCTTGTAAGAGTTGGAGAGAGTTTAACGTTCCAAGCCCTTTGGAAGGAGTATGGGCTCAAAGCCCAAAGTGATAGAAACAATGACAAGGCGCAAAAACAACACCTCAGTCTTTCCGATGTCGTTGAAAATGTTTGTAAACCAGCTTTTAAAAGGTGGACCAAGAATGTTGCTGGTGTCAAAGATGGAACAATTTCTCTTGGAGATGTTGACAAGCTCTTTGACGACTATAGAAACCGCAAAAGTGAACTCGAGGGAGAGTTATCCTGCATGTTTAAAGTGAACAAAGGTCAAACAACCTCAAACGTCAAAGAATTAAATAAAACTGTCAGAGAGCGAGTTGCTCAAATTCAACGTTACCAACAGCTTTATCAGTACTCCAATGCAGCAGACACCATCTGGGAGTTTAAAGAGGCAATGGGTTTTACCGGGAACTTCAAAGTTGTTGAAGATCTGCGTGATCAGGTATCATAGTCCTTGTTGCTTATGGCCGATACCGAGTAGGTTGAGAAAGAGAACAAGAGTATCTTTCCTAGAATGGGATGCAGTTGTTTATCGTGGTGAATGCATTTGCAGTGAAATATGTTCCTTCGTCTCACGATTTGGTCACTGCCAATCTAGAGAGCGATGTCTTTTCCAGGTGCTGGTCTTCTTCAAGCGCCCGAAAAAGACAAAGATGTGCGGTCGAAACGTCGCCAACCACATCTGGAAGTGACTACATCGTGATGCGAAAGAGTATACTTCTTTACTAACAATTTCTGTCCGTGACATTAGAAATGTTCTACCCAAACTGAGGAAGCTCTGTTAATTTTTAGTCAAGTCTTGAAGTTTGATTTGAGGAAAAAGGTGCACTTTCACTTTAAGACAGATCCTGCACAACAGAAAGCTATCGGCGACTGCAAACGAGAAGTGCACCTTTAACTAAATTACAGTATGCGATTAAAGCGTGTTCCATTTTACTTTTTTAATGTAGCTATCTGTAGAATTTAAGCAAAAGTCCTTGCACAGCATTGGGGAAAACTATGCAAAGGCCAGTCAAGCTCTTCAATGTTTGGATTTCAATAAGGCTCAGTGCCTCAAAGCGGTGGTGGACAGTAAACGGCTGGTGGAGTGGTTACGTTCTACTATCAAATGTAAGTTGAGGCATGCGGTGGTTAGTGGCCGTAGAGTTTGAAACGGAAACACTAGACGAATCACTACTACCCTCCGTTGCCATAATCGATCTCCAAGGTTGCTACCCCTGATTTCGCCAGCTTTCCTAACATTCAACAGAGATTTATGTTTTCCGCGACGCAAGAAAATATTGATTTTCGCTTGTATTATACATACTGGAAGAATTACTCACTTGAGCGTCAGTCTGGAAAAGTAATGAACATCGTTACTTATCTTTTGTTTCACAGCCACCCAAGAGCTTAAGGTTCTTGTTGACTTGGCCTTGATCTCTGCTGGTGAAAACGACATGGAAACTGAACGCATATCCAGTCTACATACCAGCTGCCTAGGTTTTACTCCACTGATATTTGACCTCAAAGAGAGTGAAGAAGAAAGAGTGAATTTTGATCAACTGATGAACGCCTGTGATTCTGTGTGGAAATCAGTTGAGACAGATCAGACGTTGCCCAAAAAGCTGGTAAAATATCAGAATTTGTAGTAAAATATGTCTTTGTTGTTCACTGTGGTGTAAGATACGAGATGAACTTTGTTCGTTTGTCACTTTTGATGTTGATCGCGACGTTTCGACTGCAATACTGCCAGTCTTCATCAGGCGATGAAGTCGATTGTTTACGTGTCGCTATTTGTAGCACGTTGGTATGCTGCTATTGGTGCATTTCGATCCTCATTTTTATTCCGGTTGTTAGATGGTGTTCCTTCATAGGTATAGGTCCTCATAAATTGGCTGTTGTGTTGTTTGATCGTGGGTATCCAGCTTCGGCGATTTCGATTCCGCTATCCCTATCAAATCAAATTTATTTCATTATGTAAGAATACATAAAAGGAAACGTCAGAGGTGATCCCTATCGAGGACGCTCCTTACATAAAATATAAAATAAATATACTACAATGTAAAATTTAAGAATAAATAGGAAATGGCTAAAAAAAAGTACAAAATTTTACAATACTTTCAAAGTTTACATCGAAAAATGCTGAAATCCCGTTCGTGCACTATCTCCTTAGGAAGAGCGTTCCACTGTTTACTAATTCTAACAAAGAACGAGGGCAGAAAACAATTTACTCTAGCTAATGGTTGTCTTAATTTAAATGAATGGTTTGATCTTGTTTTACCATAACAATTAAATTCAAAATAATCATTACAGTTGAGGGCATTAAGACCATTAAGTAGCTCTAGGAAAGATAGATAAGACCTCTGTTTCGACAGTAAATTCTTCAACTATTACAAATTCGAAGACGACTGCTGGACAACAACTATCACTGACACGACCGATACGAATACTAAATAGTAAGACTTAAATTCTAGCATGCAGTGTTTGTTAGCCGTCCCAGCGTTAATGTTAATGATCAAGCGCTCGCTGGAACAACCTTCTTAATTGAAGGCTGGACCACCCAAGCATTGCTAGTCTTCCTTCGTACGGAGAGTCCCTAAATGACATAAGGAGAGCGTATTTCGAGTCCCTACGTTGGACTCGTTCAAGAGCGTCAATGTTCTTTTATAAATAGGGTGACCAGAGAGGGCCAGCATATTCCAGAGTAGGTATAACCAATGCCTTGTACAGACGAGAAAAGACTTCCTTGTTCCCTGCACCTACATTCCTTTTAAGGAAACCCACAATCTTGTTGGCTTTATTTACAACTTTCTGCGTTTGGGTGTTCCAGAATAGATTAGAAGACAATGAGACCCCCAGATCAATCGTTTCGGTGACAGACTGAAGTGTACAACCAGAGAGCTTGTAAGGATAGCTAGTATGATCTCTCGCATGGGTAACACATTTGTCAGGGTGAAAACGGAGTTGCCAAATTTCACTCCATTTCGATAGCATATTGAGGTCACATTGAAGTTGTTTCTCGTCGTTTTTATCATAAATGATCCTATAAACCTTGCTGTCATCTGCAAAAAGGTGCATGTTTCACTTTATGCCAGTTGTGATATCGTTAATATAGGCAAGGAAAAGGACTGGCCTAAGCACACTACCATGGGGAACACCAGAGGTGACCATCGTCCAAGGAGAAAAATGCCCTCGGAATGAGACTTTTTTTTCTACCAACGATAAAGTAGGTTAGCCAGTTAAGGAGATTTCCACCAATTCCATATCCCTTCAACTTCGCTAGGGAGACACTGATGCATGCTTTTGTAAAACTCTAGTAAAATTATATCCACTTTATGCGAGTCATTTCTTGCTTTTGCCCATGAATCGAAATTATCGAGCAATTGTGATAGACTAGAACGCTTTTTCATGAAACCAAATTGCTCGCTTATGAAGACTTGAGGATCCGTCCAGAAGTTTACAATCGACCTCCTGACAATCTTCTCGCAGAGTTTATTTGCATTTGAGGTTAGAGAAACAGGTCTGTAGTTTTTTACTTTGTCTTTGGCTCCTTTCCTGTAAAGCGGAATAACATTTGCTGTTTTCCAGCCGTCGGGAATGACACTACATTTAAATGAAGTATTAAACAGAGCATACAAGGGGGAATCCAGTGAGTTACTATAATGATTCAAAATCCTTGGATGAATGTCATCAGGGCCGCAACTTTTATCGGCATTTAATTTCCGCAATAGCTTTCCAGCTTCAATGGGAGTAGTTGATACCTATTTGAGATTTTCAGTTCTGAAAACTTGCGGGAAGTTTGAAAGATGAGTCAAGTTTTCTGATGTAAAAGCAGAGGCGAAATAGGAATTGAAATTGTTCGTAGTGTCTTTGTGATAGGTCAGAGTCTCTATCTACTTTAAGTGTCGCAAGGTTTTTTGTTGCATTCCGACGTGAGCGAACATAGTTCTAAAACAATTTGCTAACGCCTTCGTTTGCAGTTTTGACACTTAATTGTTTAAGGTATTCCCAGCGCGCTTGATTGCACGCCTTCTTTGTTCCTTTATTCAAATTTCGGTAACGCGTCCAAAAATTGTCAGAATTTGATGTCTTGGCACTTTTGTAAACAAATTTTTTCTGCCTAGTCAGTCAATAAATCCGGCGTCAGCCTCGGTGCGTTTTTCATTTTCCTTGGCGATTTAATTGGTATACAGGTCTCAACTGCTGTAAAGAGTAAATCTTTAAACATTAGCCAGTTTTCCTGAACATCATCAGTAAAGAAAGCACAGGTCCACGGAACAAAATTAAACAGTTCATTTAGCATATCCAAATTCACCTTCTTATGCGATGGATTCTTAGACGATGATATCTTAACTTCAAAAGCAATGGAGTTGTGATCGGAGAAAGGTTCGCCAACTTGTAGATTTCTAATCAACCCCTCGTTGTTGTTATCACGATATCTTAGATGTTTTTTTCCGCGAGTAGGTTCCAGCACTTGTTGTGACATAAATGATGCAGAAGAATATCCATTAGTCTGCAATTTGCGTCAGGATCACGGAGAACAGAAGTAGTAGACCAGTCGATGTCCGAAGGGTTAAAATCGCTGACCAATACAATCTCAGCAGAGTCGTAGAACTCGTCTAGGGAAGCACTCAAGTCAACCAGAGGCTCAATTAAATTTTTGGCGGCTGGTAAAAAACTCCAAATGTAGATGATTTGTTTTTCCCATATAAATATCGACTCACAAGAGTTCTGAATTGGGATCACAGTTACGACGTGTAGATAAAATTTCTTCTCCTACAGCCAAAAGGACAACCCCGCCTTTCCTATTTCGATCCTTGCGATAGTAGATAACGTAGTTCGATGGGAATAATTCCGCGTCAAGTATGGTATCATCTGGGTGAGACTCCGTAACAACGACAGTGTCGTAACCCTTACGAGCGAGCTGAGATTCCAAGAACGTTGTCTTATTTACCGGCGAACATGCATTGAAATACAGAACAGATAAGCTGGTCCGGTAAAGTTTCCGTACAGCCCCATACTATTGTAAAACAAATCTGTTTTCCCAATGGCAATGTATTGTTTTTGTCATTGTTTTCTCTGTTCAAGAACTGAATGCGTAATGTAGTATGGGGCTGTGCGGAAATTTTACAGCTGGTCCTCCCTGGCATCGATGCAGGACCCAGGTTGGAAGAAATGTCGCCACAAACAAGAATGCGCACAAGGGGGAATTCAGCCCAAAGTAGAATCGCCGCTATCTTGTATGCCAGCACGAGGTTCGCCTGTCGAAGTCCAAAAGCCACCAAATACTCGATGTGTCGTCAGTAAAGCAAGCAGCATGAGACAGCAAACCATATTTGTAAGTTGGTCGTAACTACAACGTTCTCGAATGCGGAGCAAGGAAAGACAAAAGAGGAAAAAGAGAGCACACGACAGCGTGGTTGCTAGCCCCATTCCCAACTGTTGATGTTGAACTCCCTATTGATGTTGTTGGGATGAAGTCTTATATGGATAGCCTCTTTGACCCAACGTGTGTACCAGTGGGAGTCACGATCAATAAACTTAACCTTACTCCAAATAGAAAAATGCCCCGTTTCGTTAGCGTGCTCCAAAACCAGAGAGGTCTGAGTACGAGCAAACCGTATGTCTCCGTCATGTTCTTTTATCCTTTCTCCCACTGATCTCCCAGTTTCATCTATATACACTTTGCCGCATTCACATGGGATCTTGTAAACGACACCGTCTGGCTTTAATGGTTCCAGGGCGTCTTAAGGTCGTACTAAGTGAGACCTAAGTGTTGCGTCCGACTTGAAAACGGTCCGTATGCCTTGATGTTATACACAGCGGCGAGGAATTTTTGATACACCCTTTATGTAAGGGAGAACGGCAGTAGATTTAAATTCCTGCGCGGGCTCTTTGTTGAGTGTTACCCTTGTTGGCTTTGCGAGTTAGTACAAATGAAGAAGGGTAACCACCAGAAACAAGCACTGATCCTCAGAGATAACTGACGGTTTCGTTGTGAGGTGTTTGGCTCGGTCGTATAGACACTTAACCATACCACTCTTCACTGACTGAGGGTGGTGTGAGTCATAGGCTAGGTACTGGTCAGTGTGGGTGGGCTTTCTGTAGATAGTGGTAGTGAGAGGACCGTCTGAGTCCCTTGTAACTGTTGTGTCGAAAAAAGGAATGGTGCTATCTTTCTCGATTTCCATGGTAGAAGGAATAGTAGGCTGTTGCCTTTTTAGATGTGGTAAAAAGCTCTTGAAATGGTCCCGGTCTCAGACTGTGAAAGTTTCATCTACATATCGTTTCCAGATCTTAGGTTTGCAAGTCGCATTAGGGTCAAAGAGGCTATCCATATAAGACTTCATCCCAACAACATATATAGGGATAGCGGAATCGAAACTCCCAAAGCTTGGATACCCACGATCAAACAACACAACAGCCGATTTATGAGGATCTAGGAGGGAACACCTGTAGTCGCAAATCCACAATTTATTCAAAAACTCCAACAATCGAGATCAGGTCAGATCTACATACACTTCTTAACCTTTACACGATTTGCTAAATGGAAAATATACGAGCGATAGCTAAACCTGGGAATTTCAAACATTGAATTGTCTTTTTTTCGACTAAAGAACTCACATTATGTGGGAGCTTTCAGAAATCCGCCGGCGAACTAATGAAAGCAACACACATGGCGACTCGTTTTCCTCGTGTTCGCTCCAAGACCGCTATGCCTTATGGGAGGCACGGGCTTCTCAACTTTAGAAAGAGGAAATTGTTTAACAAGTGAAAATAATGAATAAAAAAGGTAACAACAACACCACTGATGAAGACTAGCAGTACTGCAGTCGAAACGTCGCGATCAACATCAAAAGTGACTATCGTGAGACAAACGAACAAAGTTCATCCCCAATGTCAGAATTACAGAATGAAACCGTTGGATTGTTTTCCTACCGAACATCTTGTTTCCCTTTAACTCCTTAAAAGTTTACAGAAGATGATGATTCACCTCTTTTGGAATGCCTTTACTTGTTTTGCACTCATGAATTCGAGTTAGGTTTTATACATATTCTCAGTCTTATTCTTCAGTCTTATTGTCGTGACTAAGTAATGAAGTTCCAATCATGAAAACGTCCATCAACAACCAATTCAAATATCGCAATATTGGCTGGGCTTACGGCCATTTCTTACAAACTTCTACCTTTCAACACGTTCCCGTTTAGCAAACATGAGAGGCTTATAAAGTTTGACCCAGTCTTCACCTGCCTTGATTTTACCTCATGATACTCTACTGCACAAAAAGGAATTTAACCAGTGGGACCAAATATGTGATTGATTGCCGACATCTTTGTTTCTCGTAGTGCGACACTAACAGACATCTGGAGTGGCTAAAAACCGTCCAAGAGTCTCATGGCTCGGTTGCTATGACGTCATTAGTGCAGGTTAAGACGATCAATTCCAGTGGTGTATACCTTGTGGGCCATTTGGATAGCAGTAAAGATCCATCTGCAAAACGAGGAAAACGATTGTCATACAAAGATGTGATCCGACTGACGGTTCCCTTTAAAGATGGAAGTGAAAAGGAACAAAGAAAAACGTATTCTATTGACGAACTAAGGGATTTGCAGAGTAAACTAATTTTGATCGCAGGGAAGGCTGAAAAAAGGAAGGATGACGTGGAGCAGTTCGTTAGGGTGAGTGAAAATACAATAATCGTGTGGACAGTTTTTTTTCCGTTTGAGTTGTTTTCTGATACCGCATTTATTCGATTGAACACTGGGGCGTTTATTAAATTTTTCGTTATTCGAGTGCGGCGTTTATTCGAGGGTGGTGTGTATACGAGGGCGACGTTTATTAGACATCCAATCCATTTTTTGCAAACAATTGAATGGTAACTAATCATTTTTATTTTTAAAAACAGAAATATGTTTTAGTGCTTGTTTCAAAAGTCATTTTTTGTGTCGTTCTCAATTTTATAATTTGCATGTTAATACTACTGCAATACATAAAGTGAAGAAATTGAATAACGTTCATACAATTTCATTGTCACTCTCCTCATCATGATCCGAGTCCAAAAGATGTAATGTCAGCTATGTCTCCTCGACATCAAAAATGATACATTCAAAAGGATCTGTTTCTGATTCACTCCGAATTTCCATCGATCGATCGTCCACTGTCTTACGACCCGTCCAACGCGCAGCTTCAGAGAGATTTGTTGATGACCCCAATGGGTAGCTATGCTCAAGAATCAAGAGCCCGCTGCAAGATGATTCTTCTCGGGGTTTCTTTTAAATTTCCAGCACGGTACCCAGCCATTCATCATACTTTTTAGAGCAAGCGGCCTTGAACGGCTTGTTCCAGCAAACATCTGGTGCCTGGATATACTTGGTGCACTCTGTTGGCACAATTACTAGATCGATTTTTTTTAGTGCAATGCATGAGTAATGCTATCTTCGATGTGGCACTAAAAGGAGTCTTAGGCTAATAGCGATCAACCACCAACCTTTATATCATTGCCTTAGTAGTCAAAAATCTGTTGTGTGCTTTTTTAGTTTATTTGAGGGCGGTATTTATTGATATTTCTGCTCTAAAATGCAGCGTTTATTTGATGGCGGCATTTAATCGAATAAGTACTGTACTGGTAGACTAAAATATTTTTAAAAAACGATCTCTGGCTAAAACTTTTAAAAATACGAGCTTTCGGCTGTTTGCGCTACAGCCTTCAACGGGTAAAATGATAAAAAAGGTAAAAAATATATTAGGTGTGAAGTACAAAGTAAAAATTAAAAATGCTGATAACTAAGAATGTTTGTTAAAAAGAATGTTGTATTGTCCGGGCAAAGGACAGGAATTGTTGTCGGCATTGGGAGTTAACTTGGAATGTTCTAAAAATGTTCTTGAATGTTCTTGAAATTGTTCTAAAACCACCTTTGTCAATAATAGATGCATTATCAAAGTCTATTGCGTGACTATTGGCCCAGACGTGATTGGCAATTCTTGAGCCTTTTGCCGCGGTTTTCACATTTCTGAGGTGTTCTTTCTTTCTTGTGTTGAAGGCCCTGCCAGTCTCACCAATATAACACCTTGAACAGTCACCACAAGGAATTTTATAAATAACATTTGTTTGCGATTCCAACAATGGTCGCAATTTTGGGGGCTGTCCTGGTGTACCGGTACACGAGGGAATTCCTTTTGTTTTCATAACCATACATGGAGTTATGACGCAGTTCGTTAATGTTTCCTTCCTTTGTGTACCGGTACACGAGGACACAACCCAATTTTGGGGCCGGGAGCTGTTGTTGAAGGGTGATGAGTGGTTTGTTCACCACTGTGATGTCGTGTTTTTTGAGGACACGAGTCAGAGGTTCTGTTACGCCTTTAATGTATGGAAGAGAGGCGAACGACTTGCTTGATGACTTGACCGACTTGCGGTTTTAGAACAAGAAAAATACTAGAAGCGTGGCATTCCAACTCCCAATGCGGACAACAATTCCTGTCCTTTGCCCGGACAATACAACATTCTTTTTAACAAACATTCTTAGTTATCAGCATTTTTAATTTTTACTTTGTACTTCACACCTAGTATATTTGTTACCTTTTTTATCATTTTACCCGTTGAAGGCTGTAGCGCAAACAGCCGAAAGCTCTTATTTTTAAAAGTTTTAGCCAGAGATCGTTTTTTAAATTTCATAAGGTGTTTTATCCTGGCTGCGGCCCCTCTATCTTTTCACATAAAATATTTTTATCTAATTATAGAATTTTGAAGGTGTCATGCGTCTAGCAACTGCATACATCGACCTCTTTGAATCTGGTTACATTCATCGTATGAATTGGAGCCAAGAATATCACTGTAGCAAAGATCAAGTCGAAGGCGAGTCTATCAAGAAGGAATTGGATAATGAAAGATCGGTCATCGAAAAGTGTTACAAGAACTGGAAGAAGAAGGTCGGTGATGCAAGGAAGGAGTATAGAGAATTGAATTTCTTTACCACGCAGCAGTTGATGACACTGAGGAAAGAAATCGCCACAGTTTGCCACAGCAACGATCTTGCTATGAAAAACATCCAAGTGCTCACTTTGCTGGAAAGTGTTTGTCCTTGTTTGACCAGCACACAGTTAAAATTAGCAATAGAGCGTGCTTTTAAGGACACAAAAATACTGGAGAACCCCAGAGGAACAGCGGAGCTGTCTTCATTCGCTCACGTTCCTTCAGACGACGGAATGGTGACTCGCAGGTCAGTGTTTGACAACAGCAATTACTTGGGCACGAGTTCCTCAACAGCAACGAGTACGTGTCAAGTACAAACTTCAATTGTCAAGAAACCGAAGCCAAAGGAAACATCAAAGATTCAAATTTTCTTGAATGCAGCTGCCGATGATGGTTATTCGGAGCAGATCGCTTTGGCTGCTTTGGCGAGTCTAGGTGTTGATGCAGAAAAAGACGACTTACTGTTGTGGTGTCTAGAAGAAGCCGACGAGGCTGACATCGAGGCTCTTTACGAAGATGCGAAGAAAAATCCTATGATTACCCGAGAACTCTTCCTAGAGAAGGTGGAGTCTATTAGTCAGGATATGCCAGCCGCTGTTACAGAGGAGGCGGTTAGCAAAGACGAAGATAATGAAACAGAGATCAGTCAATATCTTACACTCAATCAGCTTGGAAACATCCTAAGAGAACTTTCAGCTCCAGGTAACACTCACTTGTATTCATGCAAAACTGCTAAAAACGCTGCTGAGATCAATGAAAAATCTACAGCTGTGATGTCAAAATTATCTGTATTTGCTGTACAATGAATACGATGTTAATTTCACATTTCAGTAATTGGAGGGACAGCTCGCACCTTTCCAGCATTCTTAAAAAGAGGATGTCCCAACCTTATGATTGTTCCTAGAGGTAAGTCTAACAGGAACCCAGGGAGTACCTAATCATATCGGTACAATGTTCTAAAGTTCCAATAACCAAAATCATTTTGGTTTTGCTGCCCTATATTTCCCATCTTGCTTACTTTACACGACAGCATGTTTTCTCTACTATGATTTGTTCTTTGTTCTACCCATTTTGTTGTAGATGACATCCTTGCTACAGTCCTCGCCCTTTATATGCAGGACGAAAAGCAGCCTTTGCCAAGCCATGAAGAGGTGCTCCTTTGCACTCCTGATACCACCACAGAAGAGGTACAGTTTACATTTCGGAAGGATTTTCCTAATATATTTCCCCACCTATATACCGTTAATAAAAAATTGGGTCGAGGAGCTTAGTTGCTTAAAACGCCACTTCTTGATTTTCGTATTCAGCAGATTAAGAAAGGTAGGGAAATTTTCCGCCTATGATTTGAGTGGCTCAACCATTAAATTTTTTCTGCCTTCTATTTGTTTTCCTTTGTCGTAGATCGAGTTGCTGTGGAGACGTGCAATAGGGGACATGGAGGGTCGATTTTATTGTCTCGTACACGCAGATGTGTTGGATTTTTCAGTCAGTAAGCAAGTAGTGGAAATGCTTAGTGTAGTGACACGGGGACTTGCTGGCAAGGCTCGAGAAGGTGAGTTTCACTTGAATTAAATGACATGTTTCTCATCGAAAAGCCAAGGTTATGGGTATGAATCGTCGGTGGTTTTTGTTACTTCTCAGATTGTGGCCTGGTGGTAATCTGCAGTAGCGAGAATGAAGATCGTGCCAACATAATTGCAGCTCTTGATCAGTATCGTGTTGCTGCTCCACCCTGTCCTTCGCCAGGTGACCTGAAAAGCTACCTCAAGCATAAGTTCCAAGCACCTCTTTCTCAATACGGATACATCAGTGGTAGTAAGATTACTTGGACAACGGCTGGATCCTTAGACCCAGAAAAGTAAGTTCTCACTGATGTTCCTAGAGATTAAGACAGGGGAGCCTCCATTCTGGCCTTGGAGGTAGAAAATGTTTAGGAAAAACTTTTCCCTTCAATACAGTTGAAAGAAGTTTTTTGTTCAAATTGACTAAGTCTGTTCCTAGAATGGAAGATTTTAAAAAGAGAAACCCTGTTATGTGGTTCGAAAAAGCAGTCTTCTTTTGATGAGGAGTGGTGCATACTGATTTTTTTAGACTCTCCGTTCGAGTTGTCTCATCACACCGAGGAGGTTTGGGAAAGACTCTGTTTGTTCGTCGCTTAGCAGAACAGCTGCCTAAGCTCGTAAACAACGACATGGTTATGAAAAATTTGCGAAGACAAGACTCAAAAACATTCTTGCACGTGACCATACCTCTTCATGGGAATTCCACAGACTCGTCGATGCTTGTTGATGCGCTTCTTCCGCATGCAGTGAAGGCAGATATACCGCTGTCCCGTATATTCCATCTGGACGTATCGCCTTCGGTAAGATACTAAACGCATGCGAGTTGAAACTTGAATTAATATTTCCTGTGGCCAATACTTGTAAAATGCACAACCAGCTCGTATCTTCAGTCGCGTCAAAGGGCTAGATTAACATTGTTTATGTAACAAGTGTTGTCAATGAGATCCTGAACGAACGTTACTTGAAGTAAATTTCACATCATTTAATGCTGTTAGGAAAGCACTAGCAAAAAATTCAGAATTTAAGTTTCTTAAAGGTTTTCAGGCTCTGAACATAATCTTCTGCTGAATTGCAGTTAATGTGACAAAGACTTAATTCACTTATCTCAATATTTTATGAGATGTTATGTCCTCCTTTTAGATGAGACGGGGCTTGGACACCCTTATTTTCAACCTCCTTGTCCTCGGCTACCTTTGTGACAAGATGGGGAGAGTGTGGAGGAGACGAAGCACAGACTTGTACATCTTTGAGATTACGACCGCTGCTCCCCTACCCATGGGTTTCACTAGGGAGGAAGAAGCTCAAAGTCAAGGGGTGAGTGAATAAGTGAGAGAGGGAGAATGTCATCTATGGATAATAAATCAACAGAATAATGAAGTAGCACAATCAGGGAGAGGTTCTTCGTCCATTGTTTTGTCGGTGAATTAAAATTTCAGAGGCTAAATTTTGTGGAAGGAGTATACAGATCAAACAAGAGAGGTTACCCACTTGTGACGTTATGTAGTTTGGAAATCCAACCCGTGCCCCAACGGTGGAAAGCGAGTGCTCCTAGAGCATGGGGCCTGGAAGCTCATGGGTTGCAATCTTGGTGGTTCAAGAAGTGAATTAAATATCCGTTGCTTTAGGGAAAGTAACTTGTGTCCTTCACTGTTTCTACTTGTGATGTCTACCACTCTTTTGATTTTCAGAGACAATCTGGAAAATCCACAATGTCTAAGCGGCCATTTTATGACCTGCTACCAACTATTCAGTGTCAAACTCCAAGAACTGTTCTCTGCCGTTTAGAGGATACTCCAGGTATTTAACTGAGATTCTACTTCAAACATCAATTAGTGGCTGATTCTATAGTGAGTTTCCTTGAATTTTTTCCAGATAAACAGGACTGTAATCCACTGTTTGACGTCAAAGAGTTTCGAAACACACCGTTCCAGAGGGTTTATCAATATCTCAAACTGTTAAATGAAGGAAAGAGTCTTGACAATTTTACGTTTTCGCCAGGAAATGTTGATGAAGATCAAATGACATGCCTTATGCTCCTTCTAAGGTTTGTTGCATGTACCTAATTGGATGCTCTAACTTGTTAAAGATATTGTTTGCAGACTATTTCTTAGGTGAAAGGTACATTAACAATTTAAAATTAGAATATGAGAGGTTTCTTGTAAGGGAGACGTCCCTTTCTAACTTGACGCTTAGGCAAAAACATAGAGGGAAGGAATGAAATCTCCTCCTTGTTGAAGGTTGTTTAAACAACGTGTTTGGTCTCATGGTTACTTACTACCGTTTTCCTTTGCAGGAATTGCGGTATTCCTGATCCCTCTTGGTCAGAGATTCGTCATTTTGTGAGTTTCTTGAACTCGCAGCTCCGAGACTGTGAACAGAGTTGTTATTGTAACATGCAGCTAATGGGGGCTGTTTTAGAAGGACCCAACGTGCCGAATCTTGAAGGCTTCCGCTCTTTTGTTGTGCGCTTTATGATACAAATGTCAAGGGTAGGCTGGCTTTTCAAATCTTCGCTCACCAACTTTCTTATAGCGTCTTGGTGACTCTGGGACAGTTACCGCAGAGAAAAACTATTACACAAACGTTATTTAGAATGATGTGTGTGTAGCCGAGGAAAGGTGAAAGTTTTCTTTACTTAGACGTTGGCTTTTATCTTCAAAATTAGTTGCACGTGTCAACTTCGTCGTTTTCATGTAATGTCGCTATCTACAATGTATGTTTTAGCAGTCTGTACTAAAATCTCTTTATCAATTAATCAGACAAGTCTTCGGAACTAAAGAACTCGGATACTGGGTTTTAATTCATTACCTTGATTAGTGGAGCTTCTGAGTTCTATTACATCCCTTGATGGCTTTTCATCTGCAGTAAGTACATGAAGAGTTATTTCCTTTACTTTAAGGATTTTGCTACTCCATCTTTGACGGAAGAGAGCACTGTATTCTATACAGAGGATAACGCAGAGCTTGAACGACAAGAGATCGAACAGTTTCAACCTAGAAGACGCTGGGAAAGCAGGTGAGAGCTTAACTATCTTTTTGCTATAATTCAAAACGCCACATTTTTCTAGATTATTGTTGCCAATTGTTTTGTGATGAGTTAACTTAGACAGGTTAACTTTCAAGCAGCAATCGTATTGCAAGTTCATTTTGTGATAAAATTCCCAGAAAAGGACTATTTCTTCGCTTTTAATCGCCCATGTTTTGTACGCAGTTTGTCTCATGATAGTTCTTTTGTTATTCAGTCCTCATCCATACCTTTTCTTCAACCAAGACCACATAACTCTGACGTTTCTTGGTTTCTTCGTCAATTTTGCTGGTGATGTTGTTGACCCAGAAACAAGTCAAACTCTGGAGAAAGGTTTAATGTCCTGGCAATTACGAGATGGTCTGCAGGCCCAAGGTGTCCATTTTGCAACAAACAAGGAGACCTTCAAAAAGTAAGTGCTAGACGGTAAACCCATTTTTAGCGATTTGTCTTTCAAACAGAGTTATTACAATTAACCCTGGTTCTTTAGGAGTCAACGCTCAGGATTTCTGATAGGGTTGAAAGTCAGTGCTGAAATGTTCAAGGGACGTAATTGATAAATTGTTTTTTATGAAGTGTGTGGTAAGATTGGCAAAATTCTTGGAAAAGGGATCCATGGCGTACGGCATTTAGGGGGATAGTTCTGCTGGCCTCGTTGTACCTCCTAGAAGGGAAGCCACATTTTCACCAAAGCTTTTATTTCCTACGTGACACTTTGTTCCATAGTGATGAATTCTGTATGACATATTCATTCTGTTTTAGGGAGGGCAAGATAAAACAGTTATGTTCTGTGATGGGGGTAAACTGGTTGTACGATCCAGACAGAGCCTATGAATTAACTACAGACAATGTCAAGAAGATTCTGGCTATTCATATGAGATTCAGGTGATGGTGATATATTGCTTTGAATTCCCATTTCATTGTGACCACAAATTATGGTTAGATTATGCAAGGGTCGGAGCAAATTCAACTCTCAGTCTAAATGGCAACGAAACTGACAAAGATCGAACACAAACTCTAAACACTTTTCCAAAACTATTTTGCCATTGTCTGACAAAGTGATTTGGTTTTCGCTCACTTCTGGGCTTTAACATTTACAGATGCAACATTCCTGTGATCGTGATGGGTGAGACTGGTTGTGGTAAGACCCGTCTCATTCGATACATGTGCGGCCTACAAGCAGGGCCTAAAGGACCTCGAAACATGCTTCTCCTTAAGGTAAATTGATGGTTAAATTTCGAATATTTAGTTCTACCAGCAGCGTACCGACACCATATTTTGGTGGTGATAATGGTGGGTAACAGGTTTTTGATTATGATGGAGGCTATTGTGATGAAATGCTTTTGGTGGAAGTTTTCGGTGATGATAAAGCTGGTGGTGCTCCTCTTCTGAATATTGTATCGATGGTGATGCGAGTGTTGGTGCAGATGGCGAAGCTTTTGAGGTAGTGATCACGCAATTTTGGTGACGAGCTCATCCTGATGGTGATGGTAGTGGTCAGCCTAGTGGTAGCGATGGAGATTGGGATGGTTTTAATGGTGCCGTTTTCCGTGGTTGTGGTTCAGATGATGGTTGTTGTGAGGATGGTGGTAATACTGATGTTGGTAACGGTAAAGGCAAAATGGGGAGAGTGGGGGTATTTCTGTAGAGTTCAGGGGTGGTGCTGCTGTTGCTGTTGCTGATGGTGTTTGGAAGAGTTGGGCTGTTAGTTATAGTTTTGTTGATGCTCCTGCTGCTTATGGTTGTGGTAGTGACTTTGGCCGTGACAGTAGAGCTGCTTGTGGTGGGAGATGACAGCATTGCTCCTTCTGGTGGTAGGGAATCTCCCCCAGAAATAAGTTCAACAACACCTACTTAAGAGCTACGTCAGTTTCAAGACATCATATGCACTCCTTTCTGTTGGGATTGAATGACACATGCTATCATACTTTCGTCATACATCATTTTCTTTTCAAGGTTCATGGTGGCACAACATACGAAGACATCAAACTCAAAGTTCACCAAGCAGAAGAAATGGCCCTCACAAATCAAGAAAAGAACATTGACACGGTTTTGTTCTTTGATGAAGCCAACACTACTGAGGCACTGACCATGATTAAGGAAGTTATGGTGGACCGAAGAATCAATGGTCGGCCTATTGGACAAGGGCTAGAAAGGCTGCAGTTTATTGCTGCCTGTAATCCTTATAGAAGGTAAAACATGTGTCTTTCGCTCTAAGCTTAACTAAGCGCAAAGTTTCGTAGAAATGAATGGTAAGAGCAAATTGCTGTTTCCTTATGTATTTCTAGGCACAGAGACGAGATGATTCACAAGCTGGAGTCAGCTGGTCTTGGATATCTCGTTAAAACAGATGAATCAGAAGATCGTTTGGGTGAGGGACGTTATAGGGTTGAATTTCCTTAGAATTTTGTCAGAAAATTGACTCTGTGAAAAGAGGAGTGTTAACGAATCTATTGATCACAGGTGGGGCCTTGTTCAGCATTCTTTGTGAAGTTTCAATGTTGAAAGATTCCTGAAAAGGGAGGAACTTTCCTACCAGGCAACTGCCCATCGACAGTTCCCTGTTGGCTGATCCCCGGCAGTTACGACAGGCTCCGATCATCTAAGTTGGGTTACGCTCTGAAAAAACATAAAATAGTTGCGGTCAAGAACAGGGACATTGTGTCCCACATGCAAATGCGGTAAAGCATAGTGGTAAATTAAACTGTTGCTTGGAAATCAGTCTATAGTAATAATTGTTCTCCACAGGTAATATCCCATTACGTCATCTCGTCTACCGTGTACACGCCCTCCCAGGGAGCATGCGCCCGTTGGTATGGGATTTTGGTCAACTGAAAGCAGATGAAGAAAGACTGTATACTAACCAAATTGTCAGCCGTTACGTAAGTGTATTCTAACAGTGTTCCTGAACTCAAAAGAAGGTCTTTCTAACCCGTTAATTATCAGCCGTTAATTGTCAAGGAAATGAATCTAGAAATGCGTGACATTTTTTAGAGGGCTGAAGGAACGTTTTCAAATAATCGTTCTGAATCATGGTACGAGGCTGGAGAACAGGAAGTATGGCATTTAGATACTAATAACCTTCTGATTTTATGGATAAATACTTAAAGAAATGAAACATCAGTCCACCAAACTAGGATAGGGTTGTTGCTTTGTCTTATTCTTTCTTCAGGAATAACCACGATTGAAGATAGCAAACGTCACCTTACTCATCCCAAGGCTATTTTTCATACAATTTGATTTCACTATTTTGTGTTTCGGTTGTTTTTATGACAGATTCTTGACAAAGGACAACTAAAAGGAAACTCTTCGACGGTAGAAGCAGTTGCTGAGGTTCTGGCAGCCTCGCAAAAATATATGAGAGATCAATCGGTAAGTGAAAAGTTTTAAAACACTCTTTTTGCGCATTAGATGCATTAGTGTTATAAATTGCTTTTTGAATCACACGGTGGCGGTGCAAGCCCAAAGAGAGAATAACCTTTGTTTTTTAATCAAGGATGAGTGCAGCTTTGTTAGTCTTCGTGATGTGGAGAGAGCCATGCAAGTGATGGACTGGTTCTATAAGCACGTACATACACTCGGTAGACTTATGAAAGAGGTGACCGCTAAGCAACGAAGGGAGGTAGGTTTAGACGTCAATGCAGATGATGTGGAGGAAGAGGTGGTAATAAAGCTATTTGACATTTTGTGCCATAATAAATAAAATTATATCGAAAATAGGATTTGGGTCATAAACAATCCCATAGAATGCCAGAATGAACTATTTTCAAGTTTTTAAACCCTCTCAAACCGGTGGAAATGTTTCTTGATAGTCAGTTTGTTTGCATGAAAATTGGACCAAAAAGGGTAAACTTTGAAAACGCTCCTCGTTTTGGGCACTTCGGATTTACCTTATTGAATTATTTTATGATCCTACAAAACAACGGTCTAGAATGCATTACTGAAAATTTGGTGCTATAGTACATCATCTTACTCAAACCACAAATAGGTGAGTGTATCACTGAGGAAGTCCAATTATGTTTGTGGGGCCGCAAGAATTATGTTTAAAAGTGTCATGATATTGTATATTCCGCAGGATTCAATCACTCCCCTCACCCGTGCCCTGGTACTCGCCATTGGTGTCTGTTATCATGCCAAACTTCAGGAGCGGCGGGAAGAATATCGCACCGTCGTGGCACGCAGCTTTAAGGCGCCATGTTTTCTTCCAGGTGGTCACAAGCAGATACACCGTGAGATTTTAAGGTATGAGAAAAGTCTAATGCAACGAGGTCTACTTCATGCGAAAGAATTAATGACCCAGCTTTTTGGACCTTTTACGTACCCAAAAAGAAAGATATTTATTGCGCCCAGTCAACTGAATGTTGTAAACCTTGTATGTTGTTAAGGCAAAGAAGGTTTTGGTTCATATTTATGTGGTGTTGGCGGAGGTTTGATCAAAAGGATAAGAGTTATGGAGTTTCCCTACGCTGGTTCTTTACCAGATGCAAATAAGCAAGTTATCTCATGTGTCCTATTTTTGTTTGTACTAGTTGTCAAAAAGCTGTGCTAAAGGAGTTGGAACTCGGCCCCAACATTGCTCGCAACGCAGCCTTGAGCGAAAATGTTTTTATGATGGTGGTGTGCATTGAGCTCAGGATTCCACTGTTTGTGGTTGGAAAACCGGGCAGCTCAAAATCTTTGGCTAAGAATGTTGTTGCTGATAACATGCAAGGTTATGCTGCAAGATCGTCACTATTCAAGACCTTCAAGCAGGTTTTATGGCCATTTCAGATACACTGTAATGTTATTTTCTTCTTTCCCTGTGTGGAGAGCAATTAGGATCAATGTAATGGGAATTCGTAGGCGATATGTTAATCTCGCAGTAGTCAATGTCCTAGTTTCATTCAAGTTTGAGCTTTGGCTGGGCTATCATGTTAACCTGGTCAAGACACATTACTATAACAGCTTCTTTTTGCACCAAAAAGTACGAATGGTGACCAGCATACTTTCATGGAAGATAGTCGAATCTCTTGGGGATATTAGTAAATCATTCGCCATTTGGTCACCAGAGGTTTCTACGCGCTTCGCTTTATCCACAATATTTCTCCTCTACGTTTTGGAATTGAAGAGGATATTAATTTCAGTCACACCAAGCGCCTTTAACATCTTTTCCTTCCCAAAAAGTGTTGTATGCGTAGCATGCTTGTGTTTACCTCAAGGTCCGCTTTTAAGGACAGTAAAATTATTTATTTCATGGTAGGTTCACATGGCATCATATCAGTGCAGTCCTCTTTCAACCCCTGAGGGTATCGTGGCGACTTTCAAGCAGTGTAGCAAGTTACAGGAAGGAACAAATCCAGACAAGTTTGTTTCGGTTGTAGTCCTTGATGAGGTTGGTCTGGCGGAAGACTCTCCTCTCATGCCTCTTAAAACTTTACATCCATTACTCGAGGATGGTGTAACAAGTGCAGATGACGTCATCGAAACTGACGAGAAACCGCAGCGCGTGGCTTTCATTGGAATCTCAAATTGGGCCTTGGATCCCGCCAAAATGAACCGTGGAATCATGCTGTCGCGTGGGGTTCCAAGCGAGGAAGAACTTATAGACAGTGCTATGTAAGTGAAGTTTTTGGTATCCTTTCGCTTTGGCACTCATATTAACCTATGAGAAAACGTTATTGCGGCCGCACAACTAGTTTCGTTGGACCATGTGAAGACCGTCATAACTATGGTAAAGACACTTTAGAATAAAATTGATCAAATGGCTTTTGATCTCCGTTAAAAATGGTGGCCTTTAGAGATAAAATTATAGTACCTCCATCCACTTTGATGTGGTGATATCTCAGTTTTCTCGAAAATCGATGTTAGCCAATAACAATAATAATAACAGCATAATCAACAACACGGGCAAATTCCCAATCTATTGAAGAAACCTTCCCCCGAATGTTTTCAGGTGCTATTTCGCAATGTTTTGAGTCAGTCCTCCGTGGTTCTGAGTCAGGTTTGGAAACAGACGTTCCTTACCCTTCTTCACACATTTGAGTATTGTTTTCTAGGGGAATTTGCTCCACGGATGAAGTGGTGAAAGCTCTTATTCTGCCTCTCATATCTCCACTGGCCGCTGGATATGCAGAACTTTACAGGGAACAGAAACATTTTGCAACGTTAAAAAAATGTGGCAAAGAAGAATTTTTCGGTCTTCGTGACTTTTACAGGTTTGATATCTGAGAGCGTATATAGCTCGCTTCTTTTATGATGATTATACTTCTAAATTATGCGCTCGAAATGATACGCTTTTTTGTCTCTTTACGCAAGCCTCGTAAAGATGGTGTACGCAATCGCTGCAAAATCTCAACAGAGACCTCGCTGGCATGAACTAGAACACGCTATCAGGAGGAACTTTGGTGGCCTGATTGAAGGAGACCCTGTAGAGACATTTAAACGCTACTATACCGAAAAAGATGTAAGTTGACCTATGGAACAATATTTAGCTGGTGTCGAACTTGTTTCTACATTGCGTTCACTCCACTTCACTGAATTATATCCAATCATAAATCACTGCAAAATGGTACATTAAATCGTGGCGACAGGTTCGATACAGGGATATTATGATCCATGGAATCACTAAAGGATTATTCATATAAAATTCAAGGGTTTTTATTTTAATCGGGTTGATACATGTATGTTTAGCTCGGAAATTTAGTTAGCAGTGGCTTAGGATTTAATTTCTTGCTTAACCCTCCTTGTCAATGAAGGGTGACTACATTGTCGAAACCTCCACGACATTAAGATTGATCGAGGCGAGTCTTGGAAGGGAAGACGTAGCAGATAGAGCCAATTTCAGGTACATGTACAGTTCATCCAAACCCATTTTTTATTCCTTCGTTTGTTGGTCGTCGAGTCGTATAAAATAGTGATGGGATAACTTTTCATGTTAATTTAATGTCCTACAGTGAAAACCGTTACCTTCTGATTCTGACTGAAAAATACGCCGCCTTACCCATAATGCAGCAGCATCTTTTGAGAACAGCGGACAATGTGGTTGTCATCTTTGGAAGTAGTTTTCTAAATGACCAGGACTACACTCAGGTAAAAAGCGTGGGAGGAAAGACTCTCTTTACTTCTTACGAGAATGGCAATACTCCTCTCAACTTCAGAAATAACACATTTCTGTTAGCAGAGTTTTATTAATTACAGTTTGCGTCAGTGTCCGACTTTTCATGATAGTACTTGTCTTTGAGTTGGCTCGACAGTGTACTCAGGACTTACTATCAAATGTTTTTTAGAGATTGTGGGAGAGGTAAACGATGATGGCATGAAAAAGTAAATTTATGGATCTAGGAACAAACTTTTTTACGAAAGAATTCAGTTTCATGTGCAAATCGAGAGATGATTGTTTCTGGTGTTCAGTGCATGAGTCCTAGAGTAAATTGTTGAACTTTATAACTTACGTTTATAACTTGATGTCCAGATTTGTCGCAACATCAATCGTATCAAGGTTTGTATGGAGACAGGAAGAACAGTGATTTTATTGAACCTTGAAAGTCTCTACGAGAGCCTATACGACGCCCTAAATCAGGTGTGATATATCTGTTGCAAATGTTGTACATTTTGTTGCTAACATTCGCAATGCCTCTCTTTGTAGGGGCCAAGCGGAAAGTGCTTTACTTTGTATTACCATGTTAAAAAGTATTGTGACTGTTATTGTATATGTTTAGTCGTGTCTTCAATGGTATTGTACATGTGCTGAGGTGGGAAAGGCTTGGGAAAGTTAAGTTTTATTTCTTGGTATGCTGTATTTCTAGTATTATGTATACTTTGGAGGACAGAAGTATGTGGATCTTGGGCTTGGTACCCACCGCGTCAAATGTCGTGTTGATGATGGCTTCAAGTAAGACTTTTTGCTGATTAGCTACAATCAACGTCATAATCAGTTGATACATCATCTTTGAATAGTCCTATATACGTGTATAATAACACTCCTGTCCCTTCCACACTCTAAATCATTGACAAGACCCCCTCCTCATTCAATGTTGCCCGTATGTAGCTGAAGGTTCATGGAAACACGCTGCAACATTGTTTTGGGAGGAAGGGGCGAATAGGTTTAACGAGTACAAACGAGATAAATTTGAAGTTTTAGGGAGTTGAATAAGGCAATGTGTCAACAATTTTGTCGCTGATCGTAGATAATTTCGATCTTTACGAACATTTTATTATTATTCGGTCAAAATGTTATTTTTTGTGTGTTTATTGGTGAGCAAATTCATGTAAGGAAACAAAAAGAAAATATCCCATAAAATTTACCTTTTTTCTAACGTTCTCCCAGTGTGCCTCCGTATCCCAGTGTGTAGTAACGTCTTCCTAGTGTCTTCCTAGTGCCTTTCTAGAGTCACATCTTGTATAATCCTTGATAATTTCACTCCCTTTTGTTATTGTGGCTCAGCTGTTAGCGCCATTTCGTTACTTGTTATTACCGTGGGTCGAAGAGATGATTTATTTCATTCACACTGCAATGGTGAGGTTTATAAGCTGTACTTTTCTTTTGTCACAAAAGTTTCCTTGAACTTCCCTATCTGGCGACTCTAAGCGGCTAGACAGAAAGCATAATAAATTTAGATGTGCTCTATACGTTGTAGTTTCCTTCGCAGTCGTGGCTTGGATTGCGTTTTCAAGACAATCTCTAGCCTTTGTTGTTTTCATCGTCATCTTCGTTCCTTCGTGTTCCCTCACAAACGCAGTGCTAGTGAGCCATAGAGCCTTAACCTATTGTTTTCATCGCTTTGAATTTTAAGTCACTCTCCCTTCTTCAGATTAATCGTGATTGCTGAAAAGGAAGTGGTGTACAACAACTTTCCCATTCCATTGATCAACCGCCTGGAGAAACACTTCCTTGTGACCTTAACAAGTTTGACTCCTGACCAGAAGGACTTAGTACAGAAAATACGGATCTGGGCTAATGAATTTGCTGAGGTTTCGGGTGAAGGCAGACGTGTCAGGTGATGTACACAAAAGGGTTTCGAGGCTTTGTTAAGGACACGCAATGTTATTGCATTTTGCAGTGTTCGGAATACTGCACGATTTTGGGTGCCCAAGAGGCGCAATTTAAAATAGTAATAAGGTAAAGCCTACGGAACAACTATTCATAATATTAAAATTTTATTGATTGTGGGTTAGTTTATTTTAACATTAATTTGTTGTTTTATAACAGGGACTACTCCATCGGAGACGCTTTTGTTGGATTTCACGAGGATACAATTCCCTCCATTGTCTTGCAAGTCTCTAATGAAATTCCAAGAGAAGACCAATCACCGGCAAGTTATGACACAGAGGATACATGGGAAATGAAAGTAAGGTTCACAGAAATGTCATTTTAAGATACATACATGTTGATGGCTTCTGCGTATTTTAATAAATAGGAAATTTTGCGAGTTTCAGAAATTTTTACTCCGTTAGAAACACTTCGCCGGTACAGCGAGCAAATTCTGCTCTAGTATGTTTAGCAATCGGTTTGAGGATTAATGATTTTACCATAATATAATTTGCTTATATTTTTTTCCTGCTGAATCATTAAATACGTATTTTGTTACGGATATGATATTCCTATCGATCACCCCGAGATGCTTGCGAAAGATGGGACATTGAAAGTGACTCCTAATTTACATACTTTGCCTGCAACATGAATTGGGCTTTTGATGACGAAGATTGTAGTGTAAAGTATATTTTTTTACTCTCACCCGACTAGCAGAGTAACGTTGTAGTTGTCTTTTCTCCCACTAACTAGGTACTTCGACGATCTCAGATGATGCTTTTGGAGACGGCTTCACCTGATGCCATTGCTCGCCTTCCTCACACTGCTTTAGAAAGACGAGCCCCTTATATCTGGAATGCCTACTTTAAAGAACAACAGCACTCAAGTTTGGCGAAGTTCATGTCGCACGTGCTCAATTTGGAGGGTAGTCGTTTTGATGAAAAGCGTCAGGAGGGGCTCATGATCCAAGTTAGTGACGGGAATGCAATGTCCTTCGTTAATAGTTTGCTTCTCTTTTGAGTAAGGTAGAGGATTTAAAAACCACATAAGCAGCAACATTTACAAGCCCTAACGGTATAGTAACGATACCAACATGTTCTAAAGTGGTTAAGTGAAACTTAAGACCTTTATCTGGTGCAAAGTCTTACAAGGCGTTGTAGGTAATGTTCCATAATCAAAAAATTTTTCCTCGAACCAGATTTAACCGCAAGAAAATCAGCAACAGACAACTGGAGAACTAAATTTATATGGGACTGGCTTAATCACGAACTTGTATTTTTAATGTGGTAAATTTGATGTTGAAAAAAAGTTGGTTCGAGAATCCCCAATTTAAACAGACTTTCAGCTTTGTTGTGAATGGGATATGGCTTATTAAACAATGTTTTAAGGTAGCAAGAAGAGGTTTAGAATGAGAGCAGAGAAAATGTTTGTGATGCTGAACCTCGACACGTATTCGTCTCATGCGGTTGGTGATATTACCAACTGACATGAATAGGGCAAATAACCAAATGAGTGTGGCTCTTGCAAGACCAAGAATATCCATATTTGTTTTGTGTTTGTTAGTGTTTGTCATTGAATGCGCTGATTTTCATCTTTATTTCAGATTACTACTCATTCTCGTCTGCTCTCTAAGAACGATTTGGGAGACATATGCAATCAAACTGGCTTTGAACGGTCGACTGTGGATTCCATGACACTGCTAGAGTTTCAAACAGAACAACAATTCAGGGCTTCAGTCAGGTGAGAGCTTGATGTAAATCAGCGCGCATAGCAACGACATTAATTGTGCCACAGAATTCCAATACATGTTTGAAACGAGCTAATAAAAAGGCAAAAACCATGAAATGAGGTGAACTGAATTTCCTTTTTTGTTAACTACAAGGAAAAATTGTAGGAGAGAAGGACCTTTTGTGGAATATTCCCAAGTTTTGCCTACGAGCTTTACTTTTTGTATCCATTTATTTGATAAGTTTCTACTCGTGTAGACCACTCTCCGTATATGCGAATTTTTTCTGTGGCTAACACATTGACAGCTTTAAGTGTATCTCACCTTGGACGTCTCAAATAACTTTGTTTGAAACGAACCGTTATCTTTTTCTCGCAGAACTTTTTTTGAACAACTCGGCGGAAAATGTCCTGGCATTCTTCTGGTTCAGTGTGATTCAGGAGATGAAAACTTCAACCTGATTGCGTGTGCAAAACACATTCTCCTGGAAGAACGAACAAACGCATCTGAAATGCTCAACTTGTCTTCGTTGGAAGCTGTCCACATTGTGCTGATCACGCAGCTGCCAAGAATTGCTGGTGGATGTCGTAACTTTATCGGTTTGCAGGATGGAAAATGGATTTCCGCTCACATTGATGAGCTTCGTCCACCCAGTAGGCACACTCCTTCCATCGAGCAACTCACCGATCGTCCCATCAGTGAGCTTTTTAGTGGAGACCGCATTGAGGAAGATGACGCCATGCCAGTGGTGACAGTGGCGGTGAAGCTTCTTCGTAACTGTGTACAGGCGGCTGCTTGTAGGGTTGAGAGCGAAACGGAATCAGCTGAAAGGTCAACTCACAGGATTGAGCTGCTTTTGGATTTACTACCAGATAACTACCAAACTCAGGGGGGTTAGTAAAGAGAAACATTTTGAGATTTTATAAAAAGTTCACAAGTCTTTCAATTTAAGGACTATAACCTTTCAAAAGGTGCAATCGAAACCTTCAAGGTTTGAAATTTGCCTGTCTTCATATTTGGAAGGCGAATGCAAAATCTCCAAATTTAACTTGAATATTGCAATCATCCGATTGTACCATTGGTGTTATCCTCAAAATATCTCCAGAAATTTGCGGGAAGGTATTGATTAAGGCGCTCATTTTCCTGTAATTGAAGAGATTTGGTATTTCCTACAATGATTGGTACCAAGAAGCGGACACCTAGAAATTTGCGAACAACAGAAGAGTTGTTCTAAGACATACAGAATCATTCTCCTTTTGCTATTGCTGTGACACTGTGAGAGTAATGCGCTACCTTTTTCCAGAGATCATTGTGATATAGAAGCTACGAAAGACAATCCATTCATACGGCATCCTAAAGTTGTGACCATCTTCTTCTCTGGTGTCGTAAGGGAGGCTGCGAGAATGACAAGGGTGGATTGATTGGGTTATTCATCGCCTAAAGCTTACAATCTATTTAATAAACAAAGCAATAATGAATTGAAACGAAAATTAAATTTGTAATCTTTGCTGATCCATTAAACCAATTCAATTTTTGGCGTAGTCCTAAAGCATTTTTAGTGTTATTCAGAATTGTAGTTCTGAGGGCAATAGTTAAAGTAACGTTGTGTGAAGTGACTTGAAAAAACCAGGTCTATTTCAACAATTGCTAGAATTCAACTCCTCAATTTCATTATTTTATTTATCTCTTTAATCCTCACTCCCATCTCTTTTAAGATGAAGAGTCATTTGCAAGCGTGGCGGTACAAAGAACGTACCACCTCTTAAAGGAAAGGGAGCTAACGGCGGCAAATCCACAAGGATGGCTCGAATCAGAGGCTTTGTCGGGAACAGGGATGCAAGAGTGGGGCACCTTTAGAAAGGCTCTTCTGCAACGAGTGTTCTCAGTTGTGGTTCCAATTTTGGCTGAGATCATTGCATTGGCAGACAGAGACTGCAATCTAGACTTATTGAAGAATGAAAACGCGTGGGTTTCGAGGCTGTGGCTGAAGATCTTGGCCGACCGTAGCATCTCAGTGCTGAGTCACCGTGACATGGTATCACCCGCCGCTAATTCTGTTCGAGAACGTGTCCAAGTTATTGGTTCTGGGGCCGGTGGTCATCGTTTTTCCTGCCGATTTCCATTTTCGTTTATTATCAAGGAAAGCGTGGAAAAATTGTTAAAAGACGCAACTAGCGTCGAAGGTACATGAACTACTTTTTGCATTTTTTTGCCAATTTTTTTACTGTTGTATTTATGTTTGTATGTGTATGATCAACAACATATGAGTAAATCGAGACTGAAGACCACTATTGGTACTTTTCTTAAATTTTCTATTGTTTACGAAAACAGGAATTGTGGTTAAAAATCCAGACTCATGAAACATGAAACAAATCACTAAAAATAAATTGTCAATCATGGGCATCTCGGATATGAACGATATATCCTGGTGTTCATGACGTCAATGAGGTAAATTGAAGGACTCGATTTAGTTCTGTGTAGCAACAGCTGTTTTATTAATGTTTCCTCCGTTTTAGCTCATTCTGGCGCCACTCTGTTGGACTCTCTTCGTGAAATGATCAGTAACTCACAGTTGGGACCTCCACTCGATGAATTGCACCCTCTGTACTCCGCGGGACTGCAATATCTGATGGATTTTGTTCACATGGTGTACAAGCCTTCGAGTGATATGGAACACGAGGTTTCATTTCCACCAGTGTTTTTCATCACAATATAAGATTTCTTCGGAGAATAGTTATTATTTTCTCTCGTAGCGCTTGCTTAGGCTCTTCACCGCGCATCCTTTCCCATGAGAAATCGTCTTAATCATTCAATTATAAACGTTAGCTATCGCAAACGATACAAATATGTTGAATGTGTTACTATACAAGAGGGAAATTTTCCTTTTGATAGGAAAGTCAGGGAAAGTCGAAGAGAAATGTTAAGCTTTCTAGTTGTGTGATGACGCTCTCTTTAGCCTGATTACGTTTAAGTTTGCTTTTTTTTCTTCTTCTATTCTTTTAGCTTGTTTACGAAGCGATTCTTTCGTCAGCGAGAGAAATAGTTACCCTGGAAGATGAGGATGGTAACGAGTCCATTGATATAGCACTTGTTCATGTTGCACACAGTAGAGTTCAACACCGTTTGAAGTGTTTTGATACTCTTGTTAAAGCGAATCCAGATCTGGTACCAAGACTGCGGAAAGTTCTTCAAGGAAACGAGCCAGAAGTGGTGGGTTTAAATGCCTTACTCGAATATTTTAAGACATTATATGGACAGAAGCTTTAATTTAATTTAGGGAAAAGGTTTCGTAAGGGAGTCCTACACTGATACATTTATGTTCCTTTAGCAGACCAGGTTATTTTATATGTCTTGTTTCATAACTTAAAACTATCACTTGTTTGTAATGGCGAGGTAGTCACAAGCGCAAGAGCCCCCTCCCCCCCCTTCTGTTTCAGGTACAACGTTTGGTATTGTTTAACTGATCTATGATATGATTTTCCCCCCAAATTTTGGAATTTTAAAATTTTTTACAGCTTTTGGATGTCCTAGCATTAAAAATCTGTCTTGTGGCACTCGAGATTTCACAAGGGAGGATGCTTTCTCCGAACACACAACAAACTTGGTGTGACAGAGTTTTGACTATAAGGCCAGCGGTGGAGAACATGATGAGGAAAGAGAGGTTGGGACTTGTCACGGAGAAATGTTCATGCTATGGAAAGAGATCAACTCAAATAATTGATCACTGCAGGTAACAAAACAACAAATTTTCCCTTCTTAAGGTTGGTTTTCACTCTGACACAAGCAGAAGCCGACTAAACGTTCTGTTACGGTCAGTTAAATCGGCAGACCTTATTGGTAAGATTTTGTATAATCAGTCATTCGCTCGGTCCGTCTTTTATGAAAGGATTTTGCATGTTGAATCAGTTGGACTTTTGGCCAGCCATGTGTAGTCATCAAGTGATTGCACAACCTCCCAAGAGAGTAAACGTCATAAATAAAGAACTAAATGGTACTTCTTCAAAGAGGTATTTACCAGTTATCAAAAAGGGTATTTACCAGTCATCAAAGAGGTATTTACCAGTCATTAAAGAGGTATTTACCAGTCATCTTTACTTTGTCCAAGCCAAGTTGGAAATTCACTATTTGAGAATTCTTACCGACGTTGCGGATTTAAATGGCAGGAAATGATTCCAGGTATTGAGAATGACGCGAGAAAACTAATTTTGCAAGGCTTTGGCCATAGTAACTTTGTCGAATTCGATGGGGTATTTTTGCTGCGCATAAAAATTTATTAAAATGTTATCAACGCAAAACGTCAGTAGTAGCCTGCTTTAACAAGTTGTTTAGAGGACCTGTAGAATGTATCAGAAAGTGCTTATAAAAAGTGCTGCTAATCATAAGGTTATTTCCTTTTTTTGTGGATCAGGTCCATGTGGCAGCGAATAGGAGCTGTTCGACTCTTTGCGGAGCACGTGACTTCGTTCGCAGAGAAAGATAAAGACGTCAGTTCCGAGAGCGTGATCAGGTTGTGGAAGGTAGTTTAGAATTAGGAAATGCTTAAAGGAAATAATCAATTAAAAATTGAAATTCGATAATAACAAACATGCTCTCCTCTGAAGGTTTTAGGTGATAAAACTGACTTTTCATCGCTGAGATCGCTGCAGGTCATTGAAAAATTCTTGATTAACTACAGTGACGACATCAAGCAGAGGTAAAGTGGCACATTATGCACAATTTAGTTGTTATTTTTTCCCTAATATAGGACCTCAGTCTCCGCAAGTATCAGAGACTACACTATTGATCAAATTTCCCCACAATTTTTTTCGGGTAAAATCTGACACGAGCCGTCTTTGGACTCACTTGTCACAAAAAGTTTTTCAGTGAATTAGATCAAATCCAGGCTAGCCATCTCCTGATATTTTTCTGAACTACTTAACTTAAATTGAAAGCGGAGTGAAATTTGGAGACACTCCCAGGCTTGTAATTGTGGAAGGTGTCATCGGCCTGTGGCCACTAAAGTATTCATTGGTGTTACAGCGTCAGCCACGGCTGAAAATTTCAGGGAATGTGGTGGGGTGAAATCACTCGTCTCCTAATTGTGTGCCCGAGGTTTGTTGCTTAACATCTGTTTCAAAAAAATTAAGGGCCAGGGGTTTATCTGCAAATTAGGCTTCAGTCCCCTCGCGTCCGTATACATATATTGAAATTTTCGCGCAAAAAGAACAGTTGTGTTTGTCTTCCTATGATCGTTTCTTTGCTACATCTCGTGTTCCCCTTCTATCCAAACCGTCAGGTACGTTTTGCGTTTTATTTTCTCGTTTGATGTTTCGCTTTGTGAGCGTAATTATTGTTGTCGGTAGCTGGCTGTAGTGCAATTTAATTGGATCATGTTTCAGAAACCACTGGTTACGAATGAACTGTATGGTTCATGTAACCGTTTTGAAATTTGCCGGTGCGTTCGCTACAACATCCCTGTTTTGTAACTGGTTCCTAGATTTTTTCCCACCATTAAAACCAAAACTCCAAAAGCCGAATCGAATATGATTACTCCGTGAAAATATTCTGTGAATATTTTCACAGAGTAATCATAGTTTCTCACAGCTTTAAATGCCAAAAACTCAAGTTATTTTTGGCTGATGGCGGGAAACCATGGCTTATGACAGAAATTGAAGGGGTTATCGAATCTGAGGTTAAAGAAATAACTCTACTGCTGTACTTGTAATTATTCATGCTTTCTTTACGACCACAGGACCAATGAAGAGACTGTTTTTGAGTTGCGTCGCCGATGTAATGCCTTTTTCATGGAGCTGGTGTCAATATTCTGTTTTGGTGACTCGATGTCAAAGGACCTTGAACAGGAAGCTATCACTCTGCTTATGCATTATGTTATCGGTCGTAAGTCAACTGAGACAAAGGATTTCTCTCCATTCCCTGATTATGCTATTGACCCCACCCCTGTGGTGCGTTCATTTCTTCTCCAGCTGCTATTGCGCTCAAGGTAAAAGCATTAAGAAACAATCTCTTTCTCAATTAGAGCAATCTCACTTTCCTGTCCCTAACACGTCTGATTTCCTTTGTTCTTATCTCCAAATCACATCAAATTGTCCAATTAATGAGGGAATAAGTATAAACTAAATTGTCTGTTATTTTTAAAATAGTGTGAGGTTGACAAAGTTGGTGAAAGACCATCTGGGAGTTTTCTTTCATGGGGCTCGGTACTTAAAACCAGAACCTCCGCACGTCAAAGAAGTCTGCTTCCTATGCGTCCAGTGCATGGAGGTGAGTAAATTAAACTAATACTACATACCCGAGATATTACTTATTTCGCTTGTATTATATGGAGTAAATTGTATTATCAAGTCATAGCTGTTCTCAAATCTAACTGCTTTTACCACAGGACGTCCTCATTAGCCGATATCAAGCCAAAGTTGCCGATTCGAAGTTAGAAGTAAAGCTCAAACATGCTAAAAAGACTTGCGAAGAGACATTAACAGCTCTTAGGGCCAGTGACGAGGATTCTGCTGAAATAAGCGCTCTTTCTCTGGATGGAGTTGCTAAAGGACGTTACATCTTATCATTGGTGGCAGAGTTCCTTTACAAGTTGTTCATTGAAGGAGATAACAGCTACGAAGGCCTTGAAGCTAGGAGAGAAGTGAAGTTATTATTAGAGTCTGCAAGGAAGCTTTGCATGGAAGTGTCGAGTTCGACACCGCGGCTCTACCTGCTTAAACAGCTTGTCTGGCGGTATGGCTTGGACTGTGTCCGAACTCTGGGTGAATATGAGGAACTGGCGTGGATTCTACTTCCAGAGGCCAGACAGCGGGTAGGTAATGCATGATTAATGAATGGATTTCGTTGAACTGTATGAGAACTGAATCATGAAAGGAAAATAGTATGCACATGTCGTAAGTATACAGGAAAGGAAAACTCTAAATACAAGGAGGATTCAATTTTGGTGAGTTCTGACTTTGTAGTCAGGTGCTCTACTTACAGTGAACATGTTTACAAGCCAGGCCATCTGCTGTGAGAAGTGAATTTCTCTGTACTCAATAAGAGCAAATATGCTTAAACCTCGTGAATACCTCTCAAAAACCACAAGTGTTTCCAAAGCACAACGGTTAAGGACTGAAGGAGCGGAAAAGAGGAAGAACTTTTGAAACTCCAGACTCTTTCCGTCCTCTTTTTTTTCTGCTCATAATGGAACAATTCTCTTAAATGATTGAAGGTAATAATCTTTTACATTTTACTTATGGTAGTACATGTTGCTTGTTATTGATATTTGGTCTTCAATCTGTAGGAGAAGTATGTAATCCAAGACAGCTTTATTGTTCATGGAGACCATTATCGTGCCATCCGTGAGGGGCTGGCCAAAAGTGTCATCAGTGGGAACATCCAAGACATTGTCACAGCCATTACGGTTGGTGTTCACTGTGTAACTGTTAACATTATTCTTTTTTTCTATGGTGCCGTTTATCTTCGCTATTAATGAATAGGTAAAGGTGAAGGCTGTGGATTATTGTGGGTTATTTTAGATTTGGATTGTATCAACTCCAGACATTCAGAAATGAAACAAGATATGTTAGCACTCGTTTCGATAAATATCACACCCAATAAATGAATTTGATGGCATGCGGCTTCCTAATACAACTTGACGATTATACAATGTCTGCTGACTGCATTGTTTGTCATGCATTCTCAGCAGTTCACATCATGCCATTTCCTGGTCGTAAGGTTTCTTTTTCGTTGGTCGCTTTCAAAATTTGCTACGTCACCCGTCAGTTATGTTATTCGTTTGTGGTGCTGCCTTTCTTAAGAAATATACTGGATCCACCCCTGAGTTATGAAGACAGTCTTCATCTTAAGATAAATTCGTTTTATCCACTGTGTTGATAATGAAAATTGACCACCATTAGGAATTTCTTAGCTGATAGTTCGAGCTTTAGCCCTTCGCCATTCCCTCTGTCGCTCTGTTTCTTTAGAAACTTACCCCCTTTACTCATTTGACTTAATATTAGAAGACTTAGAGGTTAAATTTTACAAATTTACATCTCACAACCATACTGGTAAGCGAAGTGTAAGTACCTTTATAACAGTGAAGGCCATAAGTCAACAAATAAACATCTTTCATGAGAAGTTCCAAACACCTCACCCTTAGAACCTTGAATATTTTTCGTAGAAAACAGGATTGCAAGATGTTTCTAAGAATGTTATTCTCCTCCTGGTGATATACCGTGAAATAACAATGGCAAATTGTTCTCCAGTTCAGACACAGAATTTGTCTCTGAAGGTAAGGAAAAACGATTTACACTTTCCAAAGAAAATTAAATTCTTCTCCGTATGCTTAGTCATCCTTCCTCCTCGCTGATTCGACACACTCTCGCCTGCTAGTTTCAGAAAAGAAGATATATGAGAGTAAAGCTCGATGATTTCATAAGAAAGGGAGGACACATAAATGAAACGGTAAGACCAATTAAAAACATGCACGCATGTTTACTACAAAATCGATTGTCGTTGAGGTGACTTGAAACGAAAGGAACAATAGCACATTTTTCAATTCCTGATTTTTGTGTTAAATGTTGTCGACTTGTGTGATACCAGAGGAGCTGGTAATTGTATAGTAAACGCTACCATTCTTTCCTTAGTCTCTCGTTGATTAGGCTGTTGAAAGGTACGTTTTCTATTTGTAATAAGTTATGTCTATCATTTAGGCTCAACATTTGGCCAAGGAACTTCTTGAAAATCAACAAGGTGGAAATCTTAGGGAACTTCAAATTTACAACGGAAAGAGTCCGCAGGAGCATGCCTTGGCCGAAATTGTGATCCATACAGTAGTAGCTTTGCAGTGTGTTGGTGCAGCATCTTTGGCTCAGCCCCTTTATGCTCTCATGACTGATCCATCGACCATGAAGGTAAGTAGACACAGATATGCCATCCTGAGAAAAAATGAAATGTTTTGTGCATAGGTCAAAATAATAACGATAAGGATAACAATCTAAGTTCTATTGTTAAAACGGTGAAATAGCATTTGCATGTCTAACTCTACAGTAAAGTGAGTAAGTTTCCAAAGAAACTGTGGTGCTGCGTCGGTGGGAGAGTATAACAGGGTAATTTGGTATTATCTATTGAGTTGATAACGTAAATTGGCCACAGTAAAGAATTTTAAAGCTGACGTTTCGAGCGTTAGCCCTTCGTCAGAGCGATTGGAGGAATTGTGGGTTGTGTGTGGGTTTATATGCAGAAAGTGGAGCTACGCCATTGGTGGGAATATGGTGACGAGAAAACAGGAAAAATTAGTTGAATGAAAAGCACTCAAAGCCCATTGTTATCAGTATCTGGGCAACTGCCCACCTACCCCTCCCTAACCCAACATTAACCCTAACTTGTTATGGGTTTGGGGAGGGGTAGGTGGGCAGTTGCCCAGATGCTGATATTGATCCAAATTACCTTATTCCATAGTAATAAAGGGGTAAGTTTCTAAAGAAACTGTGGTGCTGCGTCGGTGGGAGAGTATAGCAGGTAATTTAGTGTTAACAACTGGGTTGAAAACGTAAATTAGCCACCGTAAAGGGTAAAAAAGCTGACGTTTCGAGCGTTAGCCCTTCGTCAGAGCGATTGGAGGAATTGTGGGTTGTGTGTGGGTTTATATGCAGAAAGTGGAGCTACGCCATTGGTGGGAATATGGTGACGAGAAAACAGGAATAAATTAGTTGAATGAAAAGCACTCATTGATTCCGTGGGGATTGAGGGTGCCGATTTGGAAGATAAATTTTTGTTCAAGTGTTTTACGGCTTTCCGAACAGCCTAGATTTAAGAAAAGGCCGCAAACTGCCATATGCTGTTTAGAATGATTAGGAAGATTAAAGTGTCTAGCGACTGGTTTGGATGCGTCCTTGTCATTTCTTTCCATGTCGCGAAGGTGTTCTCGGAATCGGTCACTTAGTCGTCTTCCTGTTTCGCCGATGTATAACTTATTGCAATAAGTGCAAGTTATGTAGTGAATAAAATTGGCGGAGGTACCGTTATTTACTGCATAACATTGGCGGAGGTACTGTTAATTTATCTAATTTACGTTTTCAACCCAGTTGTTAACACTAAATTACCTGTTATTCCGTAGTAGTTTACTGACAGAATATCTGATTTCTCCGTTGATTTCCTGGCACAGAATTCTTTTTTACCAACAATGCCCGAGGATAACTATCTCGAGTGCATGGAGGCCATCGCTGAAACAATGAGTGGCACTGGTTCGGCTGGAGAGTGGTATGGTAAGTATCTTTTTTATTTTAACAAATGTTTACGTTTGAATTTAGCAGCGATCTTAAATAAGAATGTACAATTCTAGTATTCCAACGAGAACTTTAAAATTACATCTTACACCTTTCTTTCTTTCTTTCAGAATGTGGTAATTGCGGATATGTGTATTTCATCGGGGAGGTAAGGAGATACATCCATTTTTTTTTTATTTGGACACTAAAGCCTAAATAGGACACGAAATACTTTAAATTAAGAAAATTACTATTAAACTTCAAGTTTAGCAGTAATATGCAATATTTTCCTTAGCAGAATATTGGTCTCAGGTAGAGGGAAAGTACTCAGGGTTTTGATGGGCGATAGTGGGGAGGGTGGTGGTTCAGAATCCCTTGAACTCCTTTCTAGATCCGCAACTGACTATCATAGACCAAGAAATCAAGGGTTGCATTCTTAGAAACTTGCCGCAATGGGTAAGGGAGAAGGATGTAAATACGTTATCAATTACCTGTTACCCGAGTAGAGAAAGAGCCCAATGTACTTTTCGCATAGTCACCGGTTCTGATTGTGTTCACTAACACGGATTTTATATGTTTTGAAATAGTGTACTAAACCAATGCAGCAGGGCATTTGTCCGGATTGTGGAAAAGTATTAGGAGGGGAGCAGCACAAGTTCTTAGGAAAATGCAGAGTTTCCGAAAAGTAAAGTGAACACATCTTATTTGAATAACTTAAACGTTTCTAAATGTTCTTTCTGTTTTTAGGAAAATAATGCTTTTTTTCTATCTCACGTTGAGGACGGATTTTTATCAAAAAAGGGAGCTACGTTGAGATGTTTTGAGTATTCTTTTGTGCAATTTGAAGACTAACTTCACTAAAAAGGATACTAGAAAATGGTAACTTGGAAGGTAAAAACACAAGAAAAAGATAATATACCAAGATGGAAAGAGGGTGTTTAAGGATGGAAGAGATTTCAACGGATCAAGAGAATATAAACTGTGAAGTCTATATTCTCTTGAATGGATTCAAATGACCGACTTAAAAATTTAGTCATGTTAGAGACATGTTAGGGGATGAGTGAGTGAGTGAGTGAGTGAGTGATTGTAAGTAACAAAAAAAAATTTCCGATCTTGACCCAATTTTGAACGATGTTTCCCAGTACTTCTTATCGTTTCTTTTCGAGGTGTCTTAATACTACAACATTCCCATTTAATACACTTTTAAGTTCTCTCCTTTTGTGATTTCTGGCTTATTGCCACCAACGCATTATGTTTTCAGTTCTTGTCGTAACACTAGAAAAAGCGACAAACATCTCAAAATAATTTTCAAGCTCGTCGACGCGTTATTTTATTTACTAATTACTAAAAGACAAAATTTTTCTTTACAGAAATATCTAAGCAAGTGCTATCTGCGCATCATGAAAACTTTGAGGAAAAATTTTCTATTCGAAGAGAGCATTTTATTTTTTTAATTTGCGACATATACCAAAATGCTAAAAGTACACCGCCACCTATACTTCCACGGTCATTTCGAAGAACATTATATGAAGATGGAAGGATTTCGTTGTCGGCTATTTCCTCATGAAGCCATGTTTCGGTTATCGCAATTATATCGGGGTTTATCAGCGCTACATGACTCTGAAGCTCCAGTCTTTTATTGACGATACTTCTTGCGTTAAAGGAAGATATGTTAAGAGTATTCTTTCCCAATGGTGGACCAGGGTTTCTATGGATGTCATTGGAAACCAGAAGAAGAAGAATGCACAAATAGAGATATTTGTTTGAAGCACATCTTCTAACACGGCGCCCTCGGCGACGACGAGAAGAGCAACGCTTAGTCTGCACATGGCTCCAAAAACTGCCTAAAATTCGAATATCAATTCCTTTAAGGTTTGCTGGGAGCAAAACTATCTGGTAACGAAACATTTGAGGTGGTTTTGAGACTAGTTTGGTGAGTATAGCCGCAGATAAGACCAAAAACCTGAAGAGCGAAGATGAACACACCTATCATGGTTGAACGCACACACACACTTAAACTGAATAAAGAGAAACTTAAGACTTATTTGTTCTCCTTTTGAGGTGAGCAACTGAATTTCGAAGTCATCGCAAGCTTGAACTACAGTTTTATAGGAAATCTGCGAGTGCAAGTGTTTTCAACATATAACACCTAGATAATGACTACTTCCAATGACTTTACTATGCGGTGCCAAACAGGTACAGGCAGGTGTAAAAAAGTTTGGCAAGCCTTTTCATTAGTACACATTTCTTTTTCTAAGAATCTTGTGTATCCGGCCTATGCTGAATTCTAATTTTTCAACCAAATTTTATTTTCTTTAGAACATTCTTAGATCTCCTGGTATCGGTTAATATTCATGTATTAAAATAATTACATGAAAATCTCGCAGATATATGGAACAATAGTTTTCCTCTGATCCTCCTAACATTTTATTATGGGTAGGGATTGGTGCTGCTATAAAATTATAGTAAAATTAAAGTTTTGTCCACAGACTATGCATCAAATTTACGAAATAAAATGTTGTATCCTTTTTAAAGCTAGTTTATCGGAATAATAATGAGTTACCAGCACAAGTGTGGCTTTCATGATGATAGCTTTCCAGGTTGAAAAAAGTCACTGCCTACTAAAATCCTCAGTTCCTTTGCCCTGACAGCCCAACCTCATCAAAAGATTGGAAACAGGAGTGATTAGCAAATTAATGATACCGACCAGAGAGCCTATTCCCACATACACCCCCTCAATCCGGTTAGCTTATTACATGGAGTATATGTGACAAATTTTCCATTTCCTTAACTAATTATTTTGTAATGGTGTTTACAAGTTGTAGAAAATGGTTAAGTTGAAATATACTGAATAGAAAGAATTGCCAGTGGAGAGTCAAATGAAAAACTTTTGCATATCAATAAAATTTGTCACTGCGTTTCACGTTAACATGGTGCAACAACTCCACCTTCCAGTAAATTCAATTATTTGCAAACATGAGAAAACACCATCTAGAACTTTTCAACCTATTTAATGTAGCCAATAACAACATCAACTCAATTTTTAAACTAAAGAATAAATTTTATTGATGTTTGGAATTGATTTCTGTGACGTAAAAATGAAATCCGGGTATTAGATGTATCTCAAGTTTTCTTAAAGACACCCACATTATATGCAGTTACAGCAGAGGTTACCGAGTAAAATAACAGAAAAATCTCAAAAAAGACACCGTGTATTTCTAGCCAGAGGACAATCATGAAACAATAACTAAAAGGGAAAAGATTTGAAAAAAATCACAGGTTCAAACACGAGTTAAAAATTTCTCTTCTTTTTAATTTTTACGCTAAACTGAGGAGGTTGAAACGTTTGGGAAACACGATGGGGCAAGGAGTCATACCTGGCAACTTCAAGAGAAGATATAAGAGAAGCCCATACGATTTTGGCGTATTGCTGCACTGACTCACTGTTCACACGTGTACATTCTTCAATCGACCGGCGAAGTAGTTTACCGTCGTTTCTTTCAATTTTGGCTCATTTCCCCTCACAAAAATTATCAGTTACGCTTAATAGAATATAATTTCGCACGCTTCATCTGAAGAAGAAAAGATTTCCTTTCTTCGAAAATTTGCTCAAAACATAAAAAACACTCTTCTACAGCCAGTGCTGAGGAGCTTTATCACAGTTGTTATCATAATGAGGAGCTGGAAAATAAACTAACAAGAGCTCCGCTTTTAGGCTTGGCTAAATCTATATGTTACAATTATTTATAAGTAACAGGCAAAACTGAAAGAGTAGTTTAATGATTATTCGAGCTTAGAGGATAGTGGAACAGTTAGGATTTTAAGCTAGCCCACTATGGATTATAATCACAATTACTATAGTTATCAACATTATTACTGTTCGCATAATTATTTTTTACCATTTAATTATTGGTTGAATGTCAATTATACTGTTGAGTCGTCTTTCCCTTGTGTAACAGGGTACTCATAATTATGTGGGTTGCGGATTTCTTGTATTGCTTGTGAACAACGTTACCTTCCAGTGTTACTATACAACCTCTATTTCTGGTCAATGCTACAAAAATTGTGCTGTATCAGTAGTCACAAACAGTCTCAGACTGTCTATTTTTCACAATGCACATTTTATGACGTATCGATTCTTAGAACTTTTACGCGCAAGTGATTACTCAAGTGGTATCTATATTTCAACCTTCAATCTCCAGGAAAGACAGGACCAAAGCTGGCCATGCACTCGGAGAACCTGGTTCGAGACACACGAACGCAGAACCTCAAAGAGACATGCCACCGATAGTGTGCAGTTTGTTGAGGATTATCATGCACTCGGCCATGGTCATGGGAGCATCCAGAAATCCACAGGTGATTAGTTTTTAGACACAGTGGGCTGCTGTCAGAAAATGAACATTCTGATAACTTTTTCTATTAGCTGCATTCCCTCTGAACCCCTTTAGAGAATTAAGTTTGATCTAGAACTCCAACGTTTTGATGTACATTTGATATAAAGAAGAAGAGCATACGGATCACGTGATATCTAGTTTGACTGACGAGTTTTCAGAGATAGGAAGTCTCAAATTAAAATAATAATACTAATAATAACGATAAAAATAGTATTAAGGCTTTATTCACAGAGGGTATACAAAGCAAAGTTAAGGAGATGAAAACTCGGGGCAATCGAGAACAAATCAAGTGAGTATCAGTGCGGGTCGAGTGGAGATAACTTTGTCTAAAATCTAATGGAATAAATATCCACATGGTTTTAATTAAGGAAAGCAGCCAAGTTTTTTCTCATCCATCTCACTCTTGAGTACAATTAAAAATCTTCGATTTTTCTTTAAAGGCAACCGCACGGCTGATCACACCTTCATGCTCGTCGCAGTCTGTGGGACAGTTTTTATGGCAGCATTTGCAGAGAGATCTGGATGTTCTTAGTAGAGCACTCAGGTGCAGTGTTGATAACGCAGCTCTGACAGTTCATCTAGCAGTACAGCGGATGATCTCGCTAAATGGGGGAAAAACTGGTACAAGCTTCCATATCTTAAAATTAGTGTAAAAACACACTTTGATTAACGAGCAAACTCTCATCCGATGAGATCAAACTAAATAGCGAGTTCAGCATATAGTACAAAAATTCAGTCTCTCTCTCTCTATTTTACTATCCAGTTTGTTTATTATTGCCCATTGTTTCTCATTTCTCCCCATACTTTCCAGGAAATGTCCATGACATGTGTCTTCGAACCCGGGAAAGTCGCCGCAGCTGGGAGAAAGCTTTTTGCTCCGAGATTATTGTTCCTGTCGTCACCGTACGTACTCTCAAAATTGATGGATTTCTTTTGGTTTGTTTCGCTGATTGGTTTGCTACATACGATCTTTTTGCGTATGATTAGCGTTCTAGTGTAATTCTTATTTTTGGAATATCTTCCCAGCATCTAGACGAGAATCTTCAAAATGCCTCAAGACTTTTGATGGGAGACGGGAGATTTGGTACGCTTTTCCATATTACTTGTTGATGCAATAAAAAAATGCGCCGGAAATGAACGATAGTAGTAGGACTAGTGGATTGGAGGGCTTTAGTGTTATCCCTGACAGAGGCGTTACCTCAACCTTAGCTGTTAGTGAGGTGTATGTTCTGTAGACATCTACGAAACAGGTTTTACTAGTACTTTTATCGTTGAATGGCGTTTTTTTTTTTTTTTTTCAATTTTTGCTAAAGTGTGCACAATTACTACAAACTCTGGCGAAACTGTTGAATACAAGCTTGGTAGCAAACAGAGTCTGCAAAACTAGAAGAATTACCCTAAGATGATATTTAACAATGGAGGAGATTGACTCAGCTCGTCAATGACAAACTTTCAATTTGTTAAGGTTACACTTTTCAAGTAAAACAATTTTTCACACATCTTCGTATTGTGTCCTTTTCAGGAAAGGATCCGCTGGTACGTCAACTTCACGAGTTCGATGAACAGATGGAAGACTTATCTCAAGGCGTCAGGCCCATGTCTCGCGCTCTTTGGAAGTACAGACACCATATAACTGTTGAGGAACTGAGTAGCTCTTTTCAAAGAGAAGTCCTTTCTGGAGACGGAGGGAAATTCAAAGTGTTGGACGTTTTCCTCAAACAGGTAACATCACGTGTTGCTGCAAAGGGTTAGGGTTCTGTGCAACAAAGATTTTCCTTGTAATTCTAACTCCTTTTTCTGCCTAAGTTTCGGGCAGCATCTGCTCAAGAAAAACCGTCTCCTTTTAAGTCTATCTTTACATGCTTATTCCTTTTAAACAAATACAGGAACACAAGTTGCGTTTCGTTCAGTTTCTGCCCGATGTTGTTCGTCTCCAGCGTCTATTGATGGACAGATTCCACCGAAGAATTGACAGAACAGATGCTGAGAATTATACCGTTCTTAAATTTCTCAAGGACCTTCCGATAGGTACTTAATGAGTTACAAACCTGTATCCGATATAACCAGTGCCATGGCAACTGTTGAATGCAAAAGGTTGATGATTTGAGCTGCTTTTCAAACAGTAAGCTGCAGTTAGCAGGAGTACCTTTCCCTGTTAGTTTTTCGACAGGATATTTTTTGACGACGAGAATGACGGAGGTGTCAAAGCTGTAGCATTTTCACTTCTTGGAAATGTGACTGCTTAATTTCAATTTTGTTTGTTTATTTATTTATTCGTCAAGAAAAAGTTCATGGTCAGAATTTTCTTGAAAGCTCTTGTCGGTCATCTGCGCAAGTAAATTGCGTCCTAGTCAAGGGTTTGTATGACAAGTCTCCGTGTCTGACATTTTCCGCGTGACTTCTTCTGGATAAAGGGATTTTGTTTGAAGTTTACCTAAGAGAAAGTTGCCCGTGTAAGTGCAACTGTGATGACTCTGGAAGTAAATTTTAATTCTGCTGAAATCAAATTCGTCTCCAGGATCTGTGAAAGAGGAGTATACGAACTTGTTCGAGAGTTTCAAGAATGCATGGAATGCTTGCAAGTCATTTCTCTGTGATCAAGGTACAATGACTTTTTCGTTTTCCAGAGTACATGGAAGAAGGCTTGAATAATTCTTGTGAGCAAATTTCGTTTTCTTTGTAAATAGTGTTTGTGTAGCTACTTAATAATTTATCTGAGCCCAGCGTGGTGAGATGAAAAAGGCTAAACGCATGAGTAATGCTAAATTCAGACTCCGATGGGGAGTCAAAACTTAGTCATGAAATAATATCTCGAACATTTAATTTGCCGGTTTTTAAAAAGGAGCACAGTGATTTGGAAAAAATGTAGTGTTTTTCATTTGTTATTCCTTTTATCAATCGAATATTTTTAAAGTGGTAATTCATTTCAACTCAGACACAAATTCAGTGTTTTCGTTGATCGTTTGCTCTAGCAGTTTTACTTTGCACGTTTTTGGGTACTTTTATCTGGTTCTTATTTGGCTTTGTCATTCTTAACACCCCAAGGTCGCCTAAGCGTCCCACAAGACCTTTGTTGTACCACAATGGACAACGACTGTCCAATCGCGATGGTTCTCCCCAGCACCAGTGGGATGGGAGTTTGTTCAACTTCGCTAACCTTCTTCCTGGTTAATGCAAATAACGAGTCTCTGGGAGCCTACCGTAGTGCAACTAATCAAGACAGGTACATAATTTTATAATGAATAGCTTACGTGTTGCTGTTTTGCTTTTACCTTCTATAGAAGCAAATAGTTGATCGACATGATATGACTCGAGCTATATAAAGTGTAGATAACGTTTTTCTACTTAATTTAGGTCTGGGGTGTTTGTTAAACTTACTGAGCTGCAACATGAGACTGATATCAGCATCCTGCAATCAGTCATCGTCTCCTCCAAATGCAGCTTTAGAATGAAACGTCATGAATTGGGGCTATTATTTTCGGGAATAATGTACCTTGGAAACAGTTACGATGTTGATGAAAATCATTTTCCATCAGTCCTGCTCAGTCTTGAATAATTACCCCCTAAGCATAGGAAAATTACTCCAAACAGTTACAGACATTATTATACATTTAACTCACTATCTGTTTTCTGATTGGCCGAAAGCCTTCAGTGAATTTTCGGAATCAGCGCTTGGGAAGTCATCTAGTAGCAGATTATACTATAGTCATGTCAAGGACACTCAAGGTCACGGGTAATCATGTCATATATGACTGCGGTGCACGATTTCTAAGGGTAACCATGTCAATTTTGCGCTTTTTGTTGCTAGCTGATTTATATATTTTTACACATTTAGAAATAAATTATTAGTTTCAACTACTGTTGAGACTATTTTTTTTCCTTCACGTATGATAAAACAATCATTAGATTCAGTTTTTTTTTGTGATATCCAGAACATTCAAGGTCTTGGTAAGGGTTGTCAGCCTCATCCTTCGGCTTCGATGTATAACCCCTATCTCGACCTTGATTTTCTGGATCTTACAAAAATCTCACTCAATAATTGTTTATAAGTAAGACCCTACAATAAATCTCATCTTTAAAATCCTTTTTTATTTATAGTCCCTTGGGGCGTGTTTCCCTATCAGAGGTGACCTTGTCGCACTTAATAGCCTATGATCCTGAGAGAGACCTGCTGCCTCTTATCCTGGCTCATTGTAACTACTCTCTAGAGGTGGGAAAGGAGACCTTAGTTCAGTATGATTGGGCGGCTCTGGAGAGACAGCTGATTGACAGGTTGTTGAGGGGAAGGCCTTTTGTCGAGTTCAAGGTAGGGTTGAGGTATTAAGAAGACATAGTACAAGATGAGAATAAAGCATTTTCGATTTTTTTTTTCTTAGAACTCGTTTTTACCGCACGGGATTGTATTTATTCTCTTCATTCTCTTACTGAGTTTGCTTTATCTTACTGCAAACAGTTTCAATCTCATTTTTTTAAAGGCGTGTTTCTGTTTTGAAGATAGGTCTCAATCAGTCACAACAATTTCAGTTGATAGATAACAAAAGCTTACCTTTTTTGACGTTTCAAGATAGGACTCTGGAGACAGATACAGTCAGAAGAGGGGTTATTTCGTGGGGTTTAAGGGTTACATGCATACTGCTTCAGTTTTTGGGAAGTATGTTGCAAACAGCGGTGTCAGCCCCATTTCTTAACACTTAGTACTATTCATCCTTTTTGACCTTTTATTTGAATTACTTGTCTCGCTGGTCAGTATCTGACGACCAAAAATTCGAAAAAAAACAAAAAAACGAAGCCAACATTCCTTTTCGAAGACGCGTTTATAGATTCATGATGACCACCCCTTCACAACTGGAAGAAGAATTGCAATCAAAGTAATTGTAATTTATGTCAGCGCTTTTTTTTCTTTTGTTTCAGGAGGAACGTTTTGCGTTCAGCCGAGACACCCGAGATGACGCAGTTTTCACTTCCCTCACTGGAAAAATTCCTCAGGTAAATTTCATAGTTTTAATATGTACGTTAAACTAGTGTACCGTAAAGTTCTGGAACAGAAATTTGCTTTCGCCCTAGTTTCAATGATGCACCCAAGAATAAAAGTTCAAGGTGTGGAATGTTTGAAAAGGAGATTTTGTGTTTGTGGGTGTCTGATAATGATTGATTATCGATGCAAACTGGGGGTTTTAAATTAGGGAAAAATTTCAAATTACCTTCATTTATGAAATATGTTTATTTACTTAGTAATATGTTTTTCATCCATTTTCTCATTTACTGGCAACCTAACTTTTTGTAACAGCTACTTTATTGTTAACAACTGAGTTGAAAACGTAAATTGGCCACCGTATAGATTAAACTGCGTGGTTGAATGGAATGTGGTCAGTGTTTTCCCTCTCAGCTATTTGTAGTGCTGACTTGTCAATCAATTTGTGACGAAGGGCTAACGCTTGAAACGTCAGCCTTTAAACTCTTTACAGAGGTCAATTTACGTTTTCAACTCAGTTGTTAACTAAATTACCTGCTATACTCTCCCACCGACGCAGCACCACAGTTTCTTTAGAAACTTACCCCCTTTAATAACTTTTTTTAGTCTCGTCGGGAACGAAATCTTGCTTCAATTTTTGTTGTTTTGTCATCTGGTATGTCTTTGATTGCATTTTTGGGAAACAGGTTTATAACCACTTTGATCTGTCTTGACCACGGAAAGAGCAGTGCATTCCACTTTCTAACATGATAAACTTTTTCCTCCAGCTAATTAAGTAAATGGAAGCATGTTTTCGGCTCTGAATTATTTTTGTTACGACGACAGTAATATTTGTATCACATTATTATGATGTTATCGTTTGTATAGGTGTGGTCAAGATCTAAGACACTTACACCAAGTTTTTCTTTAAAGGAATCACTTTCCCGCGTCGTCGAAAGTCAGATTATTAATGATCTGAGGTCTTCCTTGTCTGATGTCTGTGATGTTATATCGTCACTGGATATTGCCATTGGTTTTCTTGCCTCATCGGGTGGCCAGCCGGAGAGGCCTTTAAAATGGTACTTACATGAGGTACTTAAGCTACCCAAAGATCGAGGTCTCAAGAGTGCAACAGTAAGTACATTTCTTCTTTTTATTTGAAAGACTCACTTAATCCTTTGACTCCTAAGATCTCATTAGTAATTTTCCTTACTGTTTCTCGTACAGTTCTTGTGGTGTTAGCTTGGAGAATTTGGTATTGGATCAACTTATAATCCCCTAACTGAATTTTTTTTTTATTCTCATCACTTGTCTGCTGGATATTGCATTGATATTGTATGGAGAAATTCTGTCTTGGTCACTTATGGGAGTTAAAGGGTTAAGCGGTCATCCTTCTTGACTGGTGCAACGCTCCCAATACTAATATCTGAATCAAAATGTTCCTCTTTGTGGCTACAAAAACTCATTTCTGGACGCCAGAGGTTGGGTAACACTCGAACGATGTGTAAGAGATGTCTAATAATTATTTACCATTAGTTAACTAAAGCAGAAGCCCTGTTTTCGACTGTTTGCTCCTACGGCAGCAATTGTTTTATTTAAGAGTGCTTTGACTCTTCCCTTTTCCATGGGAGCTTATGGATTATGCCATCTTGTTGCAGGCAGAGCAGCACTGCAGTTTGTCCCACACCCTGGCATTGTGGCGGCTTATGGCTCTCGAGAAAGCAAAAATCAAGTCCAGGAACAAACAGGTTAGGTTTGAAATGATTTGTTGTTTTACCCTGGCTGGTTTAATTTTCGATCTGTGTGATTTCCCTCATTTTTTCACGAACCTTAGCACTATGGCATTCGTTCGTTTGCGAATAAAAATAACAATTTCAACTTCGTTCAAAGTTTGTTAAGTGTTCTGCGGTGCTGTACACGAGATTTATACCTCTACTATACCGCAAGGTTATCAAAGTGTAGTTTTCATATTGAAGGTTTGGTGAGGTGTGTCTGAGCTCATCAGATCCACTTTAAAACAAACCTTTCTCGGAAATTTCATTTTTCAGGAGCCTTTTGAGCAATTACCTGACGTTTTCAAGGAAAAATTAGGCTCAAGCGAAAAGACCAGACTAGAGAGCGTGTTGCGAGAAATCGACATGGACATATTTCTGCCGCAGCTACTGCAGATTATTCTTCTGAATGTGAAAAAAGATGGCGAAACGATTTCGACGATGAGGTAAGACGGGCGATTCGAAATGTTTTATTCTCTAATGCGTCAATTAAATGAGAACCAAAGTCGTTATTTTTATCTTGCACCTCTTATAGTTCCTTGCGTAACTGTAGGAAATAACGCCTTCTCTTGCAAGTGTGGAGCTAAGACGTACAAACCATGACAGCCATGAGATTTCTTTGTTATGCCTTATTTATAGACTTTTGGTTTTAAAATAACCTTTTTTCTCCAAAAAAATTGTAATTTTTTAAGTGATATATTTCTTGGGAGGGATGATATCGTCAGTGTCTTTTCTTTTATTCGAACCAAAGGTGATGAACACTTTACTGCGCCTTGTTGACCAATTTTCCCTAAATTTCCTCCTTATTCAAAACTCCTTTTGTATTTTGTAAACGAGCCTGTTGTTCAAGTCCACGCTCAATTCTTTTTTGCACCGATGTTTAAGATATGAATGGAAAATAGTGAAATCCTGATATTGTTTATTGGTAGGGGAGAAGAGACAGTTTACAGCACACTCTTTTGCGGCTTTAGAAATCCTAAACTTTAACCAATTTGCCTCGTGAAGTACTGTAGTTTAACAGGACTAAGATCTAACCACAAATTTATTGCAGCTTTGAAGATTACTTGGATTGTTGTTTAGCCGATAAAAGCTTGGAACAAATCCCAGGAGCAGAGAACATCCCGGACAGCATCAAAATGGCGCACCTAAAGGACGTCTGGAACTCCGCTGTCCAGCTAAGTGACGACTTCCACAAAGATCGTCAAGCAGTTTAATCCTCTAATTAAGGAGCGGTCAGTTCAAAACTCAAAGAACACAGTGGTGCAGTTTGTTTTTAAAAAGTTTAAGCAGTCAACTTTCTTTAGTCAGTTAAAAGAAATGAATGGTACATGCTGAATTTTCATAACAGCTTGGCTTCTAGTTTCAGTTTTCTTTCGCAAAACGATGAGCTACTAGATACACGTAATAACAAATTAATTTGAAAATGTTGGCATATGATAAATACTGCATTTTTTGTAGCTACTGTGAGGTACTTTTTTGCTGTAGTTTATGAATAGGGCCAGCCAGTTTCTTTTGCCACATACATTTAACTTTGGTTTAATTAGAATGTTAGAAAATTCTTCTCGGTGCCCCCTTTGCAAAAATAGTAGAAACGGCGGAAGCTTTCATGTATCTTAAATTTAAAAGGGGCCGGTATTATCGATTAATTTTTTATAATCTTTTTCCTTATACACTCTAAAGATAACTTAAAATGCTACAGCTGAGAATGATATTTGCATGGCATGCAAGTTTGAACCGCACTTTCAATTGATGTTAAGTTAGTATAGAAAAGTATATATCTCATTAAACGTTTGCATAAATTTTTTCTTTGTTGTTGTTGCTGTTTTAAAACGTAATGTAGTAAGTACCCCACCCAAAGTTATGCCTGGGCAAAATTTTTATGTGCATACGAAAGACCCTGATGGAAAGAACCCTTGTCGCAATACTTCCTGTTGTGATTGTAGTTGATTCAATTATCCGCTTTTCCATCTTTTCCATCTGCCAATTTAGTTAAAAGAGCATCAGAATACAGTTCATCAGTTTTGTGCTCCTTAGGAAGGAGGGGCGCTTATTTGAAGGAGGGCGTTTCACCGAGGGGGGGCGATGATAAAGTTTTCATTTCAACGAAGTATAACTTAATTTTGGCTAACTAGAAAAACAAAATTTACGAGATTATACAGGTACACGAAAAGTCAAGATTAACATCTTTCGTTTGTTTAAACAGGGGGCGACACAATTATTTGACCAAAAAATGACAGGAAAGAAGCCAACGAGTATGACCACAATGCAATTGGAACTTACAAAGTGAAGCCTGTGCATGGCACTGACAATTTAAAGCCTGTTGGTTACATTTTGATGGAGCTGTTATTCCTTATTAATTGTAGTCTGATCGTCCGGCTGAGTGTGGTCCTGAGAAGGACTGTTGTCGTTGGTGGTGACTGACGTTTCGACAACCTGAGTGGAAGTCATCATCGGAGTCATGAACTGTTGTAGTCATATCCCAAAATAACAACCGAATTAAGAGAACGATAACTATCCGGTAGAGGAAAAGTAAAATTTTTAAATGAACCCCCTGGTCGCGAGTTAGACAGATTCTGGGATTTCACCGACGTTAAACTCTTTGTGGAATGTTCAAGTTACTTCGACCTCTGACAATAGCAAAGTCATTAGCTTTCTTGATATTTTTCATACATGATCTATAATCAGTGTTAATTTTAACCTTGCTTCATTTGCGTTGTGACGAGTTACCTTGACGGTTAGAACGGTGCTGGAGCGTCATCCGACATGCAGTGAAGATACCTGTTTGCGTCTATTGCATGATAGCGTTAAACTCTCCAGTGTGGAAAAATTTACCTGAACATCGTAAGTCGTTAATATTTTAGGGAAGGATTATCTCAGATTGTAATTTGAGAAAACACATTTAAAGTTTGTTTCCGTTCTGAATCGGAATTCGAAGTAGATTTTCTGTAAAAATGGATTAACCTTAAAACTAATATTATAAACAGTATTAAGCTTAAATGATCAATCATCCAATGGTTGAAAATGTGGCAGATTTTGACTCTCGCTTTGATAACTTTTTATCCCTATTCTGCCGACTCGCGGAAGAACTCGTCAATTGGTGCCCGCTCAACTGGGTGGGTCGTTTCTTCCTTTTGTCAGCTTTGCGTACCACTTGAGAAACTCCATTATGTCCCTCTCTAATAAATTCTCTCAGCGCTTTGTATACATTTCCTCTTTAACCATGCACAGGATTATTGTAGTTAACTAGTGTGCCATTAGTTGTCTATTACAATGCGGTGCCATCTTTGCACGGTACAAGTTGGTGCATGTTTTTTTATACATCCGCGGAAATGAAATTTGTAGAGTGGTGGCAGATTTCAAATCAAACATTAGGTCAACATCAAGTCAAACATTAGGGAAAATTTTTGAATGCAGAGTTTGGACTGAATGACAGCTGTTGCTTTCAAGACTAATACACACACGAAGAACTGTCTTCGACGCAGATTTCACTAAGTTGGTAGTTATATCTGTGATAGACCATTGATAAACGATCGACACATAGGTTTCCTCTGATAACTGTGCATACAAATGCCATCGTCGAATAGAGATGCTCAGAAACGAAAATTACCTGTATTTGGCAACGTTTGGTAATACGGGTAGAATCGTGAGTGCCTGAAAGTCCGAGCCGAGTGTGTCATACATGTTTAAATCCCCTTGTTACTGGATATATTTACACTACCGTCTATCATAATTTTTGTTTGCCACTTGATAGCGTCATACAGGATTGCACATTTTGGTTTAGTGCTTACTCAGTGTGTATCGCATTTAACATTTTTTACAGAGGATACAACCCCTCGTTCGTTTGAGTAACTCATGAACCATTTGCCTTCTGGCAGGATATAGATTTTTATAAAGGCATCAATTATCTCAGTGTCACAGAAGACGACATTAACAAGGCAATCCACATGAATGCATTCTTGATCCTTACCGTGTGACGACACTGACGAACAAAATATTCCGGGATGAGCCTGTCAAAATGATTGTGATTGGTGGTTCAAATTCAGCCGAGGATGGAATAAAAAATCACAGGTGTTTATATCACCAACTGTTCTCTCAGTGGTGGGACAGTGATTTCAACAACGACTGGCTCCAATTTGACGGTAGAAAATTTGTCACTTGGAGAGACAGGAAGCGATTTCTTTACATTTTGCCTGCAGAATTTCATAACAACAGATGCTGAACCAGATGTAGTATTTATCGAGTTATCAGTAAACGATTGTGGATGCGTACACGGTGCAACAGCGCGGCCCATGGAACTCCTCACGCGTCGAGTATTATCCTTGAAATCATCTCTATTAGTTCTGTATGTAAGCTTGGTTGATTTGGTCAAGAAGGGTGCTTCTCTTAGCACTGCTAAGAACCCAAGATGTCATAATTTGGAAGATTTGGGACAATACGAGCTTGCAACTCACTACGGGATTACCTTGCGAAGCTGGCGTGACAACTTTGTCCAGTGAATTCAGCTAATGGCATCCGGAAAGCCATCATACGGCCGGGAATGGTAAATGATGATCATCTGCATATCAATATTAAAGGACACGCTGAAGTGGCTCTCATGCAAATCCGTTACTTTCAGAAGATTCTTCAACGAGCCAGCAGCTGTTCTGTGCAAAATCTCCAATGAAGGACCCTTTATTTAACAGCAGCTCGATACTGGTTACAAACCCTCGTTGCTGGGCATCTACAAACCCAAGACGAGGAAAATTCACCTTGCATCAGTCTCTTAATGTAAAGGTCAACAAAAAACGGCGCTTCAGCGAGCTTCCATTAGAAAGCATCAAAGCAAAGATGGGTTTTCTATCAGACCGTCGAACTGATACGTTTGGTGGCTGGGCGTCTCTTCGACAAGGAATCTTTATCGAATTCTCCTTACAAGTTCCACCCAAGAAATGGTCTGTAGGTATCATTTTACGAAGAATGAGGCAAAATTCGGGTCGTGTAGTGATGTGGCTCGACAAAGACAAAAAGAACGCGGTAGTCATAATTGGGAGAGCTTTCGGTAACGTTCATTATCAAACTCGTGTTTACTTCGTGGCTTCAGACGTGCCTCAGGGCCGTCATATCATTAGCTTGGAGTCTCAAGGTAACAAACCTATTTCTCTTTTAATAAATGGCATCGTGTTGGGCCCTGCAGGGGTTAAAGGATTTAAAGGATATAAACCCACTGGAACTTTAGAAAAAGTTTGGAGTCTCGAGGACTACAAAAAGTTTAAATTATAATCCAGAATATGGAGTCGATATTTTGAAATGAGGGAAAAAATAAAAAGACAACTATGTAGTCTATTCTCCTTTGGAATCGTTGGTTAAGATACCGGTGTGAATTTCCAATTATTCCATATTTATCTCTGAGTTTCGTAAAATTCCTTTCTTTCCATAACTGCTGTTTTCCATTTCTTTCTACCTTTCACAGATAGAGGCAGACGTGTTTTAAAGTCAGTGGCTATTGCGATATGACTCAGTAAAAAAAAAACGTCAGGAGAAGAAGTCTTTAAAGAAAAAAACGTTATGAACGTTTAAACCCTTAAAATTTATTTGTAAAGGTACTATTCTTAGATATTTCTTGGGTTGCACTATCCGTGGTATCATGTAATCATCTAACGTCACCCTGAGGCATCGTTGATGTCTACGAGGCAGAAGTCATCGCTAACTATTACTAGCCAAACTTTTTGGTAAATTCATGTGCATTATCGTGCTATTTAAAATGGCAAAAAGTTTTATTTATGAGCTGCCTTTAGTTTACGACCTTATTTTATAACGACATGTTATCCTTTCATGCTCATAATTTTTCTGTTAATATGTAAATTGATTTTTCTTACATTCTAACCTGGAAAGTGTCTTATCTCAGTAGTATACTTGAGCTCATGCAGAATGTCAAATGAAAAATTATGAAAAGAATATAAATCATGGGAAATAGTTTGGAAAGTACTTGAAAGTATAATAAGGCATGGAAACGTAATTTCTGGAAGTTCAGCTGGCCAGTGAATGACAGTTTGAAAGGTTCTCGAACTCCCCATATTATATAATTAACGCCCTAGGACAACATGGACCTTCTGCTTCCTTGATCTTTCTCACGCACTTCTAACGCGAGCTTGAACGCATGAACCACGTGCATTACACATACTTCATCAGGAATCTCTTCCAGGTCGGAGCTATCGTCAAAAACCATTGATAAGTACTCACTGAGGCTGAAAACGAAGGAAGTAGTTAAGTATTCCCTGAGAACAATATTGAGTAAACAGGCTATCAGAAAAAAAAGGTTGCCGTTAGTCATGGTAGTGAAAACACTGCTAATACTTCATTGCAAGGTCATATACTTTTGTTTGAAAGAACTTTTGCTCTGTAGATTCATCTATGCTGTACGCAGGAATTACCTCAATTTACTGCTTGTGTCTTCTTCATGAGCCAGCACTAAAGTGATGACCTCGACAACTCTACTCAAAAACAAATCAACATTCATTTTTTTCAATGCTGCACTGAAGCGTGTGACTGCAAATCGCGGCATCTGTTCTTTATAAATTTCTGGTATCTTCTCAAATGGATCCTAAAGAAATTAAAAAATATAAAATCGGTTTAATTTGAACAGACAAATAAAATCACGGTCGAACCTACTAAAAATATCGAAAATATTGGGTGAGAAAGGGATTACATTCATCAAATTTGCTACATTTTTCTACAAAAAGGTACCTGTTCATTCTTAAACAAGAATTTTGCTCGCGCCACAGCCAGTGTGGACCACAGATCCAAAATGTGACCCAGACAGCAAGACTGTTGAGCCTGAAAGATAACAATAATGTATATAGTTCTGCAAAGAAACTCCATACATCCGTGGATTATGTTAAGCCCTTGACAAATCAAAAGTCTCTAGAGGTATTCTGTCAAGATTCGCAGAAGAATGGATTTGTTCCCTGACCATCCATTCAAAGGCACAAAGAAGCAGTAAGTAGATATGAACTAAATTCAATGAACGTAATATGAAGCTGAGCAGGATGTTCAATTTGCATTCCAAGCAAAAGATTGATGAACTCAAGTTTAAGCGAGACCGGCGTTTGACTAGGAGAGGCTGTCTTTCACCATCGATGCTTCGAGACCGAGAAGTATTTGTCAAGTGGGCAAAATTTTTCCTGTGTTCAGCCGCATCAAACAGTCGCTGGGACTTCTTCCAAGATTATTACGTTTCCGCTGAGCATCCATTTACCTTATTTTTTTATGAAAGTAGCATTTCACAGAGATGCATTCAGAAGAGTTGATTATTTACTTGTCAGCCCGAACGCAAAATTTCATCTATAACTACACTTTCTCCGCATTGTTTATATGTTTATATGAACCTGACGTTTAATCGAGGTCTAGCGTTTGGTGGAGAAAATATGGAACAGGTAGGGAGATTTCCTGCTTCACAAGAGTTTTGATTCTAAAACTCAATGTTTTAATCATGGCTTATCGATCAATAGAATCAAGCAATATTACACACCTTTTTACTCTTTAAGTTCGACTTTCCATCACTGAGATGAATAACATTCTTGAGATAATCAAATATTTTTCTCTCAGGATCTCCACCTGCTGTAGACAGGAAACCAATCGCCATTTCCAGGGTAGAGAGCAAATCACTTATGTTCCCAAGGTCCTTCAATTCCGAGAGAATCTGGGTACGGATACGACTTTCAATTGGCTCCTGAGAAAAACAATACAAGATCTTTGTATGTGTAGGAAAGCCAACAATGGAAAAACGTAAAATTTTGGAAAGGGGAGGGGATTGACTTTGGGGTTTTTTTTAAACTGAATTTTAAATTTGCAGATTCCATTATCAGATTCTCCGTTCAATAGCTCACCTAGATTTGGAACCACTCTGTGGCGCTCTTTACGGTATTTTTCCTGATTATTATTTACCTTTTTTTATACGCTTACATGAAAGTTTCATGGTTTATCAGACGAGTTATTTTCCTTTGAATGTCCAGAGCCGACATTGAACCTGGCCAGCGTATTCTTTTTTTCACTTTGTCAACCATATATCGTCTAGTTTTATCGTTTTATTTTATTGTGATATCTACCCAATAACGTTGTCCTCTTTCTTGAAGGAAGTAGGAACTAAAATGGTGAATATCTTACTACAGCCCTAACCTGTGGAATTTTGTCCCTCAACCTGTCGAAGGACACGTCGCGGTCATCTTCATGAAACACGAAATCATCCAGCTAAAACAATAGTAGCAAGCATTTTTTTTCCATAGTTCTTTTTGTTTAAACTTATCCGCTGGATAGCGATGTATCCGTGGAATAACTTTATCCGCCCGTTGGAAAACTTGGTTCTGTTCTCCAGAATAATGTAAAATTCCTTTTAATCTTTGAAACGAGGAATTCAGTCAAAGAACATGCTACCAAACTGAGTAAAAACAAAGAGTAGAAAATACAAAGGACGCTATGTTAAAGAAAAAGCTAGAGAGGATTGAAACGTCAGATTTCCACTGACAGCTTTGTAAGATTTGTTTGCAAATTTGCGCAAAACGTCTAGGATGGTATAGTTTTGTCTCTTGGACAGAGAATTATTCTTACTACGAATAGAGGAAATAGTTACCTGAAATTCCACTTTTGGCCTTCCCCGTATGAACCTATCAATTATCTGCTTCTGGAGGGCTTCCCAGTTGTACTGCGATGATGTTTCCTTTCCCACCTCTAGTGAGTAAGAGCAGTTGGCTAGCATCACAGGTAGCAAGTCCTTTTCTGAGTCATATGCTACCAACTGCGACACCGAAACCTCCGAAAGAGGAATCTTAGCGGTGGTACTATTATTCAGATAAAAAATGATGAGAGAGTGAGTCGAAAAAATATAACGGGTGATGAACGGAATGGCAATAAGCAATTCCTTTGTTGGGGGAGTACGAGAGGGGGAATCTAATGTGTTTATTATGGAACGTCTGCGTCAGACTTCATATGAAGCGGGAACCAATAAGCCATCAATGATACTGCAACGTTTCCTAGATCTATTGAGCACATATCAACATCCAAAAGAGATAATGCCGGAGTAAGATATTCAGATCGAGGACAAGACCACAATGGTCCCCTAAAGATTAGAACTCAAAACGAACAAAAGGAACTCGGGGCCTACATTGGTGCGTAATTCTTAATCTTTGTGACTGGCTGTTATTTACGAAAATGTTAGGCGGTATTATTAGTGATATAGGTTACACCATCTCAATAATTTTGCGATAGTAATGACTTCATGAGCATTCAATGAAGTATGATTCCTTATACTCGAACATGACTTGTTGAAATGAAAGAATTCAACATACCGCGTGCTTTCGTCAGAGCCAACAGCACCGTGATATGCTTCAACCATATCATTATTTGCATTGACCAAGTAGAACAGCAAAGCTTTGCAACAAACACCTGAGCCAATATTTGTCGGTAGTAACACTGAAACGGTGGATGTCATTTCAATTGGCTGGGAACATTGTTCTTTAGAAGGCGTGAAACGACCTGCCGTAAAGAAATATTAAAGCGCAATAAATTAGTCCGAAATAGTTAATAAATTTTATGACAGTCTTTCTGTTACTTCTAAAGTTTTTATTTAAAGTGGTCGATGATCTTTGAGAAAAATACTTTCACTGTCCCCCTCCCCCCTTCCCAATGTTCATCTCTCTAGCTTTCCCATGTTCATTTTCTCACCTTGTGAATTCAGCTGGTGGCGAACCTGATCCCAAGCCGTGCAAAAACTTTGGAATAGCTTTTTGAAGGTTTCCTTCTGGTCTGAAAAATGAAATGAAACGTTAGTTTAGACCTACCACTTATTATGTGATCGTAACTACCCAGTATGGAGTTTCTGTGTTAAAGAACCAGAAAAAGGGACAATCTCTTCAGAGCTGAAGCATCACCAATTTGTTACTTCCCGCGGCTTGGAGGATGGAGGCGAGAGAGACGGTGCTTGAGCCACTTTTAAAAAATTATCGCTGTCACTCAGTTAATGTTATGGCCGTCTTAGGTCCCGTCCAAAGAGTATAAAATATTCATTTTTAGTAGGTGTAATCTTGGATTTTCGCATCATGAGAAGATCACTGTTATTTTTTGGCTTTGGCAAATAATTTTATTCCTCCCCGATACGGAAAACATTTTTTTCCACGAAAACAGTACTTTGCAGTCGTTGTCGTTGGTCTATAGTTAGAGTATTTCAGTTCGTCACCTAGAAGCAGGGTAAAGACTGTAAGCTTGGGAGATCAGTCTGTCGTTAAGAAGCGAGTGATCTGAGAGTGGGCAGTCCTGAAAAGAAATTTTGTTAGTGACTAGACATGCAATTGATGCTTTGGTCACTTGGTGGAAGATATTATTCGATTCAAAACGTGAACAGTCCTACTTTACGCATAAAATCAAATTGCACAACCGAGTCTATTAAAAGCTTTACCTTTAGGCAACTTTTGCAAAACCTCCCGTATCTTGAGCTGATTGGAATTTTCTCTGTCGATTCGTCGATGAAAGCGGTCAGTTAGCATTCTCAGCAAAGCCAGTATGTCCGGCAGGTGACGAACTGCTCGAAGTCTATGTTCCTGCGACAAAGGAAAAATTCATTTCCTTTAGCATATCGTACAGCCCCTTGCACACAATGCCATAGAAAACACAGTGAAAGCTGAAGTGTGTAGGGCCGGACGGGTTTACGTAAGTCGGTCCGGAAAAAGCCTTCCAGCCCGGCACTTGCCAGGCTTTGATGCAAAAACTTAAAGGAAAAAGGAAAAGAGTAAAGTAAAAAATCACGTTCTTCGATGAATTGTGAGTTTCTTGTTATGAGTCGAGAGAAAAGAAAACCAAGGAAAAGTTTTTATTGGAGGATCATTTTGTAGTTCTCCCGCGTGCGCCCGTCTATCACATGTCCTATTTAGGTTGAAACAAAATGTTCGAAATTTTCAACAGCTGGTAGTCATGTGATAAGGTGCTTATTGACTGGCTGAATTTGGTCGAGCGGACGGGAAATTTTGTCGCTATCGCTGCCCTCGGTCCATACGTTATGACTTCGAGCCAAATACTTCCCCTTATCGGCCCCCCATTTAGTCAATGAGTACATACTATTTGTCAACATCAGTGTCTGCCCCATGCAAAACAGTTTTCTTCAATTTACATTACCTCTACCAGGAACTTTCCTAGGACTTTACATGAGGCCATGTTTGACTTGATGTCTTCAAACTGACGAATCACGTGTTCAACAGTCAAACGTGTTCTATATTTCCAAAAGGCCGCGTGTCCAGGATGGATGTTTGCTGCTGTGCGTGGAAGCGAAAGGTCGTCCACCTCGTAAATCTCTCGCATTAGTGGATCGTTCCCTGTAGTATGAAGCAGAAAATGCAGTTTCTCTTGAAAGTCTAGCTCCTTGTTTGAAAACTAAAGCGCGCATTTTTAGATGAGGGGAAATTTCGAGGGGAAACTTGTTTGGAAAATAGATTTTTTACACAAATGGTAAGACATTTGCGCTAACGTTTGCAACAGTTCTCTACCACAAACTATCTTGATAATGTTACTACAAGTTAGTGATGAATTACATGCATTTTGAAGTCTTCTATAGATTATAACACCTTATCGGAAGGTTACACCAGAAAAGGGAGAGGTCTTAAACGCATTATTTACAGTCTTGTCAGTTGAGAGTACTACAAAATTCAAAGTTCGATTTTGTCTCACGCTTTTCTACCTGGTTTGTAAAATAAGTTGCATCAATGACTCACTCGGCTGTGCCGCGTGTGCCACTTTTTATTTTTCTCGCGACATTTTAAGGTCACCTGTGATCTATCTGAACAGACGCACGACATCATGGATCTGTTTTATTAAGTTGATGTTACTCTTAGAACACACCATGAGGTTCAACTTAAACGACTTCCAAAGGAGCATTTAGACCACTTGGTTATCATAGGTTATGATTGTAATTTTTGCGGTGACTCTTTATCTTAAGAAAGGAATCAGTCTTGAAGGTGAATTGTTTGACAATAAAAGCGTAATTACCTAGCCTTCTGTCGTTTACAGACAGAGTATAGAACTTTTGGAGCTGTTCGTCTAGGTTCTGTGAAAGTTAAAGTGAAAATGTACGGAAATGGTTAATATATGTTCACTTAATTCATCTTTAGGCTGATCTACCATTAGGGTGCGCAGTTCTTTTGAATCCGATTTTTTTTCGTTTGTAGATAACAAACAAAAAAATGCTTCATCTCCTCGAGTCCTTGAGTCGTAAGCAACGCCTTGTTGAGAACAGTGTCGAAATATAATAGTGAGACTTTTTAAGACCACGAGTTTCTGAAAAATGTAACGAATTTCAATAAAAGCATGTAGACCAAAGACCAAAAACAATCACAACATAAAGCAATTTCGAAGTGATAGACACTTTACAAAAAAAAAAGAAAAGAAAACGAAAGACTAGACTGAAATATGCGAAATCATGAGCATCTTAGCAAGAGGAGGGAGACCAACTACCGTGAAGAGAGGTCTTGCAAATACAGCTGAAAACTGGTTCTCCCATTGTCTTCTCTCTACTTTGGTTGACCACTTTTCAGCACCATTGGTTTCCCCTTAAAAATGGATATCAAAATTATGATAAAAGTTAACTATGAAGGGTATAAGTTACTCGCAAAGCAGATATCATATGACACTGATTTGGAAGTCTATCGATACAGTCGTCTCTCAAATGAAATTAATTTTTTACCCTTAAAAAAATCATTTTGAAATGATGAGATATCGATATCGGAAACACCTCTTGCCAGATATGGCAGGGGACTAAGAGGAGATCGAGCTCAAGATGGGAGTCCCTCATAAAGATGATTCCAAGAGCACCTGGAGATAAAAATAAAATCCTATGGTGCACATTTTAGATGAATGTCATTATCCGAGAAACTGCGCACCTGGCTCTTGCCTAACTCAACATTAACCCTAGCATGTTATTAGTTCACAGTTGTATTTTAGATGAATGTCATTATCCGAGAAACTGCGCACCTGGCTCTTGCCTAACTCAACATTAACCCTAGCATGTTATTAGTTCACAGTTGTACTTATTGGTAAGGGGAGGGGTAGATATACATTTTGCTCAGACACTGACAATGATCCCACCTTTTATTCTCAACGTAGTCCGATGAGGCCAATAATCAATGCAACATGCGAGGTGCATGTATTATCGTTTTCGTTTAAAATATTTCAGTTACGTTGGAAATATCATTTTATGAATAGGATCCTTTGACATTTATCCTGTCTCGGTCTATTTGAAGTTGTCAGAACAAATTTGACTCACTATTAGTTGAACGGTCCACAATCGCAGCTAAAAGGTGATGAACTATCAGCAACACTTCATCGACGTTTCTTTCCAGGCTGGTCGATACATTCTCCACATCATTGACAAGATGGTCCCAGAGAAAGCCAGTGACATTTTCTGGCTCGACGTCTGGCTCACTTATAAGCTGACAAATGGCCTAGAGGGAGATACTGATCAATCTTATGACAGTGTTTGTTGGATGGCTGGGACAGTGTTTACGACTTTATACGAGAAACAGAGCCTTGCTCGCAAAAGGCTCGCGATTATTGAATAAACCAATTAAGAAAGTGGTTGGTTAAACTCCAAATACCTTAAAGATACTAATCCTTTAAAATAGCTGGCTTAGAATTAACAAATTTCTCAAATCATTCTGTATATAGTTTACCTCAGGATGTTCTTGGGCTCCGGTTATCATGGCTGAGTGGAGAATGATCCTTAGAAGGCTTACCATAGCAGGAGAAAGATCTCTTTCAGTGACTGTAAAACGTTTGGGTGCTCCCAAAATGTGCCCTTTGTTAGAACGGTCGATCCTGAAAATAACCCGTACAATAATTAAACAAATGTTTCCGCAAGCGCCCATTTGATTTAGTGTGGCTACGACTGGTTTCGTTATTTCGATTTTATTGATCTCAACCTCCACAGTTTTTTGTTTCCTTGGCAACAAAAAAATTCATCATAATTTCTCAACAACTTGGAATTAACCTTGCCAACAAATTTATGTTCCCTCTGTGATCGATCGTAAACTACTTTCCTACATCTCGACGTATCGCATAGATCCACTGTTTTCACTCAGAGGTGAACGGGAAAACTCACAACACACCCCCGAGAATTGACTAGCCTCACTTTCGTACAATTTAACCTAGGTCGAATAAATTTCAATTTGAGTTTGCTGTACAGTACAACAATTCCTAAATAGCTCCTCTACTTGTAAGGGTAAACCAAATGTTACATTTACTTGCCTGCATGCCTCCCTGTTGTTAGCAACCAGTTCATGTTTAAGGCCCCCAATTGGCGACTCGCAAGTAGGGCATAGACTCTCCTGGTCTGGTCTTCCGCACTATCAAAAATAACAGTTAAAATCTGCTTTAAGGAGCATTTTATCGGAGAACTTCCCTTTAAGAGCAGTCAGTCAATCGGAAAATTAATTGATCTATCAATCAATAGATTTGCTAGTCAGTCTGACAGTCAATCACTGACTGAGTCATTCAGTCAGTTGGTCCATAGTTACATGATCGATAAATAATACTTACGTCACCAATATAGTAACGATGACCATTGGGACATTCTGAAAAGCAAAGATATAATTTCTGACCCCACGAGAACGGTAAATATTCATCCTTATTTAAAACGATATGAGCAATTTCCATCCCTAACATGCAAAGCATCAAATATATTGACGAAATTGCGATGGCAGAAATCTACCTAAGATAGACACTGAGATCTATGGCGACGATCGCACAACATCAGGAGGCAAAAACCAAGTACATCAACCCCAACTGGGAATAAATGAGATGCAGTACTTACGATACCATTTGCCTCCCTCCGTCATGGCAGAAACAGTCTCTTGAAAACTGTCTTCTGGCATTGTTGGAAGAAAAGAGTCCTGGAAGATAAATGGTGAAGGACGTGGCAACAGTTACAAAAAGGGGAAATCGGGTCTTGTCCTAACTTATCAGCCAGGGTCTGGATTGAGCACCATCACCTTTTGTGTGCTTGATATTGGCCTAAACTTTATATGTTACTGCGATAGACTATAAGGTGGTAAAGTTTTATGTTATAGAGAAAATAATTAGCTTCTTTTTCCATGATGGTATCTAACAGGTCAGTGATAGCTCACTGAAGGCTGACCACAAAGGTTACAGCCAATTTAAGAACTGACAACTATATCCGCTCACCAGCATTTGACGTGGAGCGAGGAAAATCTCCCTCAGAGGGTTCAGTATTTCATCAAAGTCTATACATCGAAGTACGGAAGTCACGTGAAACAAGATATCGGGCAAAGCCTTCTCTGCTTCACTGCACGTCTCATGGACGGTGGGTAATGGAAATCCTAAGTCCTGAGGATTCCTCAAAAGACCCGTGACCAAGTGTCGCGCCTATTCGTTACGAAGAGGGAAAATTAAATGAAACGACCGCATAACATTAGTATTAAAATCAGTGATAATCGTAGTAAGGGCAATCATAGTGATTTCAGCAACTTCTTTATAGTGATGTCAGCAAAATGTTTTTGGCAAATGGGATCTTGGAATGCCTATTTGTTCACTAAAAACCATAGTACGTATGTTGTTCTAAGCGAACAACGTCAAAAAGCTTTCAGTAGTTGATTATTTAAAAGACTTGGATAAGGAGTAGAGCTAATAACTGGACAGTTGTAAATAACACTTCTTCAACCTTTGACCTTGCTACCGTAGACAGTATTGAACTAAAGTAATGAAAAATGTACACATTTTGACTTACAGTGAGAGAAAAAAATCTGATCCTTGTCAGAATAACATCTGTTATCGCAGCACATTTCTAAAAGATAATATAACATTCCATTTTTAGTGGCTATAGTATTCAGTATGATTATAGAAAGTCAGCGAATCATAATCTGCTTGTAACTAACATCCCGCATAAAAATTTATTTCTTTTTTCGGCATGGTTACACTGGAAAAACAAAACAAAACTCATCATTTATCTGGAGTCGTATAGAAATCAACACTGCAACTCACCCCAGGCTGAAACTGTACGTTTTGGGCCCATATTCCTTTTGGCACTGTTATCTCTCGATACAAAGCCAGGAGTAGAACGATATCCTTAGCGTGCTGACTCGGGACTTCGCCTAACCTCTGAAGCACCACAGATAGCACAAGTAAGTAGTTGAATTCTTAGACATCTTTTTTCGATCAGTCTTTAAAAGGATAATAAAAAATTTAAAGATCCTTTGACGCAAGTATAGTATTCAAGCAGTTCATCTTCGCACATAAGATGAGCTATATACCAAAAAAGTTATATTTAAAGATTTGAAAAGGATATCTACGTTACCTCTAGTGACGCCACTAGTTCATCTGTGTCATTGCTTAACATCGCTCTGGCTATCGAGTCTCTTAATTCTTGATATAACTCTCCATACACGAGAAACCGATCCAAATCCATCTCAGCGTCCTGTTGATATTTTTTAAATAAAAATATGAATAACACTTGTTAAGTAAAATACAAGAGAAGACTGCATTGGTTTCAAATGTAAGTCTTTCGTTCGATGATGAAAAATCTAAATCAATTTTGATCAAAAGCTTATTCAACCAGAGCACGTTTGGGGTAATTAGAGAAGTCCTTTGTAAATGATTCTTATATTTCCAGTGCTGCACTTTTTGTTTTTTTGTTCCAAATGCTGTATTTTAAAAGCTATGTAAAACTCAGGAGAATGAAGACTTTCTTGCCAACGCTCATGGGACTTGGGTGCTTATCATGATTAGAGAGAACATCCATCGAATTATATCAGTTCATCACCGGATCGATTAAGGGCAAAAAAATTGTATAGCTACAAAAGTAGTCAAGATTAGACTCAAAATTTAAGACATTTATATTAGAGATAAAATAGAGACTGAAACCATCAACCACTGAGAACTCCCACCTCGTTTCCTCTGAATTCGACGGGAACGATCCACGAAAGTTCTGGCTTTTGAGACACAGTAACAATGGCATGTCCTCCGTAACGTTTAACCAGCTGTTTAAGTAGAAAGAGAGCAGGAGATTTGGAACCTGTCTGAGCCAATGAGCAAAGTGCCTTAACAGTGTCGAATAAGAATTTCATTGCAGCTTGCGTTTCCATTTGGAGCCACTTTTCGTCGTCGTTAACACAGCTCATGTACAAGTAGTGGGCCGCCATTCCTAAACTACAGCGCGCTTTAGCTACCGCTTCCAAAGAATCCACCTGCATTTCATCAAAACTTGTAAAGTCTTCCTGTAAGATGCTTAGTGCATCTTGACAAATCTTGTTAACGCTACCAATTTGCAGTGGAAGATCGAGGTTAGCAAACATAGCTAACGCACTGGCGGAGGAGTTCTACAGAGTGAAAGGAGTACAAAGTGAAGGGCTATAATTCATTTGATAAAATGCAATAGGAAGTGCTTTTCATTAATGAACTCCCTTTTTTTTTGTTTTGTAGTTGCCAATTAGAAGACAAAACACAGCTCGCGCACCAGCCCTGTCTAATTTCTATTAACTTGCGCAAGGTTTCATCGCGTTTTGCTACAACTTTTTAAGTAACTCGACTCTCCGCTAATAGATATCATAGAAGAAACAAGAAGGTGGGAGAAAAGGTCTTTAAACTATCGATCAGATAATTTTGTAGTACCTCACAATTAAAACCGTTTTCGTCCTCGTGTTGTTGCCGTTATGGCTACACCTGAATCGACTCGTCTCCTTGCGAATCCGACAATTTAGTAATCATGGAGACATAAGCGTCGAAGTCATAGGTGGAATTGGAAGAAAATGAAACCAATTATGTCGAGTTTCTGACTTGGCTTACGACTCCGATTTTCGATTCTCTGTAGATCGAAAGCGCTTCTACGACACCGACTTACATTCCTTCTCCGACCCCGTCCCTAGTGAAAACTAGCCTTTTCGCCTCTCTTGTGTTCATCCATTACTCACTAAAATATCTTAGGCGTCAAAGGAAAAATTAGTTTAAATGTCCTTTCCCATGTAGTAACATTTTTTGGTAGTTTTCTTTTATGTTAAATAAATTCTTTTCATGAAGCACTATTCTCTACCATAAAATTAGCTTTGCTTCAAATAAATATAAATCCTTATGTACCTCCATACACTGCACAGCAAGTAGACAAACATTCAGGATATGAAGCACCTCTGAAGAAAGGCCTTGAGCCTCAAAGAGGAAGCGATGTAGGTGTTTCTTGGCTTCTTCATCACTATTAAGATATTACCACACGATGAGAAAAGTAACTGATATGAAATTGTTTCTTATGCACTGAGTTAATACGAGAAACATTCTAAGGAAAAATAGTTCTAGCGATGAAGATGACTGGATATGAATGCAAAAGTTGAGGAATGCTTTACATGTGAGAGAGAACGATGCCTTTCTACATTTAAAAGACTATGAAAGTAGCTGTGAGAAAGAGCAAATGCACGATTAAGCGTAAAAAGATAAGTTACAGTCATAGACCACTCACTAAGGCCATGGAAAGCATAAGCTCCGTGACCTTCGTCAGCACAGTCGACCTTATCATGGTATTTTCAAAAGTTTGATTGAATAAAGTTGATATTCAAAATTTATTTAGAGAGACGCACCTTGAATTGATAAGCTGTTGCAAGAGGAAGGATCTCACCACCGGAATGCTGTCTCCTCCAAATTCAGGAAAGGGTGAAAATTCTCTCGTTGCACCAGCAAAATGTGCTCCTGTTACATATCTCATCAGCATTTCAAATACGTCTCGATCCAACTTACGCACGCCATCTCCAAAGCAAAACAGTGACACAATCTCCATGAAGAATGTGTTGCAACGGTGGATAAATTTGGCCTGTATTGCAAGGTCTTCATTTCTAGTAGAAACATTAGTATTAAAACTGCATGAGAAAGTAAGAGAGTATAAGATGAAACTACACTGGTCACTACACTGGTCACACAATTTACCTGCTGCAATAACGATTTTCCATTTTCACTATGATGAACTCTCTTGCCTTATCCTTAGCGTTTCGCTATAAACTTTACACTGAACATAGCAGTATTGATAGCAGCTGTTGCTTGGAGAGTAAACTTGGAATTAATGCAACTTCAGTTGCTACTTACTCTTGAAGTACCGGAAGTGAATCCTCCGTGCAGTTTAATAAAAAACGCTCAATAATGTTGAGGGAATCTGCCTTTGTAAAATCTGTTTCTTCACCAAGGGCCTAAAATCGATCAAGTCTCTGAGTCACTTATTAATCAAAAAATCACTGAAAAGTTAAATACACATTAATTTTATGAAATTGTTAAGTACTGTTTATCTTAATTTATCGTTTTGCGTTCCGTTTGCCTGCGAAATAGTCATCTCCAAAAAGGTTTTCAACTGGCTTTTAGTAATCTCTTAAAGTCTTCAAATTAATTACTGTTAAAAAACCTAGTTGGAAAGTGTCAGTTACCTTCCAAAGTTTCAAAATGCTCCGCAAATCTCTAGAATCTGTTGAATCTTGGGATGGATACACGTGCTCGATAAGTAGTCTGACGGCACTAAGGCGTTGCCACATGGATCTGAAATTAAAGCGGAGTAGCAGCAGGGTAAAATGGCTAACTCGAAAGCACAAGAATGACATGAAAAAAATTAAATTCTAAAAAGTACCTGCACTGTCTCAGCATGGACTCAGTCTTTTCTCCAAAGCGTGTCTTGTCTTCGGTTGTCCTCTTGCCGATCATTTCTTCCACTGGGATTTTCACAGACAAAACTGAGTCACACCAGGCCTGTCTTTGTGAGGTGGTCTTTAGTTCCTCTGCATGGGGTTCCATACGCTCCAAGCACATTTGTAGAGCAATAGCGTCAACAGTCTGAGAAAGAAATGTTTATTTACATGCACACTTGCGTGACTCACTGCGATTAGCCTTCCTACTGGATACGTAGGAATTATTTTGTTATTATTAAAGAGTTTTCGATCGCTTTTCCCTTCACTTAATCAACTGACTAGCCTTACGTAGAAGGTCAAACGTCACAGACAAATGCAAAAACATGCTATAGCGTACCTGAAAAATCCACAGGTTCAATGGCTATGATAACTTTTAAACAAACCGATGCATACCATTTCGTTTTCATCCCATGAAAAACTGTTTGCAAGGTTCTCTGCAAGGTCAGGCTTGGCTCGAAGAAACTGGGATAAGCAGTTGAGTCGCTGCTGAATACGAGAATGTGCCACATGAACCAGTGCAAAATCCATGGCAAACCTATCATCTGGTGAAAGTTTCGGGATATGAAACTCTTTTGCAGCGGCTGTAATCGCTCTTTGAACAATCTAGAGAGGGCAAAGGATCTTACAGCTCGCCAAATTCTTTAGACATGGACATAAAATCGACTATAATTAATTTTTAAAATTAATTAATTTATGGATCAAAACAAAGGATCGCACCCAACAAAATTCCCCCAAGAAAAGCAAGAACAGTAAGGCATATCGGTACTACCCCGATCAGTAATCAAAGTGCTCTGTGAGCAAACTCGTGAATTGGCAGATGACTTACATGATTTTTTGGATTATGTTTAATGTTATCTGGTTTAGGGAATTTTATGGTTGACTGTCATTTTTAGAGTACGATCAGTAATTCAGAGTTCGCTAATGTAGCAAAGAAACAAAGTAACGTTGGGATAAGAAGGCGTTGCCATTCTTAGCAACAAAGGTCGCTATTTCGTTTGTTTATTACTTGCCAAGAACTATCAAATACACTCAAAAATCGAAAAAAGTCACAGGAATCGTCCAATTGAGCGAGCGAGCGAGTGCCATTCTCCACATCATATCTACAACTTGCTCTTGCGCATGCGCGCAATTCACGAGTTAAAAAATGAAGAGAAAACGATGTTGTGATTGAAACTTAAACAGTCTTGTGTCCTCCACAATGAGCCTCATAAGCATGTACGTACAGTCGTCCACGACAGACATATAGATATAGTTTTGTGGATAACAAACTGTTCTGTAAAGTGATTACACATAGAAGTCCTCTTACACTTTTACCTCAGTCTCGGCGTCATCTTGAGGTTTGTACACCATCTGAGTAAAGTCATGCAAATAACGAGCCACTGAGTCTTCGCCGCCTTCTGAGATGGCCTCGGAAACAATTTGCCTCACGCTTGAAGCGTCCAACAACCTCCGCAAGCATTCAATGAGGGTTTCGTGAGAATTTTCTACCAAATAAGGACAGATTTGGTAATCCCAAAAACTAAATGTAGTTTTCGAATACAGGTATATTTTTAATGTTGAATGCTTCCTAGCATAAATTTACAAACGCTAATCATTTACAGAGAACTTTCTTAGCAAAACTTTTAATGAAGTTTTTTTTTCATGAACAGGGGATAGGAGGATGGCTTGTTAGAGTGGAGGAGCTTATCAAACACTAGGAGCTTCATACGGGTATGCCGTCTTTAGAAAGAAGGGGGCTTAACATGGTATTTACGGTAAAAAGAGATAAGCCGTGACGAAAGGGGTTGTTAAAGACAGAAAAACGCTTAAAACGAAACTGAGATAGATCTATAATCATTCCAGCGTCAAGAAAAAGAGTTAAGCCTCAACTTAGTAAATCTCACCTGCAATACTTCTGGCCTCTCGATACATCTCATCTATGTGCTTTTTGAGGAGCCACGAAAATGGAAACCTGCATTTAAAGACATGCGATCGATAACCTGATTTTAAAACTGGAACTTTACTTCGGACTCTCTCCACATCTTCCTCTCGAGACATAAACATTCTATAATTGAGATTAGTAAAGGAGTCGTCTTCAAACATGTTCAACCAGAGACGTGATACCCAAGGGTGTTCACTGGCAGCCAGTTCAAGGTTTTCGTCGCGATCGATATATGCGATGACTTCAGCCAGAATAGGAGCCACAACAGACTGGAAACGGTGCCAAAGTGCTTTTTTGAATGTTCCAGTTTCCTTCACGGTGCACGATTTAGCCTCGTCCTCGAGCCACTCCTTTCCCTCTTTTGGTGCTCGCTGATCCCTTTCTTCTAATAGTTCATGGAGTCGTTTTGCCAACACCATCTCAAAACGGTTGTCATCATTTTTTCCTGAAAAAAGGAAATACTAGGTTTTTTTGATTATGGAGCTAAGATTGAACTTGCAATTAACAACTAAATTTCACCAAAATATTTATTTTCGGGAAGGAGGGGGGGAGGGGATAACAGTAAATCTGTGAAAAATATTTCGAGGATCTTACCAGTGCTCGTTCTAGACGAAAGTAAGTCAAGCAGCAATTCAATCCTTCTGGTTGCTCTTTTGAGCGTCGATTCATCATCCTCGATCTTGCTAGCCGCTATCTGCACGCAACTTGTCAGAACTTGGCAGACAGTCAGATGATTTTCTGTCTTGTCTGTCTCGTTAAGGGCACCTTCGAAAATTTCACTGACTGAACGGTCCATCAGTGCTTCAATCGGTGGTATTTCCTCACTTGGAGGGCATAACTCGTCGATGTGAACAGACAACCATTCTTCACCTTGCACACCATCGAACTCTCTATAGCCCCCTGCTACTCTAGGCAGCTGCACAATCATTAGGACGTGACTGCAACTTGTAAAATCCTCCTCCGAATCTTTGTCCATTTTCCCCAATTCTTTCTCTACTTCCCGAAACTCTTCTATGAGCAAATGACGAGAGCATGCTACCAAATTCACGTTTTGGTCAGTGGAATCGCATTGAACTATTAACAGGCTCCTCCTTCCTCCGAGCTTGGCCCAGAAGTCTCTCCTGTGTAATATACAATGAACACTCGAATTGTTAAATGAGCTGACGTCTTCGAAAGACTTTGCCTCGTTTAAAAAGTATGGAGATATCTCGTGGTGGTGTTTTAAGAATAATTTAACGTGCATTAACCACCAAAGTGCCTTTTTTTACATTGAAACAAATTAAGTTTTCTCAGTTTTAGAGCGTTTTTCAAATGAGTGTAAAAAATTATTTGGGTTGCATTCGTTTCGCTTGACAACGCTTTTTGATTGGCTTAGTAATCTGGCGTTTGACATGATATTTCCCAGATGGGTTTCTGTTAATAACCTAATTAATGCAGTCCTTTTATAATAATCACTTATCTGATCAACTACATTTCAATTTTGAGTATTGCAGATTTATCCTCTTTCATCCACGGCATTTGCATTGATTTTGTTTCAGAGCAGGGGAGCAATGTTATAATATAATGGTATTGTTGTCATTGTTCTATTGGGAAAATTTCTACCACTATCGTTGTTTCTTTTTGAAGCTACATGTCTAAACTCTACTGAAAAGATACTCAAATCTAGTTGTTACCCTATACTGTTGCAGAATTGCTGTTCAGTTTGGAACTTCTGCAGTGAGACACACTTTACTGAACTTGGATGCACGTTAACAGCATTGGAAATTGCAGGAATGTCTCGGTCTGTCAGAAGACGAGAGTGTGTCGAAATCTGGGAAAAAATAACGATTAGAAAGAAGTTCATCCTATTCCATTTATTTATGTTATTCAAGATAGATTTTACTGATTACTACAGAACTGAGCAAAAGTAATACGAACTAAATTTGGAGAAATGAACCCTGTTTGAAGTTTCTCAGTGGTGAGACATTCTAGCGAAGATTGTTGAGAAAATTTGGCAGAAAAATGTCGCTGGCATTTGCGAAACCTACCAAAAAAAATTCCAAGGACCGAAAATTTGTGGCTCAGCTCGAGAAAATGTATCACCATGTTTAATATTTAATCCCCAACCGGGTTCTTACCTTAGACAGTCATGAGTCAATTTTGACAGATTAATCGAACGATCAAAGTTCAGCTAACGAAATGTTTAAGCAGGAACTTTTTTAGAGAATCTAATTTTCTTACTTGGGCACGAAATGACGCTTTAGACATTCCATCAGCACCAAAGTTAGTAGGCCCGACTTCTTTTTCTAAAAAGCTGGCCAGGCTCGAGTGTTCTTGCTTACGGAAGTACGTCGTCCATAATTCGTTTGCGTCTTGGCTAAGACGTGAGAAACGGAGACGAGTAACAGAGTCGGGAGTCGCACACTGTAGCAAACGCTCCTTACATATGCAAAGCACCTGGAGGAAAATAAAACTTTAAATACATACAAAAACGGCATTCTTACCTTCATCCTAGCCCCGGTTGTTCAAAGGGTGAGTAGCGCTATCCAGTGGATAAATCTATATCCAGTGGATAGCGCAATACGTTTTGTTAACACTTATCCGTTGGATAGCGTAATCCACCCATTGAACAGCAGGGCCCATGGAATCTGAAAAAGTCATTGTGAGTTGAAGCAGAAAACAGCAGCTGAGTAAACAACAGCTGGAATATCAATCATGGCCACAAACCTTCGAGGCTTTTTAGAAGAAAGAAAAAGAGGAAGCTACATTCGAAGATCCAGTGAACAGAAAACAGCACTCTTATCCCAAACTGATGGTTCGTGCTTACAAAATGTCCTAAAGGCCAACGAACCATTTCAGCTGTACGGATGGTATTTCCGTATGAAGGGTAAGTACCCCAATAAGAGGCCCAAAAGAGATGCACACCATGCTTTCTTTACTGGGATTGTTCATGCAGATAGCTAAACCTCATGGACAATCGTGTATAGCATTTCCTCTCTCTCGTAGTACAACTTACTTCTTCCATCCAAGACTCCCTATCTCGATCTGTCGGGGAGGTCCCGTCGTAATGAAGCTCAGCACAAACTTGCAAAACTACGGCCGGGACAGTGTCTCCGTGGTAACCAATAAAAGCATCTCCTTTAGTGAATGTTCTTAATAAGGAAAAAGATTAGATGTTAAACGCGGCAAATTTGTCATCAACAGAGTAGGAAACTTGGAACCGCAACATATTCGATTAATGGGAATGAAAATTCAATTGGAACCTGCCACGAAGGCATGGTCCAGTCTTAAAATACTTCAAACTGCATCAGTATTAATTCAAATTATGCATTTAGGCATAAGTAACAACACCTGTAATGAATAAGGTGAATGTCACCTTCCTCTTGTAATATTTTAGGAAAATGAGAAGATTTAGATAGCTTTACAAGTAACAACAACAAACAAAACCAAACCGAAGAAAAGAAGAGAGATGCAAACTGGTTCAAAGTAATCTTATTTTGAAACAACCTCTGTTTCTCGTGGGTCTGATGCAATATAGACGCAAAATCCTCAACCCAATCTTCCAATTCCCTGGTCAGTTCCTCCTGAAGCTTGGTGAGGCCAGATGACATAACAAGGAAGTGTTTCTCCAAGCGGTTGATCAGAGGGATGGGAAACTTGTTGTAAACCACGTCCTTTTCAGCAATGACAATAAGCCTGTTGAAAAGAATGATTGCAACAGTTCTTCGTTTGAAATAAGCAGTACCTTTGTAAATGTGTACAAGCTGTTGTACCACATAACGTTATTAACAGCTGCCCACAAAAGGATTTCTTTCACTCTACTTCAACCCTCACATACAGCCAGTATTTTGTTTCGAGTTTGATAAAGTTTGACGGAAATCAAATTACGTTCCTAAAATATTCTTGGCAGAAACGCCTTTCCTTTAGATTGAATAAGTATTGTAACCCTATTTAGCAAAACATTCACGAAGTAATGGGTACAATTCTAAGTTTGGAGCTTTAATCTCAAAAGTGCATGATGGCCTGCTAATCTGATATAGACTATAATTCTTATCTCTTCATAATACTGGTCATGATTACTGATCCAAGACATAATTACCTGAAATTTCGGTGAACGCGGCATTTGACTCGGTTATTCCCTAGCCCAAGATCGACATATTTCTTTCCTCCAAAAGAGACGTAATACTAAAAACACAGTTTGAAAACAAATTTAAGAGAAAGCTAAAAGGTAACGAAAAAGTATAGATATCACTTTGTGGTGCACCAGCGGCTGAGGTACATTCGCATGGCAAAGTATAGAAAAGTTACGTCATACGTTGTATGGTACGATTTTGACTGACCTGATTCAAGGCGTCGTAGAGGCTTTCATACAGGTTTTCAAGATTGAGCAAAATTACTGTTCTGCCTGTCTCCATACACATCTTAACACGGTTGATGTTTCGGCAAACCTGCAGAAGTTACGTTTACACAATCTTTGGTTATGGCATTGACCTAATGATTGTGTCAATCAATAAATTTCCAGTTATCAGTGAGTGAACGCGACAGAAAAGGAAATGGCTAAAGCAACCGAAACATTAAAGAAACAGAAAGACACACACTTAAACAAGTAGATAGACAAGCAGATAGACAAGCAGACAGAGAAAAACAGACATCAGGCAGAGAGATATACAAGCAGTGATGAGGTGATACAGGCAATGGCACAGATAATAAACAGATACACAGGCTGAGAGAGTAAAAGTGACGTGACATATAGCGCATAATTTTCACCTGTGTGAATAGCTGGTCTTTAGGGAAACCACTACCGAATATAACGTATGGTTCTTCCTCGTCCTGTTCCAACAAAAGCTGTTTTATTCTTGGCAAAGCCGCAAAGTTCTCAGTCATGATGAGCAGATACCGTCCATCTCTATAAAAAAAAAAGACACGGCAAACCTCTTTGAGCAAATGATAAGGGATATCGCCTTTGAATTTCATGTGAGTATTTGGTCAAGACAGAACGGTGGGATTTGCACTGACGGGCCATGTACGGTGAAGAGACTTGACGTGGCCGCTAGGGCCTAGGAACTATCATAACCGCTGACCGGTTCAAGGAAGTCAGTCATTTTGTGTTTACGTTCTTGTTACGAAGGAAATATATATTTCTCTATCTACGTTGGATCGGAACTCTACTTACCGCTTTACTATTGTAAGTTAGCCATCTTACATTGTATATCATCTCTAGGTATATGCATCGTTTTTATTGTGAGCTTTTAAGGACTGTATTTTAGTATAATTCGGTTGTTATTTGTATCGTAGGACTCCTTCATCGTTGTACGATAATTAAAACCGTGTCAAGCAACGAGGAGTATATTTCTTCATACGGCAGTACGTCAAATGATTTTAAAATGGTAATCTGACATGCTTGTATTGGCTAGGAAATGATTAATCCATGACGTTGATATCAATTGAGTATATTGAACGGGAGGTGTACCTCTTAATTGGAACAGGTCACATGGTCACATTGTCACATTAGACAAGACTCCAGGAAATACATATCTAAAGATCTCCTATTTTCTACTAAAGAGTTGTAAACAAAGCGGTATCAGACTTACCCCATTACGCTTTCCCGATTCAGGCTTGCCCTTATAAGATCTAGAGAGTCAACTTCTGTACGTTCTTCATCCTGTAAGTTATGGGAGGTTTAAACAATGTAACAAGTGGAAACAATTATCATCTTGGTGGTTACGAATATGAGGTAAATTGTGGTTTTTAAAGTGCGTGATCGTCGAAGGCCCATAAGAAGTATCCTTGGGATATCCTCTAAAACAGATCTAACATTAGCTCGATTACCACCGAAGTGTGTCCCAAACGAATTACCATCAGAGGTACTCTTGGGCTGTTATTTAAATGAAAATGGTTTAAGCCTTACTAAAAATTCATCTTAAGTATGTGATCTGAGAAATCAAGGGGCATAAAACAGTATGTATTTGATTTAAATCGACATTTCGCTTATCCACCGTAATCTAATTTCGCCGTGTAAATCGACGGCATAAACATCTGTGATGAACATGAAAGTTCACTGCTTGGTAAATTTTAATGCAAGTCCTCCGGAAATTAGTATTTCTGTTTTTGAGATATTTCTAAAAAATAGAACTTCGGTGTCAGATAAGAGACGATAAAACCGGTTTTGAAGCATGAAGTTCTTATTTAAGACAATAAAGAAAAAAGTGTTTTAACCTGAAAATATTCCTCAGGAAAACCAATATGATCCATAAGAATTCTCACAGGGTTAAAATCCTCCTCCAGAAGGCCACTGAAGTTTCTCTTAATAGTCTGTTCGAGCTCTTCCCAGTTTGGTCGGCGTTGCTGCTCTTTTGCGATGCAGACGATCATTTTAATGAGACTGAATTAAAACAAAAGCAATGAGCAATTAGTTGAAATTCTTCGAAAAGTTAATTCAAAACATAATCAGATCAGGTCAACACAATCAAACCTGTAGAAATCTCGCAGTCCAAAAAATTCATCTTTCTTTCCCTCTATCAGTTTCTTCGATGTTTTTTGTTTGGTGTAAAGGTCTTTGTAGCCACGGACCAACGGGGATATAAGGTGTTCTATATGTATCAATATGTCCTCATTACTTCCACAAATACCCCTGCAATAATCAATATATAGCTTAAATCAAAGATGATGAACGGTCTTATATCAGACATTTTGATAACAATGTTTTATATCCAGTTTGCTTTCCTAACAATCTACGAAACTTAATCGATAGGTAAACCTTAGGCCTCACTCGAAAATTAACATGATTTAGTAGGCTTGCATGTTGATTACAGAATAAGTTGGAAAAAAAATGGGTAATGGCCTGAAAGAAAGATTTCCTATCCTCCGTATGGTCATCTACAAATCACCTTGAAAAATGATGCGCCTTCCCTATATGAGTCGTTTTAAACGTACTTGTTCTTTACCAACAGCTAAGAGAGCCTGAATTAGCTCGGCTCGAAAACAAATTTCTTACATAAAGAAATTTCGAAGATCGAAGGGCAACAGGAAGTAAACAGTCGCTTTCCTCGGTGCTGGCAACAAATTTATCGTCCGCTTCGAACTTTCAGTTGCATTCAGTTTGCGGTCATTGCTCACGCCTAAAAATGTCTTTGCTACACTGCTTCCATGTGCTTTTTCATTATGAAAACAATTAATTGATTATCAAATATGAGTCACCTTGGGTCGGTTAGAAAAGCTGCCATTCCGAGCATTAGCCTCTCGTTGGAGCAAGTTGTTGATTTCCAATAGTTAATTTATAGTTTCCCTTGCGTTCCGACACACCATAATACTCCCGTTCGTTTGCTTTATGGTGGAATGGTTAACGAAAAAAGGTTTCCTTTGATTTGTTGAATGAGCACCTCATTACATCACTGAGCTAACCTACCTAAGGTGATTTTTGCATATAAGAGATACTCTAGATGTAATTGATATCAAATAGATAGTTTAAATGTGAATCACAAATTTTATGGAATCTTTCCGACATTACCTGGCGGTCGCCTCCAGTTCGTCACCATCAGGTTCGTTACGGCAAAGCATTATCCCACGGTTCATCTTGGCTGGGTCCAGCGCCCAGTTGGACAAGCCAATGAAGGCGACTCTTGTAAAACTCTTTCCAGACTGGATCACAAACTCGTCGTTTTGGTCATCATCTTCCAGCAGGGGATGTAGAGTTTTCAAGGGCATTTTTGGCGAGTCCTCAGCTAATCCGATCTCATCCAGCACTACCACAGAAGCAAAAGTGTCTGAAGATGCCTGTTCGTTCTTACTTTCCTGAAGTTCACTGCACTGTTTAAATGTTGCGAGTATACCCTCAGGGGTGGACTGGGGGCTACACTGGTACGAAACCAACTGAATCTATAATAAAAAAATGGAACCACTTGATTCATTTCCTTGGTTCCTACAACGCACTGTAAAACCTTACTTGTGAAAAATTTCTTTGAAGACAAAAGAAAACAGTCAGAAACCTTATATGCTAAAATAGCTATGCCAAATAGCTTCTCAAAATGTTATCCGTGGGGTGTATGTGCCTAAACGCTTTCCTTTGAGTAAATGACTACGTTGGAACCATTCCTTCTATACCATAATACTTAATTAACACAGTTAGAACCCACAGGGAACAGAAACAATTCTAAGAGTTAAACGTTTTTTTTCCAGTTATCATTAATATTATCAATAGTATTATTGTTATTATCATTATCATTTTATAAGCACTTTGTGCTTCGGTCTTACCTGCTTAAACTTTTTGAAAAGGTCAGATCTGGATCTTGCTCCCTGCATGTTATCTGCGACGACGGTCTTAGCCAGAGATTTTGAGCTTCCCGGTTTTCCAACGACAAATAATGGGATCCTGAGCTCAATGCACACCACCATCATAAACACATTTTCACTAAGGGCTTCGTTGCGAGCTATGTTGGGTCCAAGTTCTAACTCCCCCATCAGAGTTTCTTGACATCTTCATAAGGAAACGTAGAACCAGTATTTATCATTATCTTCATCACAAAGAATTGATACACATAAATGATTAACAGTGACTAAAACGTTCCTTTAAATTTGTCTCCTCGAATAATAAAACAACATAAAGGAAAAAATTCACGCTTTCCAGCAAACTGGACAAAAATGTCATTTTTCGTCGGTGTTCAGCCAAATAACCATTTTAGGAAAAGAAGAAAGAATCTTAAAAAAAAAACATAGCTAGAGTTGAAAGAGCTTTGAAAGGAAGTTTAAACAGTATCCCTCTCAAACAACATGCATATACACATGTATGTTTATCGTCAACGAAGTAATGACGTTACCGAGAAATTTCTCTTTCAATTCTTTCGGCTCCACCAGGAAGCCTGCATGGTGGTCTGAATGATTTTGCTACTGCCTCGCGGTATTCCTTCCTATCTGTTAACCGTGCTTGGTAACAAACGCCAAGAGCAAGGATTAAAGACCAGGATACTGGGTCAATCCTGTCGCTGACATCTCCCTAAAATAAATGATAACTGGGATCACTGTAGTTTCAAAAAACAGAAAATACGTTAACTTAATTTTTGCGCAGTGTACAATGATGAACTTGACATTCAGACCTCCATTTGCTTGCCTTCAAAAACACATTTACCTAAAATTCCTCGACCAAGGCAATGCTAAGTTTTGTATTCCGAAGTCTAAAAACAAACATATATCAAAAGATTTTCTGGAGGGTAGCATGGCGTCGATGTGATAATGTCAAGGTGTGATGATGTCTGCGCTTGAGTTGATTGCGGCCTTAAAATTACTCAGTAGTCCAAGAATAAGATTATTCGTATAAGATTAAAAGTACACATAATGGCAAAAACGAGGTTCATGCGCTTGGTAATTATCACAACTGAAACAGCGAGTATCTTCACTAGTATTAAATAATGGTCTTAAGTAAAACAGTAATTACGTTTTCTTCTGGGAGCGGTCCTTCATAAGATTCTTTAAAGTCAAACTTCGGAACTGGAAGATCGAATAGAGGAACCACATGTGGAGGCTTTGGTAAATCTTTGGTTTCTTCTGAAAGAATAAACCGTGTTTTTTTGGGAGCAGCACAGGGGATCTGCTTAGACACGGACTCGAGCAAGATTGGTCGCTCGTCTGTTTCTTTAACTTCTTCTTTGAGAGGATTAAACCTGCCCGAGTGATCGATAAGCTTTCGCCTTTCCACTTTGAAACCTGCATGTTCTTCCTCTTTCAGTACGGATATCTCGTCAACAGAAGCAAGTGGTACTTCTTTCAGATTTGGTTGCATCACATGAGAGCTGGTTTCGCCTTCATTCTCGCCATCGTCTTCATTGTCACTTTCCTTCTCTTGCATCAAAGAAGAAAAGTGCTGGAAGTGTTCGTGAAACCACAGCATGACCTCCATGGCTCTTTTGACGTCACGTAAGCTAACAAAGCTGCATTCATCCTGCAAATAGGAATTTTAAACCAGTTTGTAAGAAACGATAAGAATCTTTTCGTATTCAGGCTACAACAAAGCGCCATTTTCTTCAAGAACATTAGGGAAAATCCATTAAAATACGACGACATCACCTGTATTACATATTTTATTATGTTACACGAATTTCCTATCGAAACAAGTTTAAATAAAAAAGACTTTGCGCAAAAACAGACATGATACCAACAAACCTACCAGAAATTTGATAGCAGGCTCTCAAAAAAATAACAGCGAAACTAAAAGATCAGGTCAGTAAAATACTCATTTTCATTGAACAAGGGTGATAACTTGCTACTGTTCAGTTAGCAAAACACCTTTTTCTCTCTCATGAATCTCTGGGAAGCTGCTAAAACACTTGCTATGGCACTGACTAAGTTTTCATCGCCTGGTAGACGACCTTGATCAACCTGAAATAGATTATGATTTCGCACAAAAAAAACAAGTGTTAATCAAAGAAATAAGCTGGGGCTCTATCGAATTAAGCGCTTTAACCAGTGGTTTACGGATTTCCTCTCTTTTTTTCCTGCTGAAAAATATTTCCTTGAAATTTAGCATTGGCCCTCGAAGTTTTGCTTTGGGAATAACTTTTCATTTTTAGGACAATCTTTCAGCCGCGGACACTATCAGCCGATATATGTTAGCCGCCCTTTGTGGTTCTTATAATTTTGGCTTAAGCATGTTAGGTCTCTTATTGAAGTTTAGACCAATAACGTGCGTTCGAGTGAAGAATCATCATAGCAGATAACTCTTTTTAGCGCTAAAAATAATCCTCTACATCCCAACATTAGTATGCATATTCTCCATACTGTCTCCTACACATATTTCCTTGAGTGTTGACAACGGAGAATTTGTTAAACGATCGAAAGCTTCTTAAGTTAATGGTCATTTCCTTTAATCAAGTGACTTCAGAGTGTGTTCCAGGGTTGATCATTCTTAGGGGTCAAAAGGATAAAGTAAATAATTATATAGGCAGCATTGTTTTGCTGGGAAGTAAAACACTCGTAGAATCACTACGACCACCACATCCGGGAACCGAGTGGCACATTTATAGTATGTAACAAAAGTGGTCACATTGACTAACGACATCACGAGCGTGTTTTTTCATTTGAAATTTGCTGGGATATACTGCCGGATTTTACCCGCTCTACAATGACATCTACTTACATATCTCCTCACAATCTGTTGGGTGTAAAGCTCTTCTACTTCCGGATTCAACTGTCCAAAATCCCAGACTAGACTACGCATGCTCTCTGGTATTGCATGGACACGATAAACAAGATTACGCAGTGGGATTTTACCTAGATAGTAGAAAAGAAACCATAGAAAAAAAATCAGACCAGGTTATTTTCTCGAGGTCTTTCACACGGAATCTCTCATTATTTCATTCTTACCGAGGCGTTCAGCAGTTTCTTCAGCTGTTACATGATAGCCCAATCCTGCAGATTCTAGTTTCTGTATCATTTCGTCCGTGTGCCTGCCAAAATTTTTTATATAAATAAGGTTTCGGTGTTGGTTTATATGATGCAATAGGCAACTAGCTTACGTCATGGTAACTTAGTTATCGTCTTTTGTGGCTGGTTTAAAATTTACGACCACGGCATTGACATTAAAGAAGCCGAAAACCCTTTGTGCAGTCAGTCACGCTTAAGCTGCTTATGGAGGCCTAAAAGGGACATTCTAACTGTTTAAGATAGTGGATATTGGTGTAAGAGTCATAACTGCGAATGCAAAGTTACAACCGCGAATCCAAAGTTATCACTACAGATCTAGATCCAAAGTTTATAAGAATAGAAACTTTTAATTTCATTCAGAATGGCACTCACGAGCCACAGTAAGTGCCAAACTTGAATTACATTACTTTTTCATTCTACCTGCTTGATAAAATACCATGTCTATCCCCTGTTGTTTTAGGTGGCGCGTTTGGAGAGCAGTGTTTGGCCTCAGAACACAACGCCATCCAGACTGCTAACTGTTTCCTCCTCCTTTCCTCCCAGTTGCTTAATAACTGTTTTCCCCACGACGTTTGCCCTTTATTACATTTTACTTCATAATCACCAATTTCACACTGTAAAGACAAGACTTACTTTCGATATGGATTGCAAGCCACGATGAATTTCAGACTCTCACTCAGGGGCCGACCATTACATCTTCGGTCCACCATAATCTCTTTAATCATCCCCAAAGCTTCGGTGGTATTTGCCTCATCAAAAAACAAAACGGTGTCGATATTTTTGCCTTCATGTTTGTTACTAATAGCCATTGCCTCGGCTTGAAGAACATTTCTTTCTATGTCTTTGTAAGTGGTGCCGCCATGAATCTAAAGAAAGCGAAAACAGTGACAAATATTGAGTTATGTTGTAACGAAATTGCATCTTTTCAGGTTCATGGTTACATTTCTCAAGGAAGCTGTGGAAGTGTTACAGCTAGGTTTTTCCTCATCTTTCTATTACTGCACTTTTTTACAATAAAATATCTATCATAAGTGAACAACAACAACAGTTAATCTTTATTTGTACCCTTCCATGCCCAACCTACCTGTAAAACATTCACTGAAAAATAATATTACAGTACCGGGTGCTTGGATAACCAAAGGGGCCATCGGAGGCATGAAGCCAATAGAAACCAGAGCAAGAGAGGAAGTAGAAGGTTTGCCTCTCAACACAGATCTCACTGCCTGAATACCCCGTCCCCTTCCCGCCGCTTCAACTACACCGTCTTAAACTTAGAACAAGGTAGCACTGAAAAAATTTCTATCGCCCTTTCATGTCGCCGCAAAATTTGGTATTCTTAGTTTACTCGTTAGGGAGGTTTCTGCGAGAACTACTTCAACTTATTGCTTCATTTTCCTGAATAGAGTACAATGCCACACACAAAAAAACATAAATTCACACAGACAGTGCTACGAACAGTATTCTTAACCTTAGAATTTCAATATAGGCAGTAATATCAACACAAATGTCCAAGAGTCGCTCAATAACTACACTGAAAAAATGAATCGAGAATAGAAGTTTGGTTTCACCTTCATTAACAGCATGTTTCTTTGTCTTTCTCCCTCTGTTTGCAGTCCGCACAAATATCGAATAAGTTTTGTTTTTCCACATCCTGTCTCACCCATGATTATGACTGGAATGTTACATCTGAACCTCATATAGATGGCAAGAATTTTCTTAACATTATCACCCGTCAGCTCATAAGAGTCATCAGGATCATGTACAAAGTTGATACCCATGACAGCACACAGCAGCTCGATTTTTTGAAACCTGAAACACAATTTTAAAGTTTGCGTAAACAAGCAAAAATTTGACGAAACACCATACAACCAGGTGTATAGTCTCACATCAGCTATGTGACGGAAAAAAATTTATTTTTTCATGAAACAAGTAAAATTTTCTTAATTTTAATTTATTTTTACACGTGAAGGTCGTTACGACAATGAAAAAATGAACAGATATCACGAATGCAATGAAGTTCGCCTCTGGGATTATCGCTTCTTCCCGACACCGGAATGCTAGTCTATTTAGGCAGCTTCTTAACGACTGCTTTTCATTTTTGCACAGTTTTTTGGGACTCATTTGTATTCCAGGGTAGAAAGAGGCACTGAAAAGAAGCAATGCATAGACTCGGATAGGGCTCGGACCGTGACCTCTCAACCCTTCTCCATCACGCAAATCACATAGCCAACGAGTCTCTTTCGACCCCCTCCTGCCCCCCACCACCAACTGCTTTAGTAGTTGCGAACGGAGGCAAGACATACTCTCAATAACTGGTTCAAATATATCATTCAGCAGTCGTTACTTGATACCTACTTTGAATAGGACTCAAAGCTGTTGTCCAAATCCACTTTCTGTACACTCAGTCCCGTGCGAAGACGTCTTTTCATGATCCCTTCTTGAATGATTTGCTGAGTCTGCGGATCCAGAAGATTTCCCTCTTGATCAACACGGAATCCGAGGAAAGTCATGGTAACATGATCCGGGTTAAAAAAGATATATGGATGAGGCCTACATTTAAAAAAAAGGAAGGAAAGAATATTTGTATTCTTGTTCCAAATGTTAAATGGTGAGATCAAAACGTATGAACAAGTATTACCTCTTCTCCCAACGTCTCCGAAGCCGGAAGGGAACAATGTCGTGCTCTTCCTCTAAACCGGCCGATGTCCCGTGAGTCTGACTAGTGTCTATGTCTGTTAAAGATCGCATCGAGAAATCCTGTCAGAGAGCGACATAGTTTCATAATTAGTGGCACCCATGGAATTTTGCCATACCATTTATAAGAGTCAGAGGACGACTACAAACAAATAGTTTTCCAAGAGGGAATAATACACAAGGAGAAATAATGTAAAAGTGTAGTTTGATCGTGCGGGTGAGTGTAGTCCTGAGAAAGACTGTTGTCGGTAATATAAGAAGAAGCAAAATGACTACAGAAAGAAGCGATTGAAGCGGAATGACGATTACGGGTGATCAATCTTTAGGACTCTTGAAATCTTGGAAATCAGTCGTTGTTATTAATACTCATTTTTTTTATTACAAACCTTTGACATTATTATCATAAAATTAACCACAAAGTTCCGGAATCCTTCCAAGGTATCCTCTACCAATGAGGTGTTACAGAACGCGCTTTCCTCGCAGTCTCTGAGCTGGTAGTTCAAAAAGTTCACAAAATATCGAAGTTCAGACCATGACGGGTTCGTGACTCCACAGTTCCTGACGAAACCAAACACGGAATGAGTATTTACACAAAGAGCTAGGTTCAGTAATTAAAGGGTAAAAACTTACAAATTGCACACTTAAAGATCTAAGAGAAGAACCCTTACATAGTTAAGCAAATAAATGGTTTTTTTAAAAGGTTTCTCCTGTTTGGTCTCCGAAACGCTTCTGTCGAGCAACGAGAAAGTTAACGCTAGATGCACCTTATTCAAGGATATTTTGCGGGTAGCGTATTACCATGTGCAAAATTTCCTCGCGTGTCATAAGTCACCCCATCGAATTTGAGATTCATCATTCCATTGTTTTTAATATTCTTACTAGTATTTGCACTATTATATTAGTAGTTTTTGAGTGAGTTTTTGAATATTAAGTGGTCAATTTTGGCATAAAATGGCGTTTTTAATAGTTTTTATGTTACTTCTATTTTGTAAAACTTGTATCAAGCGGTCAACCTATATTTAGCGGTAACCTGTATTAAGCAGTCAACTTTTATTAAGTGGTTAACCTTTATTAAGCGCCATTCCTCGTGGGTGACCGCTTAATACAGGTTTGACTGTTATGTTAATATGGGAAGCCAATTACGAGAATCTGGAGAGCAACCGCTTAAGGATAGGTGATCCTTTAACAGAACCCAGCTAAATAGAGGTTTGACTGTACCAAGGTGAAAAAAACGAGGACGAAGGTGATTTAAGGTTTGAACGCTTGCTTTTCTCTGGGACAACTGCTGTCTCTCCCACGGAACAGGTTACAAACCTGATTAATGTTTTAAGACATTCGGCTGGACTCGTGCGTTTAGAGTTCTGGTCATAGTAGAACTCCTGGATGAGTTCAGGTTTCTCCTTGATCAGCTGAAGATACTGCCACACGCGCTGAACTTCGTCGCTCTTTAATTCTCCCTCATCAAACGATGGGCTATTAGTTTCTTTTGCTGCTACGAAAATATACGTTTTGAAGATGTCATGAGATGTGGAAATAGTAAGGACTGTACTCGAGGTGGGTAAGTTGACTTTTAGTCAAATTCGAATAGAGGAATTCCCATCATGTTGCAAGGGGGTAATTACAGGCAAACTGTCTTAAGCACGAAATCCTCGAGATGGTTTCTACAAAGTCCTTGCTTTAAGGACAAAGGATGAAAATTTTCTAATTTTACTTATGTTCCAGCGTAGCACTACAGATGTAATACTACAGATTTCAGAAATTTCAGAGTGAGACTGTAAGATGACTTTGTCACTACCAAATATTCAAATATTTTCTCGGCCAAATTTAAATCAAATCATACCTGCGCTTTTTCTTCTCAAGGAGAACAGAGTGTCTGTCGGAAGACGACATCTTATTTGTGGGAGGAGCTGATCAAACTTGCATGCTTCAGATGACTCCTTTGGCCTCTTATTATATAAAAGATTAATAAGATAAAACAGTTATGAAGTAATATTCGTTAAAAGCATATTGGCAGATACATTTTCTTTCAGTCGTATATGAGAGAGAATTCTTACCATTAAAGTAGGGTTGGTGATTTCCAGGATATACAAGTCATGTGAATTCCTTCTCCAAACGCGTCCACAATCATCAGTTAGTTCACCCAGGATCAGTAAATTAAACAGCAACGTTTCGAACTCTGGAGTAACCTGTCAAAGAAAGCATTGATTAGAATTGTGATTGCTTGTTTTCTTACGTAGTTTTTGCTTAACCGTTTTCGCTGGCACGGACTACCTTCAACTTTTTGTCTACTTGCCGGTACACTATCCAGACTTAATGCAATTTTTTTTTTCACATTCTTGCAAACATAAATCGTGGTTTTTCCCCTAACGGTTGACAGCTTCAGCCATCTTTGCAAACTATAACTATCGCTCTCGGGGGGGTGAGTGACTAAACAGAGAGACTTTCAAACTTATGAATTAAATCGAATTTAACAATAACAGTCTAGAGCAATATTTTGATTGTAAAAGAGATGTCTGATACCTATCACAACTTTTTACTCTTTAGGGGAAGTTTTAGACGACGTTTGAAAGAAATATTCTCTAAAAGTTCTGTACTCTAGCGCGACGATTTTCTTCAAGAACTTACAGCCATTCTGTGTTAACGTCTTTCTTTTACCAGAAAAGAAAATACATGAATGAATAGAATTAAACAAACTCACCACACAGGAACGATCAAGATGAAAAATCCTTGACAAAGGTATATCCGAATGTAGAGCATGAGGAAGAAAGAAACCAACAGCATCTGCAACATGCGCATGTTTATCATGGAAAGGAATTGTTACACACAAACGAGGTGTTTCTTCACCCTCCTGTAGCATTACTTCCACCACAAGCTGATTGTTGGGAAGCATTTCCAATTCTTCAGCCAACCTACGAACGACCAAACTTTTTCCTACTCCAGGGTGTTCAGAGGATACCACGAGAACATTTAAGCTTTAAAAAATAAACAGTGTTCTCGTTTAGAGTGCGTGGATGAGGGCATGGTTTATGTTGGAGAGATGATGTGTCAGGTAATTTCCTAGCTTAATTTTGAATGACATCCCTAATTCAAATCTCATTTATTCCAAAAAGGAATAAAGTGACAAATATCAAACCCGTCAGTTTTAAAATACAGTAGGGATTAAGAGTTGGCCTAGGTTTTAGCTTCAATTTTCTAAGACACAATAAAGTTATTTAACATTTAAAAAGACGGACAAACAACGTGCCTTTCCTAGAGGTACAACAACCGTCGTAATCTGCAATTGTTGGCACAAACGCACAGTATGGAGAGACAAGCCACATCTTTTCTAATCATCGCGTTCTTTAAAGCGCAACATTTTTCTTATCTTTCCAGTTAATCTAGGTAAGAGTCCTTTAATTCATTCTCAAAACAAGGAACAATGGATAGTGATGCTTAAGCGTGCGAAAATGCAATCTTTGTCCTCGCGGTCCCACAAGAAATAATTTCCCTCCGTGATTAAAAGAACAATCAGAGATACACCTACTTCTCCGCTCGACTAACTTCGGCAGCTGGACTCCAGATCACGTGTTTCTCACGATACACACCAGGCCTCTGCCCTGGTACTGTAAACTGCTTTGCGAGGTATCGCCGCAGCTCGTCTGGTCGAGGATACCTCGGCATTAATACTTTGTACTGTTCCAAACAAGTGATGATATGAGCTCGTTCTTCATTTTCGCTACTGCATAGAACAACAAGGGCCAAGCCTGAAAAATTCAGAAAACGAATAAAACAAAACATCAAAAGCAAACCATAAATATAAGGAAATATTTAACTTTCTAAGACTAGGAAATTTTTGATTCAACAATTCATTAAGTAAGAGGCAGCTAGCTCCTCAGTTCCGTTTTACTTCAGCAAACAGAGCTAGTTTTCAAGGATAAAGAAAGAAAAGTGATCTAAGTACCTTGTAAAAGAGTAGGAATTAGAAGTAGACATTAAAGAAAGAATAAAAGACTCTTTTACACTAATATCTTCGTTTACCACAGACCAGAATACAGGACCTAAAGGCATAACGTCAAACAGAACTTACTTTCCGGGTAGGAATAATCGTGCAGCAATGTGTGTAAACAGTCTACCACCTTCTGACTGACGTCATAGTCTAACAGGTCACCATTGACTAAACAGTATAGTTTGTTTCCATTGCTTGCCAGGGCTCGACGAAATAGCAACTCCACCTAGAAAACAGAGAGTAGACCATCGCGATATGTTCAGCTTGCTTCGCGTTTCCCATACTGCAATTAGTTATGGTAATAGACTAGGTGGAGTCCAATTTACTCTGTAATCGTACGATTGATTAACAAAATTGGACGACCGCGAAGTGGGAGTCCTATTTGTCAATCACGAGTATGATTACAGACAGAATTGGAAGACAATAAGTCCTTTTACCAATTAATCATAACCGTTTCAATTTCCGAAAACAGCATACACAATTAGGTAAAAAATCTCCCGTAGAGACTAAATTAAAAAAATTTCTCCATTTTGTAAATTCCTTAATATTTTTTTTTTAAGGATAAGTGGTTATTGCTATGGTTATTCTGTTTAACTCTGTGATTGTTGGATTTGGCTGAGTGGACTTAGTATGATTGACAACTTCAACTGTCCGATTACAGGTGTCCAATTACAGCCAACTGTCCGATGACAATGTCCGATTACAGTGTTAGGGAGTGATTAGTGAAAAATAAAGCAGCTAATGCGCCAATCACGGTTGAGGAAATTGTAATGGTTATGATAAGTATAGGTAAACAACATGATTTCGTATGCAAGGTGGTGTAAAAAAGCACGAGTAAACTTTTCAAAGAAAACGAAATTGCAAGAAAAATCATGTTATTCCTGCTAATAACGTGCATAAAAAAACACCCCAGAAAGTCAAGACAGGCGAAATTTTGAAAGCGTGCGCGCACCATTTGTAATTTACACTTGTGTTATGACTTTGCACTCGTGTTACAACTTTGCACTCGTGTTACATGAGGATGCATTCGTTTGCAGCCAATCAGAAGCGAGTACTTTTCTCATTTTCATTATTACATGAAAAATAAACTCGTCTAGTACCAATCAGAAGCGTGTAATGTTTTCATTTAGATTATTAATCCAGTTACATAACTTAAACGAAGACGCGTAAAAGATTATGGATCTGTATGGGTGACTAAGTTAGAAGTTCTTCCCTTTGCCAAGGCTACTCTTGTATTTGTGTAGAGTCATGTCACGCTAGTAATTACCTCCTCAGATGTCGTTTCAGATGTGCAAACGAGGACTTCGTCGCTATTTGGCAAACTATGCATTCCCTCTTCCTTGTAAAGTTCAAGAACAGCGGAAAAGATGTTCTCTGAAAAGAGCGCGTAAGAAATGTTTGAATCAAGAAAAATACCAATTATGGATCAAGAGGACGAGTGGATATAAAAGTAAACGGCTGAATAGAGAGATACACACTTTTATCGTTAAACAGTTTAGTTGAGGTGGAAGCCGCTGTCCTAATGCTTTTACCATGAGGTCATATACACGAGTATGAAAATGTCATCACCACTTGTCTCGCAATAAATATGGAATCATAAACAAACGTTTCCTTTCTTTATTTTTTATGTGGTTTAGATAAATCGATTCGGCAGCCTCAGGATGTGCTTACTTTTTAGGAGCGAAAATTATGCTCGACATTTACCAACTAAACGAGAACGTTATTGGCAGCAACTTACCTTTTTTTGCTAACATGAGATTCGGCTGTCCTCTTTTCAAGTAAGTTTGGATTTCTCTCCTCATAACTCTGTCCTCTATGAGAAGAAATGATTACAGTTGAGGGTTGGTTCATGCAAATGATTAATTAATAAAAACAATACTTCTTTGAGGCAAAGCAAAGAATAAGGACCAAGTATCCCTAAGATCAATTGGTTCTAGCAGGACATAAGTCTCAGCCGGTAGGATAATTTTGTATAACGGCAGGAGATCAGATGTCTAGAAAGGTATTTACATAAAGAATTTAAAAGTTAACACGTCATACTGAGGTAGGTCTTGGCCAGATTTCTGAAAATTCAGTTGACGTCGATACCATTATTCTGGGTTAATAACATCAAAAAATTGTAGGCGCTAAATATGTAGTGAATATCACGTTTCAGCACTTTAACTCCTTGAACTCGCAATATACAAAGTGACCAGCAAGAAATGCAAAAAAAAAAAAAAAGAATAAAACAAGAATTGCAAGGTGGTATAACAAATAAAATGTAAATTATTGAAAGTTACCATTTCCGGCAACCAAGCAAGATAGAAATACACCAATTTCGTCCAAAGTCAAAAAGGTGCCCCCTAATGTTTCGTTCAACATGAAGTTTTCTTCTTCAGGTAGACTCGAATGTGAAAACTCATCATCACCTTCTTGCAAACTAAAACACATAAAAAAAAAATAAAGTAATGAAAGAGGGCTTAGGTTTGTACTCAATCAAAATCCTTGGCGCGGACTTACTCCTCTGTCAGTTTCGTTAATTTCACTCAGAGTCCTGGAAGAAACATCAGGAAGGTCCTCCTGCGTAGTTTCGTTGAGTCTATTTCTGTTTCGTCTTTTTCGTTTGCTCATTAAGAGATAGAAGAGAGTAGGTGCTGGTATTCATGGATTCCTAGTTTAACTCTGGCTAAAATTACTCAAATTGTTTGAAACTGTCAACCACCTTCTTTACTATATCATCGGTGCACATGCATATGGCAACAGAACAAACCATTTAGCACATGTACATTTTCTTGAAGTTACTTTCGATGTGGTCTACAATTTATTTTCTTACCTCATCTGGTCATCAGAATGTTGAGAAGATTGCGATGACTCTTCGTCTGAATCAGGAGTCTCGCCTATGATGCCCCGGAATTTGGAGTCTTCTGAAGCTTTCTCGTAGAGTTCATCTATAAGGTCGCTTTTATCCTTGTTTTGCACACACCAAAGAACAAGCTCGGCAACGTTACCTTTCATATCGTTGTAAAGAGCTGCCACAGCGAGGCGTTCAGGCTCTGAGGGATTTAGCCTCTCCACATTATCAAAAAGGCTCTCGTACTTTTCACTTATCTCTTCGTTGTCTCTGAAGGTGTCATCTTGGCTGGACGGGGATGTTGTGCTACGAGCATCTTGACCGCTGTAGAAATCCAGATCAAAATCTGTTGACCAGATACCTGCCTCAATAAGAGCTTCGTGCAGTAATTTTCTGTGAAGGCTTGGAAGAACCTTTTCAAGAAGACTGTAAACTTGGAGATTAAGAGATTCCAATGTCAAGCCTTGTTTCAAGCTGGCGAGTTCCTTGCGTAAGAATAAAAGTTGCTGTATGGTGAAAAAGTTTAACTCGGGGTATTTCATCCGCATCTCGTTGATGTGTTCTTTGCACGCGTAGCAAAGTTGTTCAAATTCCACGCACTTTGACTGGATTTCATCAATGATTCTTTTTCCCATAGAGCTCTTACACTTGTATTCTTCGTTCCAGTCGAGGTGTGAAACATCTCCAGTTTCACAGAGATTTACATAAGCCTGGCCAAGTTGAACAGCACCTTGAAGCAACTGAGAATAAAAATGACAATTTCTTATGCCTTTTAACCGTATTCAAATTGCACGAGGAAAGAAATAAAAAAAAATCATGTAAATAAAGTTATAGTAAAAGCTTCACCAACACTAAAACTTTAACCCTTTTTGATATTTCTTCAGCCTTTTCTTTTAATATGCCCTCTTTATCTTTGCAGCTTAATGCACTCTTCCTTTCTTTCCTGTGCATTCTTTTGGTTTGAAAGGTGCCTCACCTAAATTCTCTTGAACAACTTTGCTTGATTCTCGACTTTGGCCATCTAAAATATTACCTCTCCAAACTTGTTTATATCCTCTTGGCCCCCTTGTGATTCCTTTCCCGAAATGAGAGCAAGTTTACTTTGTAGCTCCTGAAGTTTCTCTAAACTGAATTCCTTTCGTTCACCGCTTAGGTCGGTTAGAGGTAAAAGTAAACTGATAACGGAATCCACACTTTTCTTGTAATAGAGCCTAGCTGGTTCCACACTGTCTTGCAAATGGCCAATGGAGTATACTCCTCTTTCGTTGATAGCTTGAGCCAATTTGAGAGAAGACATGGCATGCTCATCCTTAACGCCCTTAAGCCAATCAAGATGGCGGCTGATGCTGTTCTGTAAGACCGCAATTATCAGTACACGGATTAGTTTTAACGAAGCTATATCATCTAGATACTTGTATGACTAAAGTTCTGCGATGTAAGGAAGATTAGGTGCAAATCTTTGAAATCAATATCGCTCATGAAAACTGATGTCATTGGTTAATCGACCTACACTGTAATTTAGCGTAATACTTTTCAATACCGATTCTCCACCGAAACCAACGAATGACTCAAACTACTGTTAAAAAAGACTTGTTCATTTTCTAATCAATTCTCGCTGACTTATTACCTGCCACAATAAAGATAGTTCCCTACATTCTTTCTCGTCGTAATGGAGCTAAAGCCTTACAACGTGCAAGACTGTGGTGATCAATACTATCAAATGAACAAAACGTTCGGCAGAACCTTACCAGCTTCTCGAGCAAAGATTTGTCTTTTTCGATCTCCCTCCACACGCTTTCACATGCACTGATAAGTTTCCCAAAGCTGGTGTCTTTGTCCAGGTCAAAAATGAAGGGAGCAAAGCCAAGAGCAGTGGTGTGCACACAGGAAACACGATCGGTCTCAATGTCAGTCTCACCAGCCGACATCATCGCTAAGTCCACCAGAGTTTTCACCTCGTCCCTTCCTGGCGAGAAATGTAAGAAAGGAGATAATTTGAACAATACAGCAAACAAGGAAGAGAGCAAATTGGTACTTTGGCATCATTTACATGAAGGGAGTTGCAGAAATATAACGGTGAGTGGGGATCTAAAAAAAAATTTGAAAATGAAAACTGTCTTTCATGATAGTGTTAGAATATTGACATTGAAAACATGTCTATTTCGATGACTCCGTTATTGGTTTTATTTATACACGCTTTTCAAGGAAACAGTCATCAGTATTTAGAAAAACTACCACAGGTTACCACTGATGTGAAGAATTTCGCAGTTACTATTTGTTAACAGTGAGATTCAGTCGGTCGTTTGGTTGTTCACATTTAGTCAGTACTGGGAAGTTAGTTTATTATTAGAGAAAACGCACCTTGCACTTCCTTTCGAAGCCAGTAGATGTAGTCTTTGGAAGTAACGACAGTTTTCAAGCAATCGATCATTACAGGCGTTACATGTTCAAGGTCTTTTCCCATTTCTAAAACATCATCACCAATACTTGAGAGAGGGCGTCCGCGAAATTCGTCGCTCATCTAGTAAAAACAATAATAAAATCATACCATTCAAATCAAATGAGTATTTCTTCCCGTAAAACAACTTTTCTCTCTGGTATATCAATAGAATTATTTTGCCTCATTACGCCTTGGATAGATTGAAAGAAATCGATACTGGGGCAAGTGCAATTAAGCCTGTCACGTAGTTGTTTCTTTCGACTTTTCAAAATCATTGTATTTCGGCCAAGGAACTTTTACATTGGCTTGTTATCTATCCACTTTTCACCTTTCAACATTCACTTAACCCTTTTGCTCCCAAGATCTGTCTGTTATACAATTCTGATGATATTAGTTCAGAGAATTTGGTATTGGATCAACTAATAATCCCCTAAATTATATATTTTTTTTATTTTTATCACTTGTGTACTTGATATTGTAAGGATGTTGTCAGGAGAAATTCTGTCATGGTCATTCAGGGGAGTTAAAGGGATGAGAGGCACTCAGTAAAGCAATAAAGGGCCAAGGTCTATACTTGATAATTACCTGATCGTAAAAGTCATCGAGCACTTGAAAGTCTCCTTCAAGTTCCATGGCTTCTTGAAACTCCAAGATAGCTGCGGCGGCTTCCTCGCACCCTCTCAGCTTCTGGTACTGTTTGATCTGACCAACTCGTTCATTGATGACGGCTTCAACATCTTGTTCGTCGGGAAGGAGCTTCAGTGCTATTTTAATTTCAGTATCGAAATACTCTGGCTCGTTTCGAAATTTGCCGAATCTTTCATCCACTTCTCTCAGACTAATTTGTCCGCTACATACTCTATCCCACAAAGTTTGCCATCTTTCGAAGGACTTGGTCCACAAAAGCTCGTGCACTGTGTCTAATGTCATTACTCCAGCTAATCGAGGATCACCTCGACAAATGGAAGCCGCATTTTTCTCGCACTTATTCCAAATGGTACGGAAAAGAAAGCTGGATCGGAGTAGATGAAGATACTGAGTCATTCTCTTATTCCTTGGCGTGAGTTCAAAATATTTCACCAGAGGCTCTTCACTGATTCCGCGTTTGTGGCAAAGTTCAAGCACACGACAAGAGGTTACATCGTTCTTCAGTTTTTCTTTGATTTCATCAAAGTTAACTTCAACTAAAAAATGAAAACGGCACGACTGTTTCAGAAAAATGTTATAAACAACAAAAGTTACGTGTTAAATCTGTCCTTTTGGCTTGGTTCGGTTGCTTCTTTTTCCTTCGATCCTAGTAGTTTTAAACTCAATTCCTATCATATCTGAGCGTTTGGGTCTCACCTGACTTTACAGCAGAACAAAACTCCACGAAAGATAATACTGCTTCCCTCTCGCTTTCAAACGCTTTGAGCTCCTCACAGCGCATTTCAAGAAATACCTCCATTGGATCTGTCTCGTTTTGTTTTTCCTTGACTCTATCCATCTTGACCGCTTCATGAAGGACTCTGGATTGATTGTCCTCGGAACTGGTTCGCAAATAGTTCAACCTCAAGAACTTTTGTCGATTTCTCTGAACAAGCCGTAGTGTTTTCACATCAATCTCAGCATTCCTGAGGCCGTTGCTGACCCTTTCCAAAAGTGAAGACGCCTTCAGAAGAAGCACTGAGCCTTCAGAAGATAAAGTGGCTCCATCTTTACCTTGGCCGTCTATAAAAGAAATAATTGCCATTTTTCTTAAAATTTAAGATTTAAAATTGTCTTTGAAGATCATAATTAAATAAAACTATCAATACACAGTTTTTAATAAGCGTATAGCGAGTTGTAAAGAATGTTAAGAAAAAATTATTTAGCCGCATTTTCAAATTCTCCTTGATTATCTACAAAAGTGAAAACGTTATTACGTACTAAAGTATTTGAAGTACTCTTCCATCGGTTTCCAAGAAAACAAATGTCGCAAAAGCTCATCCCTTGAAGGATCTCCCCCGTCGCTTCCCTTTGGCCATTGCTTCATAAGAAAACGACCAAACAGTTTGCCGACCCCAGATGCCTGCCGGTCAGTTAACTTTGATGATTCCAGACTGGCCCTCAACTTTTCCATTTGGTCTTCCCTGACGTCGCCCTATAGAGAGAAATATGAATGGAACAATTAGATTTTTGATTGAGAAAAAAATAACAAGTTTACCTATACTTAACTGGTCGATCAGTGCACGCGATCAATGATTCGTTATTTTTGTATAAATGTAAGCTATTTTCTTCAGTTATTCTTAAAACGTTGAGAAGAGAGTACGGTGGTGTAGGTCAATAACCTACCTGTCGAGAACGGTCTATAGCTTTGAATGCAGTGGACATGAGGCAGTCGCCAACATCTTGATGATAAATTCCGAGATCAAGGGTGCAATATAATTCCATAACACGTTGATAGTCGATCTGTTTATTCAAACAAAGAAATGCACATGACCAAGAATGACTAGTGGGGTTGAAGAAATCATTTTTCTATTTATAGTCAATTATTAAATGTACTAAAACTACATACGAACTAATAAAGGCTTGGTCAGTGGCAAAGTATACAAGAAAAATTTGACACCTACCTCGCAAATTCGACTTTCAAATACACCTTTCACACAGCTTTCCAGGCTTTGTTGCATTTCGTCATCATCCAGCTTTACCGAAAGAAGGTTCGACCAAAACTAAAGGAGATAGAGATAAACCTTTACTGAAAATCTCAGCGAATCTTTTTACATTTTACGTAAGCTGAAATGATTATAAACTTAATGTGTCTGCGTCGCATTTGAAATAAATTACGGTGTTTCTCGCCTTTATCTCCCAAGCATAACTGGGAACTACTGACCATCTGTCTCGCTGATCTTAGATCAGTACACTTTCTTATTCAATTAATTGCGCAAATTGTATGATAATCTAGTTTTGATTTTCCTTTTCTTTTTTTTTTCGTAAAACACCATTAGTGTGCGCTCATAACGGTGTCTATTGGACTAAAACCGAATTATATGCATAAGTATGACCCAACGATATCTTACTTTACTGACTTCGAAAATTCAGCAGAAAAAGGCTTTTCCCATCTAATTAGTACCTGGAATTCTTCTTGGCAGTACTTTTTCGATGCTTGCTGCAATCTTCCCGAAGCCCGATGTAGCGTTTCCAAAGATTCGCGTAAACTTTCAAACGATTGTTTGAAAATATGTTCATGCGTATTGCCTTCCTTTCCGTCAATCTGTGCAGCAGGAGAGTCTTGTTTTGCCAACACAAGACTATTGCCTAAGAGTTTCAAAAGGTCACAGAGTATTTGACTTCTCTTCTGGATAACTAACTGGTGCTCTGTTAGAAGGTGCTGTAAAAGCTGTGAGGCTGCTTGAGCTAGTGACGTCATTTCCTCCCACTGAGTGAAGTGTTCCGCCCTAGTGAATAAAAGACAAAGGAGAATTGTACTATGAGACGATAGAGCTGACCGTAAAAGGGAACCTGGGTTCAAAAACTATCAAAGTTAAAGAGCCAGCTAAAGTTTTCTTGTGAGGTTGATTTAAGTTAGTCTGCGCATCCTCATCCTACTCATATTAGAGAAATTTCTACCTCTCAAACTTCTCATGAACTGCGTTCATGTCCTTGATGCATTCTTCAAGAGAATCCCACTATGAAAATAAGACAATATCATGAGGGAAACCCTAATTTCCTTTCGTTTGTTTGTTTGTTTTAGACAAATTTTATTTTATTACCGTAACTTACTTGAAATATAAACTTCACTAACCGTACTTTCAAACAATATCAACATGGGAAGACTGCTTTCAACACTAAGTTTGCCTTAGTCATCATTCTAAAGTTACTTACAGTACTGACCAATAATAACTTACAAAATCATTATTTATGAAAAAGGTTGTGGTTATTCATCGTGGTGAATAACAATAAAAAGGTAAGTTTTTTCTTTTGTCTCACGATGTGGCCACGACTACATCGTGAGACAAACGAAAAACTTACCTTTTTGTCATTATTTATTTTAATGTAAATATTTCATCAACAGTACATACGGTAAAAAGAAAGAAAACAACCTCTCTACCGAACGAAAAATAAAAAAAATAACAACAACAAAAACAAGACGCTACATTAATTTCGTGGCTAACTACAACACTCATGGATTAAACATACATTATATATATTCCCACTGTATAGGTCATTAATCGAAAGTTGTAGCAACATGAAAATACATTAGGTTTTTCCTAAGTATACTTCAGCAATAGTAATCCTGTTAAGTAATGGGTAAAAGTTTGTGATTGTCGATCACGCAAAAAGTTTGTTTGTTTGTTTTATGTTGGCAATGAGGAAGGTCGCCAAGGTCGAAGGGCGAGAGGGAGACAAAGGACAACTTGGAGAAGGACTGTCGAAAGAAAGAGGCAAGGCGGGCTGAAAGAGCTGGAATGTGGCCAAGGCGGCGGCACGCGACAGGGGGTTGGGCGGACGTGACGGAAGCCATAGCCAATGCAGTGGAATGAATGAACTATTGTTCGTTTTTTGCAAAATTTCCCAGAATTACGTCTGTTCTATTGCAATCTGTATCTGATGTTGTCCTTCAGATACAGATTTGCAATTGAACAGACGTAATTTTGGGGGGTTTTTACAACAACAAAAAAACAATACTTCTTCTAAACCAGTCCCTGAAAATTAACTCAGCTTAGATTCTTTAACGTTGCTTTAACTTTACTCAATGTAGAGATGTACAAACTCGTTTTACATGTCATGTCAGTGAATATGGCAACAAGAAAGTTTACCTCCTCCTCCGTGAGAATTAGAGGCCTATCTCTCTCCTTTACGACCCGAAGAAGTGTCCAACAAACTTCAAACAAAGAGAAGCTTCCCCTCTTTAACACCTTGCTCATGTCAAAGATTGAGAGTGCCAACAAAAATGTCCTTTTGAATAATGGGTCGAGCTCAAACATGGGAGAAAGTTGGTTTTGAAGAAGTGTTGGAGTGTTGGCCCTGTCCCTGTGACACATAAAAAGAAACAAGACAAACTATTAATGTTATTCACGTTTTAGAAATGATAGTCAGAATAGAAAATGACTTCAATAATACAGTTTCCGCTCGATACGTCGATAAAAAGATTAATTGTTACTTAGAAACGTGAAAGCCATGACCATGGAAGAAACCGTAAATTCTTTCTCAACTAAAAATTGTAAGCCTTCACAACACTCAGACATGTCTTGTGTGTCGGTCACCTTGTCTTTAAAAAGCATTAGTATAAAATAAGTCCAACCTTGCATTGAGCACTTGCCATCGTACTTGAAAAAAGTCGAAGAGGTCATCTGCTCCCCACCAATTGTTGTCATTCAGTGAGCTTGGTGCTGCTGGTCGCTGACCGCCCGAGAATGGTACCACTGATTTCGATAAGAAATGAAGCAAGGGGACAGCGAACAACCAGTGAAATATTCCGTACCTTTGCTCAATTACGTATTTACACAGTCGTTTCAAGTTATCCACCAGTGTCCTTAAAAGTAGGATTAAGGTGTAATTCAAAAATATATCTCGCGTGAGAATAAATGAAATTTCTCCCACTTACTGAAAACTGATTTATTAAACGTATAGTTGTTTTGCAGGAGCTTTCGGCAAAGTTATTTACTATTACATGTTACATCTAAACGATTTTTAACAAAAGAACACTGAACCACACAAGTAGGGATCATGAGACCCAACATAATCTGTGTTAATAATGAAAAAATGATATCAAACCTTTGCACTTTGTCTGGAAAATGCAGCAAAAGTTCTTCGAATTCAATGCATTTCTTCAAAATTGTGTTTCCATGTAAAGCAAGATTTTCTAAAATGTCACTCAACACCTTATCCTCTATGAACATTAAGCGATGTCCAACAGCGAGGGAAGCGATCATGATAGATGTAACCAGTCGTTTGACTTGAACCTCATCATCTCTGGCTTGGGTTTGCTGCACGTGAGTATTGTATTTCAGCCGTGTAAACAGATAATCAAACAGCACCTTATCAAAAAGCATTAGAGGAATAAATGTATGGAATGAGCTCCAAAGTGTAATTGTCACCTATCATCTTGGCATTCAAAATAGTAATTATTGACTTTGATGAGTTAGATTAACGCTGCATGTTCATGTAGGTATACAGATCTATTATTCTTTTATACCAACCTGCTTCTCGTCAAAACCGGGTAATATACGATAGAAAATGTAACTTCCATTCTCCACTTCTTGCTCTCGCATGCAATACATCACATTGTTAATTTGAGTCAAGGCAGTTGACGCAGTTATTCCTCTTTCACCAGATGCGATTCTGTCCCATTCTGGTAACATGATCAGCATAGCCTTTCTTCGACCCTCCGCTGGATCGAGAGAAACCTTTTTCAAAAAGGGTAGATGGTTGGTGAAGGCATCCCATATTCGAGGTTCACTGAAGACTGCATCATCATACTGGTGCCAAACAGCTATATAATAATAACCATAGATGACTAATAGAATTCCAACTTACAAGCCTTACACCTTCCCGTTTACCACTAGGTGAATCGGAATCAATCGTGAGTAAAAATGAATGACTAAAGCTGAATTAATAAATGCATTAATAAATGGACTAAAGAACGCACATGAATAAATAAACGAATGAATTAATGATGGAATTAGTGGAAGAAGGGGATAAAAGAATAACAAAATGTGTTAGAATTCAGTATCATCTTACCGTTGCTTTTTCGTGAATCCTCACGAATGAGTAAGGAGCGGTTAACATGATCCCTCGTGTAAGGCACACACCCAAGCAGACATTCCCATAATGGCTTTGGTGACACGTTCTTTCCTTGTGGGCGGAATACAGTGTATTTGTAGGAGATTCTCTGTGATGCCTGTCGCAATGTTATATTGGCCTCTCCCTCCAAAACAAAGTAGCCATCGGGTAAATCCCTACAATTGAGGAAAAGCAGGTAAATAAAGACAATGAAAACACGTTTTGTATAATTCAGCTTCAGAGTTGAGACTTACCTGACAATTCGAACTTCAACCTGATTCTGGGGGTCTTTCCACGAAAAAGGAAAACTCCCGCAGATGAAAATTCTATCCCCTTGTCTAGGGTTGAATTGAAACGTTGGTGTTAATAACGCATGGAAAATAACTGTCAGAAATTCGGTGTCTGGATTTGTCACCCTACTGTCACTGTGAGTACTCAGAGGTTGGTTACTAGTTAATGGTTGGCTACTGGCTGTTCGGTAAGTGCTCTGACCAGCTCTTTCGTTTTCACTTGATTTAGAAGTTTCTGGCGTAACAGCTTCCCCTTTTTTGCTGTCAACTGATGCGGCACCAGTTTCAGACTTTAAGACGTAATGTTGGCCATTACCTGAATCCTTGCTATTACCATCGGTATTTGTGGATTGTTTCTCTTCATTATTTTTGAGATTTGAATTCTCAGCAATTTTACCCTCAGCATCTTGACCAGTTTCCTTGTCTTTATTGCTGTCGAATGTTGAATCATTGCCAGCACCCTCAGTAATCCGTAGAATGACCGTTGTGTTGCCTCTCTGTTCCACAACAATTTTACCCCCACATGGTACCTGTTGGACATATTCTTGTTGCTTCTTAGCATCATTTGCAATGTTATTTTTCTTCTTGACTTCTTCCTTCGCGTCAATGCTCCGATTTGCAGCGCTCTCATCCGGTTGTCCTGGGAAAGTGGTTTTATCTTCTTGAGCAGTGGTGGGTGGAGTTATTGCCTGTTGACTGATGTCATTCTTAGAGCCTCCAATTAGACCTGGGTAAACATTTTCTTCAGGACATTCACTGCAGGTTTGAAGAAAAGAGCTTTTGTTAGTCTTACAGTGATGTATCACAAGGATTGTGATTCAAAGAGTTAAATGTTTATTTTAAGGCTACCAAGGTATGTTATGTTACGCTTCATTCACGACTCACCTCGTTTTTGTGTCGTTTTGATCATCAGTGATTTGCTCTCGGTCTCCTTCTGAGAGAAATGGTTCCTTTTCGATCTGAATTCCTGATGGTACCTATACATTCACAGAAGAATGAGAAATGATACACTCACTGACTGTAAGCAGTTGCAGGACACGCTGAGAAATCGAGGTTAGTAAGATATTAATGGTATCCCTGGGTTTAAAGAAAAGAGGAAGATTTCAATTCAAACAAACTTTGGAGATTAGCGGGCCAAATAGTGAAAGACAACCCACTAAATTGGCCAATCATAGTGCACGTACTAAGAGGGTCATATTGAATACAGCTACAAAGTTGATGTTTGCGTGCACAAAGTCTTTGTACCAAAAATAGTTCCACAACGTGATTAATACCGTGTTGGGTGTGGCTTTAACCGTGTTAGCGGTTTCTGGTTCAGGCACTATTTTGGCAGGTTCCAGCTCAACAGTTGTTTTTTTGTTGGGAGAATTTGGTTTACCAGAAGAATGGCCTCCGTTTTCACGGGCTTCGATGCTTGAGTCAGTAAGAGGGATTTTTTCTTCTTTTTGTAAGGCTTGAACCTCACTCATATTAGGTGGATTGTTATTGGTGTTCTGGTTTCCCTCTTCTCCATTTGAAGAACCGTCTCTTTCGAAATCATCTTTCTTGCTTTTGGCCTCATCGACTGATTCTGTGATCGAAGTAAGTTGATTGATAACATTGGAGCTCTGATCCTGAGAAGGCTCTGGTCTGTTTTCCGAAACTTCAGTTTTGTCCAGGTGATCTGTACAGGCAAAATTAAAATCATAATCATGTAACAGTTACTTCCCAGCCGCTAGTTGAAATATCTTGTATTTTGTCTGATAATGATAATTTTGTAAATAGACAAAAAGTCAAATTTGCCTCTTAATAAATAATTGAAAATTAACTTCTCATGCAAGGAGATTAAAGCACCAAATTTTTACTACCTTTAGTACCGAGTACTGAGTACCAGGTTTCCGTTGTTGGTCGGGGTGTAACTATCGACTTATTTTTACCAATATCAACTGTTGAGCAGCCCTTGCATTGCTTCGTGAATGTTTACCTATTATTTCTAAATCAGTAAACGATACTGTTGGGAATACCTAACGCCAAGTAACGAGAGGATCCTATAATTTTACAGCAGTTACAAGCACATCTAGTTAATGTTTTGATAAGATTCATTTAGACTTGGAATTTCAGCGATTAAACTGTTCATACAAAATATCGAACGGTAGTAACAACTCTTGTACGAAAGGCAGTGAAAGATATATTTTTGTCCTGTCACGAGCATGGAACAAAGAAAAAATTCTAAGCCCCCATGAGGAATCGAACCTCAGATCTTCGGATTCCGCTCTACCACTGAGCCACAGAGACGCTACGGTGAGCGAAGTACATTACGTCCTGCATACTGCTAGGATCAGCGATGTCGATAGCGTCATGTTTGTACGAAAGACAATTCAACGGTGCACCTTATATCCTCTTTATGAGGTCTGTTTTCAGGATCATTTAAGCAAAAGATACCTGGATCCAAAATAGTTTTGGGCCAGAAGTCTCACAAAAACTTGGTATTTATTTCATTACCTCTATAAATTGGCATTCACCGCTAAAAATATATCTATATGAAGACATTGGAAACGCAACTGGACCAGCTGATCAAAGGAATAAGTAAGCAACACTTTTTTTTTAAGTCTGTAACATCCAATATGTGAAACAGAAAATTACAAATAACAAAATCAAAACTAATCGAGAATTCATTTTCACTTTACATTCTTGTCCTTTCGTTGTAATTCTGTTTTGTAATCACTCACAAAATGAAACAAGAAAATGGAATCTTCCAGGAGAATTAGGAAGAAAATTACATCTCGCTTAATTCGTCAAGATAAGTCAGCTATCTGAAAAAGTCTAGCTCTGAAACAGTTTTGACCTTGAATTATGAGGAAATACCTGCAATTATACTTGCAACCTGTCAAAAATTTTGAGGAAGGCGATCAACGCCCCATTATTTGCTTCGTCAAACGACGAAAAAATTATATATACAATACTCGAATTCGTCAAATTACTTGCACACCTTATTGAACCGTGCCGAAAAAGGTGTCCTTTAAGAGATTAGTCGAGACGCCATAAACCTAAAATCGTCTAAACAAAGAGACATAATGTCTCTTATTTCGCTACGAGTTCAAATGTCGCCGTCGCGACAAATTTTCGTTTTGTATCCTGAAGTACTATTAAAAACTAAAGCACCGCTTTTTTTCGTTTCTTCTCTGTACCTCCGTAATGTAATCAGAACATGCAATCGCGTGATCGCATTTTAAGTCCCTAGTTTCGATAGTTCCGTTCCCGACTCCTGATTATTGCAAGGAGTCGATACACAAGTTTCAAATTTTAACACCATTCACAAAATGTCTGTACTCGGGAAGCTTTGAGTGCTTCTGAATGTCCCTGTTTAAGCTAACCTTTCTCGAATCACAGTCCAATATTAGGAAGATATCCTTGTCGCTTGTCACTGATTGTTAAGTCTCATGACAATAATTCTTGATGTTAGTATACATCGCTATTGCAGGGCTATGAGCATCGCAATGAGGGCTTCGCAAAGAAAAACTATGAAACTTACCTGAAGTCACTGTAAACTGCTCAGAACTGGTTTTCAACACTGCTGAAGTTCCTGACGACCCTTCAGCTGCGAGATTAAAGCCACAACTGCAGCAGAAGCGGTGATGCTCTTGTAGTTCGACGTTCCCACAAGATGGGCACTTCATCGTAACACGATATTGATCTCAAACTACATGTCTCGCTTTGAGAAAATGTTCCTCTGCCAAATTCAATCTTCCGAAAAAGTACTTCTTCTTTCGATGTCGATGTGGAGTATAAATCGTTGTGTGATTAACTGCAGTGTTTTCTCGAAATGTTGAATCGCTTCCGCGAAATGCTATCAAATAGTCTCGTCGGCCTCGGGGAATTTAATAATTCCCAGAAATCCCTCTGCAAGCGGAAGTCGATTTCACTCGTCGCTGCACACTTGAAGATTTTAAAGCTCCTTGAGAGTTATCGACCAAAAATCTGAAATTTGTTTGATGAAAAGACCGTTTGAGCACTTTTCAAAGTTGATTCAATTTGCTTTTTAAAGAAATATCTGTGTATATATAAAGCCGATAGGATTTCCACGAAATGTCTCGATTATCAATTAGAGCCATCCGCGTTTCTAGGAAATCAAGCGGAAGTGGCTATTTCAAGGGCCTTAGCGAAAAATCAACCAATCATGCTTTCGTAACGCAACATATCTAATACAATGTAGATATCGATTCTTATTTTCGAATTTAAAATGAAAGCCAATTAAAGGAAATGACGAATATTTGATAATATTGTAAAGCACAATCTTACTACAATACACAGCTATACATAATTTATCGGTCTAATGAATAGATCAACAAAACAAGCTATTTATATTTCTCTTCTTCTGGCTAGATTTTATCGACTTGACAATAGTTACTTCTGTAACTAAACTAACTTTAACTGTGGAGGAAATCAAGTGGATCTTGAGGTATTGAATGGGAACTACTAAAAATGTTTTCCATTTAAATCCCCCCGTGACCTGAACAAAACTGCTTCCAATGCAGGAACCTTTCGAGACATAACATCCTCGGGGATTTAGTTTTCGCTTTCATCTTGTCGGTAAACCTCTGCGCTTTCTATTTCACTTTCAAGGTGGCGTAAGCAACTTAAGAACCTCGGGGGTGTTACTAAATAGTGGATCAGTAGACAGCGTGGAATCTATGGAACCTCCAGAACCTGCTAAATAATGTCGTCAAGGATGATAAACAAACATTTCGCTTTTGACGCAATCCTATTTACTGGGATACCCAGTCATAAAATGCCTTTGTTTTTTTGTCGTCTTTTTTTTTTTTTTTTTTTTTTTTTTTCCTCCGCCACAAAATGGAAAAAATTGCGCAATAGTACCCAGTGGTCATTGGGCCCTCAACACCATGACAACTAACTGTGATCCCGTGAGGGTGAAGGTGTTCACATGCTGATCACGTGTTATCTTGATGATGATTGACGTTGTCATGCACGGACAGGTCCGGGTCACATGACGAGCACGAGATTTTTGTTTAGAAAACTCTTTTGTCGGTCGTTTTGTAATTCAACGTGTTTGGATTACGATCACCTGAAGCATTATAGCGCAAACGCTCGAAATACTTACAGACGCATACACAAGTCGTATTGTTCGCCGCCAATCCACACTAAAAGATGTTATTGAGCGGTAATTTTGGACCGGATTGAGTCGCGAACTGTGAATCCGTTGTAGTTTCTGGTGATTTCTGCCGTTTTAAGCTTGCTTTACCATCACTGTTATTCACATCATCTACTTTTATTACGTTGGTAAAAACTGTACAGACATCACACAAACCAACTCGCGCACAAAGTAAGAAGACTATATTGAAGGCTTGAAATTATATTACGATCGATTTTCATCAAGAAATGGGCCAGGAATTTTCCACAATAGTGTAAATAATCGTGAAGGCTGATCGAGGAAAAGCGATTGCGTGACGCTCGGTAAGCTGTAAGATGACATGTTATTATTTACCAGACGTAAAAACTCTTCAGATTCTCAGTCTGCATTTTGTACCCACTCTGCAGTCTCCATATTTTGTATCCGGTCTGCTGTCTGCATTTTGTACTAATAGGTATCTGTGGCACCAATACAGTTTATTTTTGGTTATATTTATTCGCACAACACACATAATCTACCACAAAATACCTGTGTGTGAGGTAATTCGACATTCTCGTTCTTTTCCACGTTAATACTCTTCTTTCCTTTTGTAAGAATGTAGACCACAAGTAATCCACCCACCCTACAAAAAATAACTCTTGCATGCATAGCATGCCTATGTTTTGAAATAGGTGTATGCCCTTAGCCAGACTTGAGCTCACTATTTCAGTATACTAATCCGACACCCGTAGTATCACTACACTTGATTCCAAGGATCCAGTACCATCCAGGTATCCCAGTTACCCTGCTCACAGGGTCTAGTTATACCCGAAAACGAAATTTCGAGTAGCATATGGGTGTTTTTTTTTATTTCGTCAGTTTTTTTTTTCAACAGAAAAATCAATGATTCCACTGGTTCCGCTGGTTCCGGAGGTTTGGTTTTTCCCAAACCTCAGCTATATTTTTGCATTGTTACAAAACCTTATGATTCCTATACAGAGAATATCGGTTCCCAGTGCATGAAATCTGAATTGTGCCGTGTGATCGTGTAATACACGTCACGATGTTTTTTTGTTTGTTTGTTTTTCCTCACAATTCGTCGGAACTATAAAACTTGAAATATTGTTTCGCTAAGTATTAGCTCAATTCTTTATTCCATTCCATTTTGGTCTATCTGCTTCGCTACGCAATCATTACTTGACTTGCTTATCGCCGTGCATTACGGTCTTCTATTTATTCACCTTACCAGCTGTAGAGCTTTGTGAGGAGATTTTTTTCTCCAGCTATCGAGGTAGCCATTGTACAACTTTCAATTTAGTGTCAAAAGTCATCACAGTTGAGTTTATGTTTAATTCTCACTCTCTGTTATTGGTAAGAAATTTCAAATTACATTCTCAAGGAATCATCTTCAGATCCCTACGCCTGAGAACGGTTATGAACATTCCTTTTAGTTCCCATTGGCACTTTGAAGTGTTTAGCGTCTAACTTCTCCTCATAATGTCACCCTCGAATCACACATTAAGGTCACGAGAGTTAAGGAAATGATCATCTATTTGAAAAAAGCTGGTAATAGTTAAGTAAATTCTCCTTGTTAGCATCTTAGGAAATGAGTATATAGATATGACAAACGGCCAGGCAAAGTGGGACTGTATCGATTACATAAAATGCACATCTTACTGTTGCAATTTTGATACTTTGTACAAATTTCGACTTTAAGACACTAATACCACATTAAATAGACGATTGGGAGAGACATTCTCTAATTGGTCTCCCTCATTTCACAACTGCGCACCATTTTACTGTTTCACAAAGAAGACTAAAACACTGAGTGGTGTGCAATGACTCTTATACTAAAACGATCAAAAGTAACAGGAGGAAAAAACTTTTTCGTATGGGTCACCAGATCACAGGTTTCTGTGTTCTTTTAAAAACGAGTGTCTCTCTCAGATTGTTTGGGAGAATATGCTCGTATACTCCTACATTCTGTGCTTGCCGTGTGCTGAGTGGAAGCCATTGCATCCTTCCTGGATCCAGGAAACCTTTCCTTCAAAAGCTTGAGCACTCGGGTCTTGCAGATGAACGCAACAAATATGTAGACTCCTTGAGTGGTTGTGAGCATAACAAAAGGGTAGATGAGTGCTCTGTGGATGAACTCAGCGCTGAAGCTGAAAAACCATGTGAAACCCATAAGGGAGGCCAGGCGAACATATATTTTAAAAACTGCCATTTGATCCTGGCGAGATGATTTCACTCGGTGTGTCTGCTTTCTTGCACTGTTGATGGCCCATACAGTGTGCGTAAAGGCCCCAAAGTTGTAAAGAAGGACACAAGCTATGGGTGTGGCAAAAGTAACTATCTTTCCATTGCTGCTGTCTATCCAGCAGGCGACTTCGTTACCATAGCCGATGAAGACCACTTGAAAATGGTCAAGCAAGGCGCAGCTAGCCACAAAAAGCAAAGGAACACCCCATGCCAAGCACGTGTACGCCAGGAAACGAAAGTTCCGGCTTTTTCCGAGAGATCTTGATTGAGCCTTGGAAATCTGGTCGGAGAAAGTTCGGCGAGTGTCAAAGGCGATAACGGCTGTGCACCCAAAGGACACCAAAACGAGGTAATGCATAACGACCGCCATAATGGTACAAAATGTTGGCTTGTCAGTGTCTCCAGATCCAAACAGCCACATAAACTGGGCCAGCAGAAGGGCAAAGCACAGACTCATCAGATTTTTACCTGGAAGAGGGCCTCGGAGCTCAACGAAAACGCTATGTATCGTCAGGGTGAGGAAAAGAGCAAACACTGAGATAGAAAATCCAGCGATTGTAAAGTATAGCAGAATCGTATTTTCCCGGCTTGTTATCGTCGGTTTCCTTGTAACCGTCGGGGTCTCAGTGTAATTAGTGCATATCCATGCTTTTTTAACTTCGTCCATCAAGGTGTATTCTTCGGTCAAGTAGACCTTACCAGTGGTAGTATGCAGTAGGCTCTTGTTTGCAAAGATTTTAAACTGAGAACCGCTTACCAGGAGGAGTTTGAAAGGGCACAAGACACTAAATGTAGACCTGCAAACAATCAAGGAATCTTTACCGTTATCGTTGTGTTTGATGAAGAACTTCTTTGGTGGGAGCAATTCTTGATGATTGTCCCCAGTTTTATTTAGTAAGGCTTCACCAGTGGGCTTTATTCTGTATTCGTCATGGAAATACTCTTCTCGGTTTGCGCAAGATAACTGCCTTTGAGTGACCCTAATCACTAACCAGGTCTTGTTTGCAATTATTATAGGAAATGATTCATTGAAATTAAGAAGAGCAGCCACATCCAAGGTTTCATTATCGTTATTACCTCTAGCCGCTTGGCCAGCATACAGGTTGAATTCCACGACAATAATTCCTTCTTCTGATGAATTTGATATCACATAAATTTGTGAAGGCTCCAAGGCAAACGTTGAGCAAAAGCCACTGACAAACTCTCGCTGTAATATGGGTCTTTCGATGTCATTCGCGGGATACATCCATTGTTTAATGCGATACGTATCGCGAACAGCTAAAGAAG